TTCCAGGTTTTCTCGACTTTTCGTGACCCCTAGTGTACCATAAAAGTGGTCTCTCGTTTCCGTCTGTCTGTCGCCTGTCTGTCCGTCTGTCTGTCTGTCTGTTTGTGTCGATTTTTATTCGACTGATAATCTCTAGAACTAACAGACCGATTGTTGTCAAATTTTGTGTGTTTATTAGAACTATCATGTAGACGGTAAAGCGCTAACCAAAATTTGGATAATCATCCCCACCACCAATGGGATGACGTCAACTTGAAAATTTACAATAGTAATTTTGCTTTTAAATTTATAAAATAAGATACTCCTGCACTTGATAAAAATTTATTCATATTTTTTCTTTCCTTGAAAATCTGAGAACACGCACGCCTTTATTTAATAATGAAATAAGCATTGTTTATAATACTTAATAACAATAACAATAACATTCAGAACATTTTTAGTCAAATGTTGAGGAGACAAACTCATTCAAATCAAACAAAGTTCTACGTGACAGTCTTTCAATGTATAAACGTAAACACTCGAAGTTAACCATGTTATTATTGCTGAGAGACCATTTTTTGCCGTTAGTTATCTGCTGTAAATATATTTACACTGTCCGTACTTGTGCGGCGTGCCTTTGGAATTTGCGCCCCCACAGCGCAGGGTCTGTGGAAATGTTACTTATGCTGCTAATTTTTACTTAGAGGTTAACACAAAACAACACAAAGCAAATTTTATAATTTTTCAGTGAAGCGGGATTTGTTGAAAGTGTTGGACCAGTTTTTTGGTATAAAGATATCTCGTTTTTTCTTTAGTTACAAAATGCTATGAAATGGTTTTTGTCTTCAAAAAATTGGGCAAGTCATTAAACAAGAAGAAATAATCGTAAATAATTGTGGTCGTTGGCCATCTTCGCTTCCTGTTCTGAATTGGTTTCTTAGAAAAATGTGTTTGTCTCCTCGATAAGAGAGCAGTTGTTAACAATTTAGTTTTTTTGGAAATTTTTATTTGTATGGTTGTTTGTTTTTAGTGCCACCTTAATTAGGATTACCTATACAAAATTACTCAAAAAAAAAAACAGATGACTGAAGCAATTTATTGATTGAATCAAGAATGACTCACTCAATTTTCAAAAAATTTGGGTACATACTATCTACTATTATTGTTACAGTAGAATTTTTTTAATTTTGCACTAAAACTGTACAGCTACGACATCTGGAATGTTTCTATTTCTATCTTCGTCCGACACACTGTATTTATACTTGTCCAAAAGGTATAAGGTTATATGACCATCATAAAATTAGTTGACCGCAAATAAATACCCCCTTTGTGTGGTTCGCACTAAGCTTACCGGTTGGCAATAAATCGTCTTCTAAACATTTCTTGCTCACATTTAACAGGGCCGGCTTTCAAAGCGAGTGGTTATTTCGGAACCCTCAGCGGTTGCAGGTAGTAAAGAAATAGTGGTGTGGTGGATTTTCATATTTATTGAAAGCCCCCCCCTGAACGAAACCACAACAGCCGGTCGAGCTGCAGTGGACACGTTATTTACGACCCTAAAACCTTTTCTATTTTAAACAACTTAACTTCGACACAATGGGATGATTTTATGATGGCCATATAACCTTATAGCTTTTGGTCCACTATACAACACCTTGCCACAATTTTAAAAATTCTACTATAGTATTACCCTCCACCTATGCAAAAACGTCGTTAATAAGAATTTTTTAAGAACACATAAACTTTGCTTTTCGCTAGGATATTAACGGGAAAAATTGGTCACTTGTCGTCATAAGCTTAACCTTGAGCATGTATTAGTTTTTTGTTACCAATAGGTGACATTTTTCTTTTTTCAGGGACTAACGAACATCTTTGAAAAAATTGACACTGACAAATCTATTTTGTGACGTTTAACTAGTTTTCTCCACCAAATATGAAAATAGCTTTACCTACGTGTTTTATCTAGAATGGTGATAGCGTCATTATAAAACTTTATAATGGAAAAATTCACTCTAAACATTCAATAGCTTGCCTCTCTTTACGACACATCTCTTTATTTTAATTTATAGGCGTTTTCATAAACAAACAAAATTCTCAAAACTAAATTTTCGGAAATGTTGGACAAGTTGTACTGTATTTCTTGGGCGAAGGAACTATTGTAATCAAGTCCATCGGACGAATGTCCACTTTTTTATTTTCTCGACGTTTTATTACTCCTACAGTACGAAAAAAGCAGTCTCCAGTTTCCTTTTGTCTGTTTGGTGTCTGTATCCATTTTTATTAGACACGTAATCTCCGAAACTGCTGGACCGATTGCCCTTAAATTTTCTATGTATATTAGAAATATCATATAGATGGTTAAATGCTAACCAAGATTTGGCTAATCATCCCACCAACAATTTGATGACATCATTTTAAAATGATTTGAAAATAATATATATACTCATACATGTAGTGTACGAATCCGCTTTTTGCAAAAGCATTTGCAAGGTATAATAACGTTTTATTCCCAACACGGTTTGTACATCACCGTGGTGCAGTGATTGCATCGGAGAGAACGGACATTTGCGGAACTGCGATTGTGGGTTCGATGCCAAACTTAGGCCTTTCCGTTTTTTTCTTGCATAGATATAACGTTGTGACTACTTTTCTTTTGCGCTGTGACTAAAATTATCCATGTTGATGATGTCATCACATTGGTCAAATCAAGTCACCCCATTTTCTCGAAAATGTGAAGAAGACGCACGTGTTTATATAATAATGATAAAATACGAATTATAATACTTTGGTTTAACTAGTAATTTTAGTCCTGGTTTAAAAAGACAAACTGATTCTTTCGATGTATAAACATAAATAAACACTTGAGCTTCAGATTGGTATTATCTAGTACTGAAGGACAAGGGGTGTTATTTATGCCTCTGAGTTTTACTTTACAGCGGTTACCACAAGATGAAAATCGTAAAATCAAATTTTATAATTTTTTTTAAAAGCTGGATTTGTGGGATTATACTTATAGCCTTGCACAAATTTTTATTGATCAAATTAAGACCCTCATTTTTTAGAAAATATGAGATTACCCACGTTTTTATTTAATTGTGATCAAATAAAAATAATAATAATCATATTCAAAACATTTTATTCTACTGTGGCTTAATTAATAATTTTATTAGTCTTCTGTTTTGAGGAGACAACTCATTCAAATTAAACAAATTTCTACTGGACATCGAAGTTGAGTATGTACACTGATCATAATAATACACTCTTGACTACATTTCATCAGGGGCCGGGGGGCACAAGGGCACGTGCCCCCCCCCCCCCAATTACAACGTCTACAAACACAGTGGACATGGTAAAGTAATAATTTTCAATATTTAAAAAATTATCCGGAAATTTGTGTCATAATTATCAAAATTAATTTTTTATCTCGCTCAACTTGTATAAAATGTATCAAAACTTACATCCACTTACATATAAAGATGTGTGTCTTGGATATATGATATGATATTACTGATAAAACCTGGACACAGAGACCGAATCATGGCTGATTTAGATGTTTTGTTTACACCGTTGCCATGGAAACCACACGTCGTAGCCGTCTGATAGAACTGGACTAGGGTCCCGTTCCGACCGTGCTCGTGGATAATCTTCTCGGTAACACGGACATTCGGAAACAACCACACACTGCCTATATTAATAATATTCGGGCACATAACGCAAAGGTCGACAAAAATCGCTATATATTACGTCGATTGATAATGTGCATAAAATTTTGTGGAGTGTTTGAAGTTGTTTTACGTGGACATGATGAAAGTAGGGAATCACAAAATCATCAAATCATTTGAAAGAAGCAACGGTTTTTAAAGGAACGCCTAAAACTTTTAAAAATAAACTTTTAGATGCTATGAACGTAAAATTTTAACCAAAGGCAAAAAGGTATATGGAGAAATCCTTTTTTGCTTTTATTTGATGTATTTTTGTATTTATTTCAGTCACAAATTTCGTCTATTAATTGGTAATAACAACCTGTTCTATATCTTCATATTTAACTCATCAATCAAATTGTGTCCCCCCATTTCAAAAGGTCAACAGCCGCCACTGCATTTCATATTGTCTATATACCTGCGGACGGCATCTGCTTAAAATTTGCACCCCCGCGGTGCAGGGAGTTCGACGTGTCATTTACACCACTGGTTTTTACTATTAGGTGATTTTTTTAACCTGATACTTCGGAAAATAAGCACTCTGCGAAATAATGTCTAGATTCAAAATTTAATCAAACCGCGGCGCGGGGGAAATACATTAGTGCTAAAATTAGCCCCTTCCCCCTCTCCTTGTAGGTGGCGCAAGGGTTAACTTCGAAACCTTAAATGGCAACTGAACTAGTTTTTAGCACTAAAGTATTTCCCCCATGGAATGATTAAATTTTGAATCTGGACATTTTTTTGTAACGTGCTTATTTTTCTAGATATTTGAAAGTTTCAGTTTAAAAAAACACCCTGTATAAATTTTATCGGAAAACATACATTTTCTATAATTTATCAAAGAAGCGGAATTTGTTGGATTATACTTCAAAAGCGAGGGAAATTCTGTCAAAGTAACTTTGCACCAATTTTTTTTTAGAATAATATTGCCGCTGGAAGTGAATCCCTCTCATAGGATTTTAACACAGGACTTTTCTCAAAGATAAGTTTAAATATGCCACACAAATTTTTAGGTAAAGTTACATAACGTTTTCGTTGTTATAGGATATTATTATGTTAATACTGAGCAAAGTAATCAGTACTATGTTACGTCTTGTCCTAAAGTTTGGATATTATGGTGAATCTAAAATGTGTATAGCTTCTGTTATCCTAATATTCTCAATATAATCTTTTGACAAACGACATGAAGTAAAACCAAACGTTTGAACAACTTTTGGGAGAGTTTTGTCAAATTTTTTTGAACTTAACTAGAATAAATGATTAATAAGATACTCGTACTACTTAAAATAAAAAAAAAACAATTTGTTTTTTCTCTTTATTATAATCAAGCTTCAATATCTTTTTTACCAGTATTGTTCTTTCTCTTCGGAGTATTCATTTCAGCATATATCACATATTTTTGAATCCAAGGATGAGTTTCAATTTTTTTGTTGCCTAAGGAAATATACAAATGCAGTGCAAGATACAATACGAATGCAAAGTAAGCTGCAGCCAGAATTCCTATCGCAATAAATATGTTACTGTCCATGTCTAATTCCATGATGGTTCCCGTAACGAAGAATATATTAATACCAATAATCACAAAACTGAGAAGAATGAAAATAATCTTCATAGCCCTGCAACCACAACATAGTTAAACTAAGAACATATCACCAGCATCACTTTTCTTACATGTTATTTACAAATTCACCCATTATTTTGGGATTGCTGGTAAACGCCACCATCGGAATAATAGCGAAAGGCAGCTGAAGACTCATAACAGCGTTAAGAAAATCATTCATGGCCGTCAGTTCATTTAGAGAGCTGAAGAAGGCGGTGAAGAAAGTCGGTACCATGGCTATGCTTCTAGTGAATAACACTCTTTTCCATCTGGCCCATTGCAAATCCAGAAACCCTTCCATAGCAAATTGTCCAGAGTACGTTCCTGTCATGGTCGAGCTCTGTCCTGCTGATAAAATCCCTATTGCCCATATGTACATAGCTGCGGGCCCATACGCACACCCTAAGTACACTCCCCCTCTGTATATATCCGCATCCACTAATTCATCGTTGGCCTAAAATTCCCACGAAGTGAAAGTCTAATTAAATTTATCAGTGAAAAGATCTAGCGATCCGTAACAATCGATTTTCCAGATGAGATTTAGCAAGAATTTTAATCGATTTTTTGTATTTTCAATACTCACTTCAAAAACTTCCACCGCTCTGTCGTAGACCAGAGATTCATTTTTAGGGCACCCGTTCAGCTAAAAATCTACTGTTTTAAATCGTTTCGTCGCGGTTGGTGAACTCACTATATCATTGTTGGTTTTGTTAAAGAGACCGAAAGCGAAAACCGACACTACAAAGATGTTTATGACGAAGCTGCAGACCAAGGCGATGCCGTTTTCTATGAAGTAGTACATCCGGGCCTCTTTTATTTTTTCTGGAAGTTTGCGATCTACTTCTCTAGATTTGACTAAAGCTGAATGTAGGTAGAGATTGTGGGGCATGAGAACGGCTCCTATCACACCAACGGCTTGAAGGAGAACGTTCGAATCGCATCCGTCACACCATGGGATGAACAACCCCTTCACCACTTCTTCTTGTGGAGGTTTGGATACTACGTATTCGTAGCCGAAAGTTATGCCCATGATGGAAATGAGGACACCAAAGAACAATTCCAATTTTCGCAAACCGTATCTGTCCAAGAATAAAAATGTGAAGGTGTCGGCTATTGTTATCAAACAACCCGCCCACAATGGTATGCTACAAGAAAAAAGTTTTTCTAATTAGAACAGAGGTTTAAGCGACCCGAAATTTACGTCTAGTCAAGAGCGACTTTTTTTGTAATTATATGTATATAATATGTTTTGCATAAATTATGCTTTTGGTGAAAAAACGTTTAGATGATGTTAATGTTACAACAAAAATTTCCACTTTAATTATGCGAAAAATTATAAAATTTGAATTTGCAAGATTTTATTTATATATTTATTATAAACATAAATAATGTCAGTTACAGTGTAAGGAAAAAAAGTGATGCATGAGGAGATCGAACCGACGACTTCCTCATTCTTCACGTTAAGATCGGTTTGCTCCTATACTGTTATAAAACGTTGTATAATTTGATTTTTTTTTTTTGAGGAAGTGTGGCTGCCTAGAGTGAAAACTCAAGGCGGTTTCATAAACCACAAGTACAGGAATGTGTTATTTTATAAAATTTAAATAACATTTATTAAGCGCAACTTTCAGGTGCCTTTACCAAATTGTTGGTAGGGATGATCAGACAAATTTTAGTATTTTGTAAAAAATTGATCTAAAATTATTTCGGCAGAACTGCGTGGCGCCTTAAATACAATCGAACTTCGAACAAATTCTTCGAAAAATTATAAATTTGATTTTGCAAAATTTTTATTTATTTTATGATAACCCCTATAGGTAAAAAATATAGATAATAGACACAGTATAAAAAAATATTCGATAAGGATGAGATTTGAATGCACACAGGCGATAGAGGACGAGTTCCGCAATTCGTTGCTTAGCTAATCAAGTCACGAGTCATTTTATTCATCAGCGTAAAACAAAGTTATGGAAAGTAATTGTTATAAAATTCAAAGCGGCTTCATAAACCACGAGTACAGGAGTATTTTAAGAAATTTAGATAACCTTTACTACGGAAAATGATGAGGGGGCGTCTTCAAACTGGTGATGGGAACGATTGGAAAAATTTTGATTAGTGTTTTACCATCTACACGATATTCTTAAATTTCATATAAAATTTGGCAACAGTCGATTCAGTTATTTCTGAGCTTAGGTACTGTCTAATAAAATTGACACAGACAGACGGAAACGGGAGGTTTATTTCTGGTACTATAGGGATCATAAAACGTCGAAAAAATTAATATTAAAGTAACTATTCACCGGATGGACCCTATTACATTAAACATTAACTTACCCTCTAGAGGTAAAAATACAAATATTGACATTAAACATGCACACACAAATAGAAGAAAATGAGTAAGAATATGTAAAAAAGAATAAATGCATAGAAAGAATAAAGAAAACAAATAATAAGCTAGAAAATTATATAAATTAACAGAGAACTGTAAAACTAAACCAGAAGCATGTAACAATAAATTGCAAAAAGTAATGGATAAATACGATATAATATAACAATAAAACTACTACTATATTTTGCTAAAAAAAATGTAAGAACTCCAACACCACGCGTTTAAAAGAGTATGAAAAAATTTGATAAAAAATTTTTTTACCTGCACGATATTAAACATTTCAACAGGCGATCAGCTAATAGGGTGAGAAAATATTCTCGGCCTCAATTTTTCTGAAGATTCCAGATGAAAATTTATTCAATTTGTTGAAGAAACGAGTGAATTGAGTTCTAAAGACACAAAAGCTTTGAAAAAATTAGATAATTAAGCAAGAAAATAATAAGCTTGAATGGAGCAAAAAACGACTAAAATACCAAAAATTGGTGGAAGGTTATTTCAACAGAACTTCCCTCGCTCTTGAAGAACAATACAACAAATCCAGCTTTTTGGAAAAATATAAAATTTGATTATTAATTATAATTAATACTATTGTATTCCCAAATTTTCGGGAAAATGGAGTGACCCGTTTCTCATTTAATCAGTAAAATTACTTGACTTATTAATTTTTTTGAGTCACCTTGTATAATTAATGCTAAGAACTATGAGTGCATGAATAAACCACAAGTATCATCATATTTAACACAATTTAGATAGGATTTATTCGGCAAAATTTTGAAATGATGTCATCAGTTTTTTGGTGGGGATGAACAGATATATTATGATTAAAAATTTAACATGCTTATGATAACTTTAAATCATCTGCAAGATTTCAAAATATTCGGTACTGCAGATCCTAATTTAATCAATAAAATAAATTGAGTCATTCATTAATTTTTTTGGGTCACCCTGTATAAATAATTCAAAAAACTACGCGTACGTTGAAAAATCACAAGTAAAAAATATTTTGCATACTTCAGAACAAAATTTTGAGATAACGTCATCAATTTTTTGGGAGGGAATAAACGAATAAATTTTGATTAAGGATTACTATGATTATGATAACCTTAAAACGTTTACAAGATTGCAGAGTATTTGGTTTTGCAGTTCTAACGTTAAACTGCAATATATTTTTACATAATTTTGATTTTTTTTCAAAAAATATGGATGTCTAGTGTGAAAAGTCGACACGTATTCATGCACCACAAATACAGAAATATCTCATTTTTTAAAATAAAAAAAATACTATTCTAAATTTTGCAGATGACGTCATCTCATTTGCAATAGGGATGATTAACCAAATTTTAGTTAGCGTTTTACCATCCACATTTCTAATATGTACACATAATTTGACAATAATCGGTCCATTAGTTTCGGAGATTATGTCTAATAAACTCCTGACAGACGGCAGGCCCGCAGGCAGCTAGCCAGACAGACGAACAGACAGACAGACAGACAGACAGACAGACAGACAGACAGACAGACAGACAGTCGGAAACGGGAGACCTATTTCTTCGTATTCTAGGGTGGGAAAACATAAAACTACGGACCCGATTACAATACATACTTTGTTTACGCTTGGAAAGTATAATGATTATATATAATAACGTACAAAAATTTAGATTGCCAACATGTTACAAGAATTAATGAAAGAACTAAGAATCTTCAAGGAATTACGAAAAAATAACTTGGTAACTTAATAAAATAGGGGTAATAATGCATTAAAGAAGGCATTAGTAAAAAAAAAGAAGACGTTACAAAAAAATTAAGCTATAATTGACCTACGAATTTCGTTACTAGGTCACTTGAGTAATTATTTTTCTAGTTTCAGACAATTACTTTCCTTTTTCTTTCCTCTAGTTTATTTTGTTCTTTCTTTTTTCATTCGTTTTATTGCAAAAAACGTTTTACTCGTAAATGATGAGTTATATACAGAAATAATTGAAATGAAAAGTGTACTCAAAATGTACGTTCAATAAAAAAATCGTAAGTATTTTACTCTGTGTTAAGAAAAATTTTAATTGAAGACAGTCAAAATGAAGACAATCATTTAGTATTCAGATAAAAATAAATTGAAAAAAATATATGGAAACAAAAATGTGGTTTTACTAAACGCTATGAAATTCGTTTTACTATTTAATTACTTATACTTTTTTTTGGTTTAATAAAAGCACATTTAAATATTAGATCTAAATGGAAATATCAAATATGAATACGTGTCCGTTAATATTTTTTAAATAGAAAACTGAAAAAGATGGATTCCGGATTGAACTTACAGTTTGTTTGACAGTAAGTATATAGCTATCGAGGTGCCTATAACTTCTTGCATATCTGAACCAATAACAGCAATTTCAACCATTATCCAAAGAACCAGTCGCGGAAATTTTCTATATTGTCTGTAACACATTTCAGCCAAATGCAACCCGGTGACAACTCCTGAAAAATTAAAATCTGCCACTGAAACACGGTTATTAACAACTTACCTACCGAGTTTTGATGCAAGCGACTGCAATAAGTATCCTAATATCGTGGCTAAGAACAAAACCCATAGTAGACGATACCTTCCAACAGAGCCCGACTGCAAATCACTTTCTATATTGCCAGGATCTAGATAAGCAATTGACATTAAGAATCCAGGTCCTGTGAAAGCCCATAATTTGCGAAAAGAGAATCCAGACTGAAAGTTTATTGACGATAAATCCTTCCAGAGTGCAATTAAAAACAACCTTTTCCACTTCAGGTATTTTTATTTTATTTTGAGTAAAGTACGTGTCCAATTCAAACGCTTCATAGTAGTAAGTTATGGGTGATTTTTTCTCAGGGATTTCGTCTCTCACCGGTTCCATTCTAAAGACACTACAAGGACACTTTCAATTGTAATTCTACTAGAAATTTACAATAACAGACTTGTACTTTATAACTTCTGTTATTTGATTATTATCTATAAAATTCGGCTTATCAGAATCAGATTTTTCCGGGATTGATGCGATTTGAGGCACGTTTTATGATAAGAAGAACACTTGCAGTGAGATCGTTGACTGTTTACAAAGTCAAGATTTATCGTGTTTTTTAAAATGAATTGTTCGGTTGCGACAGACATAACAATAGACATAAGAGACGGTTATCTGAGTCGACTGAAATTATTTTCTTGGACGTTCCATCTTCATATTCCACACATCTGTCTGTGCCTTTTATATATTTGTTATTAAAGAGAGATAAGCCCCTTCTGGCCTCATTTAAGTCAATGAACAAAACAAAAGTCCAACAAGACGGCCTCTTATGGCACTGGACCACATGTTTATTTTCTGAGGTTTCTAAGTGTGTCTTTGGGGAAACATAGAAAAACGTATCAGAATGTTTCAGACCTTTTGTTTACTCAGTTTGCTCTTTAAGACGCACAAGGAATGAACCAAAAATTACGATTTTTACACTGTATTTTATGCTTGGGTTTCACTGAATATCAATAAATGAAACTTTTAGGGCTGACCTAGATTTTTTGGTGTCACTTATTATACAGTTAGTACGTCAGGAGATAAAATAATATAGATCTTTGACCGTTTCTAAGGATTAAAATATCTATAATCGGAACTGCTAAAAATATGTGCTATTACTTCATGAGCGAGAAATAATTATAATTGTTACAATAATAGTCACAGATAACAATTATTTGACAATAACTTGTTATACTTAATATATTTAAGGTATTTTTTTCTTATCAGACTGTTTTTTTTTCTCTCTTAATACATATATTTTTTAGTTTTATATTGTTCTCAATCTTTTATTATTCGTGACTTTCATTTACTGACTTTTTTTTTCAGGTTAATATTATTGCCTATATGTTATCTGAGGTCAGTAAGAGATTCACACACTTGATCACTAAGTAATCCAGAAACTAATCATTCATGTTTTTCTTTAAAAGAAGAGTTCTATATCAACGTTAGTTTATACTTCGCAGTTTGGCCCCGACCTGTTTGCACTGAAACCAATTTGCACCCAAATAAATCTGTACTTAGGTTATTTGCTCATTGGAAAATTTGAACAGTCATTATGTTGAATTTGAATTAATTTATTTATTGTAGGAGTAATATTTCTATGGTATTTCTCCCACAAATTTTTTTACGACTTCAAAATTTTAACAACTGTAATAAAAATTTAGGGTATCACTATGCCCTAGTTGTTACAGTTATTAATGTTGTAATAAATAAATAAATATATTGTACAATTGTGTTACTACGCAACATATGCTAAAACTAACATAGAACCCCTTATCAGAGTGTTATGATAAACATAAAGTAAATTTTTTGCAAAAAAAATAATGACACCACGTCACGGAGGTTTTTTATCAGTCAACGCATTGTGTGTTTCGATTATTCGGGTTAGTAACGTCATTTTTTATTAGCCATTATATCATTTTTGCTGTGATTATCATCTGAAAAAAGAAACTATCGGTAAAAGTAATAGGTAGTGTGATTTTTATACACTTTTTATAAAAAAATAATTAAATATATATCCGAGTTTTAATTGAATCTGAAAAAAATAAGCACTTCATTAAGTTTATTGTGTAAAAAAAAGTATTGCTCTGGAAAGGCCAAATAATGAGTGAATTTTTAAACACAGGCAATAAACATGTAACAAGTGAAATTTCTTTAATAGAATTTTTAAACGTGACGTTATCAGTTTTTTGGATCAGTACGAACATAATTTTAATGTGTATAATGTAACACTCATAAGAACATGCAAGCTACTGAAGTAGTTTTTTTGTGTTTTTGATTTTACTGATATTCTAGATTATCAGTACATTGTAGTTGAAAAAAAAATGTCAGCAAGTTGAACTTTTTTTTTATTTAAGTATGTAAATTTGCTTTTATTCATCACTTTTCCTCTTTTTTAATGCGTATATATTAGGGTGATTCAAAAAAAAAAAATAATTTTTTTTTTTCGTGCAAAGAGGTTCAAAAGTTTCTTTTCAACGTAAAAAAATACCAGTTAAAATTTGAGCTCTTAATATTAATATTAAGACCGTCCGCATCGCGTTTTTCTATTTCCCATAAGAATAACATGGGAAAATTTTTGTTTGCACCTTCTGATTTTTATTGCTAGCCCGTCGTGTGTCGTGAAAAAAATTCAATCACATATTTTTATAGAGAATTGAACGCTCTACAAAAAGTGTCTCCTATGATTGTGCGAGAAACCTGATAGTTGAAGAGTTATTTTAGGCTAAAGTTAAATTTATCCAAATTTTGACATTTTTGATGCATTACAATAAATTTGATGGTCTTATTGGAATAAATCACCACAAAAATTTATACACATTTTAAATTTAGTTTTTTAAACAGTAATTGTTTATAATTTTATGCTATAATAAGGCCAGTAAAACTCTTTCCGAACATTTTCAGCATCAGTGGGTTAAAAAATCATAGTCAGGTTTCTCGCAAAATCATAGGAGACACTTTTTGTAGAGCGTTCAATTCTCTATAAAAATATGTGATTGAATTTTTTTCACGACACACGACGGGCTAGCAATAAAAATCAGAAGGTGCAAACAAAAATTTTCCCATGTTATTCTTATGGGAAATAGAAAAACGCGATGCGGACGGTCTTAATATTAATATTAAGAGCTCAACTTTTAACTGGTATTTTTTTACGTTGAAAAGAAACTTTTGAACCTCTTTGACACGAAAAAAAAAATTATTTTTTTTTTTTGAATCACCCTAGTATATATGTATACCTTTTTAGCGACTATTTATCCGATGTGCCTGACTCTGTTTTTTCTACTTATATATATATTTTTTCTAATTTATACAGGATTTCTATGATTATATGGGTCGAAGTAGGTCATGAACACGTCCCGCCCCTCAATTTGCACCTTACTAAATGCCCAAGGGAGCAAGACAAATACCATACGCATCTGTATAACTGGTTGCCGTACTTAAAAAAATAAATTAAGCTAATTCATTACAATAACAAGAAACAAATTTGTTGTGGTTAAACATCACAGTAAATTTTGAAAATATTCACTATTTTGTTCAAGGCACATGTTCACTCTCTTTTTAGTTTCAAAAATCTTCTTTAATCTATTCGTCAGTGCCCGTTCTTCAATTTCATGTTGCAACAGGAACTCCTGACTACTGAGAGAATTGTGTCAAAGATGTTTGAAGATACTGCTCAAGTCGTCTCAAATCATCAACAACTTCTGCAGAAACTCAAGATCTTCCACGAGATTTCCTTTCGTTGACACCGCCAGTTCCAACAAATTTGTGGCTTATATCTGTAATGTGAGTCTCTATCGATGGTTCTTGAATTATTAAATCACGGTATTTGGCCAGATATTCTTGATTCAACACAGTAATCCATGTTCACAGTCATAGCTTCCTAGTACAAAAGTAAAATTTTCGTACGCAACCAGCAAGAGTTTTGAAAACAACGACGACTTTAATTGAACTATGACATTAATGACAACTGAGAACTGTCACAATGAGACATAATTTCAGCGAAGCGGGATTTATTAAATCCATGGCTAACTTTAATATACAAAAATTTTCGTCTCTTATTTAAGCCTGTTTCTTGTTAATCAGGTCCTTGATATCACAATTAACTTTTAAAATTATAACTACTTATCTATATATATTGTGGTAGAAATCATATCGTCACCAAAAACTTGCTTTAGTTTTCAGGGTGTAGAATCGGTTTAATGAAATGTAACTTGTGTCAGTAATAAATAAGTTCGTTTCTAGCTGCGGTAACTTAACAAACAGTTATACAGAACTACTTAATTAATAATAATAATTACCAATAACACTAATAGAGAAGTTTCTAATTCAGTAATAAGAATTAAAGAAAAGGAGAAAACTTTCTCGAGGAGGGGTGAACTTAATTTCAGAGTTTATTGTTCGTGTTTAAAGCATCAAACTCAAACTGAAGGTAATTAGAGTTATACAACTACTGGCTCAGTACACGAAAGTAAGGTTTTAAGACGTCAGCAAATAAATAACTAGTCACTTAAAACGTTAGATGGTTTTGTCTGAATCATTAATAACTATTCTAGGAAGCTAAATTAGATAGCTACAAGACAGCAGGATCGGAAATGAAAGAGAACAAACAACCTGTTGTTGGTTGGAAATATCCCAGGGCAAAGTTGCTTTTCAAGTTTTAATAAATTATTGCTAAATTTTATTCTGTTATTCTTAAATTAGATAAGAAGTTTCTAATTGGATAATGGAAAAATTAGCACAGAAACGAAATATTTAACATTGAATTCGAAACAACATAAATTTGTAATAACTGTAAGAGAAGCTCGAGTCAACTTCGTAATGCTATAACGTTGTTTTTTTTTTACTTTTCAGTAAGTTTAACCATCTAAAACTTAATTTAAACTGATGTGTGACTTGTTCATTACTCAAATGAAAATTAATTCATCATCACTTAATTTGTTCCTTGCATGTTTTTGTTTTTTTATGATATAGATACAATCAAAGACGTTATTAATTATTCCCCAACAATCACTCTCACAAACATTTTGATTGGGTATTGTACTGTAATAAATAACTGATAACGATACGTGACACGTCCCAATCATTGTACTCACCATTATTATTAGTCAGATGTTCGATAAATCACTACCTTATCTAACAACACGTAATATCATTTGCTCTTTTCACCACTAGAAAAACTGGAAATTAGTCACCCCGATTAGAGTCTCTCCTCTTTTTTGACTGCAGAACGTCAATCTTTGTATTTTAATTGCGATTTTTAAGGGACGTTCACATCACAACGAACGCAAAAACGGAAAAATAACAAAAATAACTGAACTTCATTATGTGTCGTTTATGACTCTTTTACACACGTTGTTGGGTTAGCACTGGCCTTGTCATGTGACGTTTACTTTTAAAATATTCGCCTTGTTGTAAGTTTAGTCATTAACTTTGCTAATTTAATGCTGAAAGTGATTTCGGTCGGCAAGTAAAAACGTATGTATTAAAATTTGTGGTGAATATAAGAAAGACAAAGCAGACTTTACTATAGACATTTTTGAGGTACCTAATTCCTTTTTTAAAAATACACGTCGGTAGAATTCACACCTTGAAATAACATTTTGAGCACTTAGTGTTTCAGTCTCTCATTTGGCAATATAATTTTCAAAATCTTTACTGACTGCCATATAAGTGTGTTATAAAAATTGACAACGCACCATATCACTCAATACCAAGACAAAATGCAAAACTGTTTAACCAAACTAATTCAACAATCCTTGCAGAAAGTCACTATGTCACTGCGTGGACAATTTTCCCACCTTTTGACCGAGTAACTTTTAAACTTCAATGTATAATTAAAAATGCGCTTCAACAGAGTACAATTTTGTTTATTTTTCTACTAAAAATATCAACAAACAGGTAACAAAGTATAACAAATTAAAATCAATAGTCATCCTCCGCTTCGGTGTAGGCTTCTGATTCTCCTCCGTCGTCATATTCGGTGTAGCTCTCATTGTCACCGTCCTCTGCTGTATAATGAGCCGAATCACCATCTCCTTCATCATACCCTATTAATTCAGTACATGCATATACATTAGTATTGCAGCATTATAACTTAATATAACATAATCTACACTGCTAACAACCGGCTTTGTTTGGACAATAAATCAGCCTCTACCAAATGGCGGTCGAAAAAGAAATATCGCACTAATAGAATGAAATTCATATCTGTACTCAACGTTATTCAATTTATTCTACTATTTGTGCTGATTTCAAAAAGCACTGTACAGCCACGAACGTGTTGTAACTCAACGATAAATTTAAAACGACTTTTTGGATTTTTTCGTCCAAAACAATTGTATGTCATATCCGATTATAAACTCACACAGTTGGAAAATAATAAAACGAATAACGTTGTATGGAAAACATTTGACACTGGTTGTCAAATGTAACAAATCATTGTTATTTTAATTTTTACGTTATAAACAATAAAAGATATTACACGGCAATTTAATCGACATTCTTCTTAAGTTAAGTACAAATAGAATCTGGTTAAAGTAGAGTCCGCGAAATAGTGAACGCTGTATTCCTCATTCGATTCAGAGAACCTTTGTCAATGGTCAATGACATCCGATTCTCAATGTTTCAAAAGAAAAATTATCCGAATTAAAATATTTAATATATTTATATAGAAAAAATACAAACTTTTTTTGTGCCGGGTTTAGAGAACATTAGCATATTTGCTGTACGGTACATGAAAAAAAAATCTTTCAATTTTAATTTAAAATTAAATTATTTACCATAATTTCCAAGGAAATTTATGCCGTTAAAATTTTTTACCCTATTTATTACCATTTCACTGGAACAAAAATTTCAGTCGCCCACATAATGTTAAGCAAAAACAAACCTTTTACAAGACAAAGCCAGCTACACGGAGTCATTAATGAACATGTAGAGGATGTGGAATAAAGATCTTTCAGCACTCCGTATTAGTGTAGGTAGATATAGCACGGCAGCACATTAAAAACAAAGTACTTACGTTTGAAAGCAACAGCCACATTTCGCGATTTTATACTTCATACTTCCAAACATATTCTTACCTCCGTAATATTCAGACTCGTTGTCACCTCCCTCAGTATTTGCTGCAGCCTCTCCTTCTCCTTCGTTGTAATTTTCAGATCCTCCGTCCGTGTAGCCTTCAGAGTCACCGGAATCAGCGTAATAGCCGGAATCTCCATCATAATCTTCAACGGCGCGCAATCCCTTTTTACCCCTTTAAAATGCGTTTTTGCAGTCAGATGCGGATAACAGTTATATTTTATCGTTACTGCAGCGACAGCTATTTTCTAAAATAATAATAATTGTTCGACGCTTTAAATAATTGCCCTCGTTAGAGTGACAGCAAAGTTAAGTGGCATTTAATAGGAAAAAATTATTTCAGTTTTCAGACAAAAACGAACCGTCTATTTTAAACTAATGGGCTGAAGTTTCCCGACATTCGTCAATCGTTTGTTTCCGCAGTGAAAAACAGTTACTCTGTAATTTTCCCCGACATATGTTTATGTTTCGTGTTTCGGTGTTTCTTTCTTTCTTAATTATTTTTGAATTACTGTTAATTTCGACTTGCCAACCACTACGAAACGTGAATACGAGTACATTTACGAAAGTTGGTTCAGCCTGATGTGGCTTTTCAGAACGTTAATTCACAAGCCGCTGGAAAAATTATGTTTCCATTCAAAATATGCGCTTCGAAATATAGTGGTAGTTGGATTTCCAATAATTAAACCCTGTTTTGATCGTTCGTGAAAAAGTTAAATGAAACCCGTGTAGTTTTTGCGTTTTTTCCATTTGAGTGTTGAGTTTTTGTTCAAAGAAAAATTTAAAGCAACGTCCTATGTTTTATGTAACTTATAATTTGAATTTTTTATTTTTATTGTACAAACATTTCAGGATCGAACCCGATTTTCAGACAAACTAGAATTGTACTGTGGACAAATAATAATAAAAAATACAATTAACACTGACAAAACTAGACTGCTTTACGGGTGTTTGTTATTCAAGCTTTCATTTTACGCGCAACCACTGGCCACAAAAATAAACCTTGTTTCAATTACAATTAATTAGTAAACGTGTTTCTTTGTTTTCAGTGAGGAAAACAAACAGGGTCACAAATAAAATATTTAATTAAAACGGGAGTTATTTTACTTCCGTGGAAAACAACTATTTGAAAAAATTATATTACAATAAATCAAAAATTGACAAAAGGAAAATAATTCAATGGAGAATAAAAATGGAATTTCATACTAATAAAAAAAAAAACTTTGAATACACCTTTTATCGTTTCATTTTTATCCTTTTCAAGCAAATACATGACCATTAAAATAAATCGAAGAGGCCGACCTTTCTCTAAAATTAGTGTTCAAATTTGTAAACCGTTTGGGTTTAAACTTTCCCACATTGCTGGTAAAGATCATGAATTATTTATCAATACACCTACGTGTAATCCATTTATTCGGCAAAAGTTTACAATAATGAAACAAAATTAATAACGTTGTGGTTGCTAATAGACTTAAAAAATATTTCATAATGATAATACACTCTAGACTTTGCAGCGGAAAGACTTTCATCTAGTGGAGCGCGACGCTGTTATAAATCATAGTACGAGAGAAGAGGTTAAAACTTTCGCAACAGTTTCTGCTTGAGGTTTTAGCGACATATTAGTTTAGTTTGCACTACTTTCAAGAAAAAATTAAAGAGCAATTTATTGTTAAATTTACTTGTCAAGAAAGGGGCATCGAATTTGTGAAAAATAATTGAAAATCGTTATTTTCTAAATCAAATGCAGAATACTTGTAAATTTAAATTTTGATAAGATTTTTTGTTATCTAAATACGTGATTGATAAGAACGTGTTCATTACATTAGTACTTCAAAAAGTGACACATTGTTGAGAACAGGGCAAACAAACGTGAGAACTTTATCTTATATTTAATTCTATTTTGAATTCTTGTTTTGCTAATTTCTTTAAGTATAAAATGCGTGAAGTTGCAACAAAAAGAAAACAAAATAATCTATCTATTTAATTTACTTACTGATTTATTTGTTTCTAGATCTGCAGAAATTCTATAAAGTGGTTTGAGTTCAGCGTTTTTTGAGAGAAATTTTTAAGAGATTTTTTCAACAGTTAAAAAAAAACGAATTTTGACAAACAAAATGTAATTTTTTAATTTATTAAAAAAAAAAAAAATAAATCCGTTAGCTTGAATACATATCAGTTTGAATTTGAGAAAATTTCATACACCCAACTGTTAAAAGAAACCGTATTTTTTGTTGAAACATTTAAAAAAATAAACTCACTTGGAATTAGGTGATCAACGGTTTAATGCTTAGTAAAACAAATATAGTTGAAAAGTGGTATTTCTGTCCACGGTCGGGTATACAAAGTTAGTTTAAACTTAGGTTAACTGAACCGAGTTTTATTGATGTGTACATACGTTATAATATGTTCCTCAGCCTGTCAGAACAAACAAAAAACAGGCAAACAGAAAATATATGTAGTTTAAAAATATTTCTGTCAGTTTGCGTACCACCGAGCCAACAAAAAAATCTTTTTTTATAGTCAAAGAAGTTATAATTCATAGCTGAAAAAAGAATCTTCCATTTTATACAATTCTTGTTGAATGGTCCGTTTTATTAAAGCTTGTGGAAAAATGGTCCACATTATAAACTAGAATAATTCTTTTTCCTTTAATATTCACGAAATCCCGAACATTTTGAACCCGGTATCATATTAGACTGAAGATGTCGGTCGTTCCGCCGCCCACAGCAACTTTACACCGAAAGATTACAAGATTTAAAATTCAGAAATCTATCTAGTTAATTTTCCGAGAAACAAACAAGTACGCCAGTTAAAAAGCTCGTAATAAAAAAAATCCCAAAAACTTCGTAAAACTTCGTAAAATTAGATTTGCAACAAGCCGGAAGATGTTCCGAATCTCGCGAAGTGAAACATAAACGCAAAACTGAACAATAAAATTCATTTATTTATTCAGCGCCCGAGCTGATCCGAATGTTATCTCTTGAGGGCAACTGCGGAAAGACCACCGACTGAATTTCTTTCAAACCATCATTTCAAAGTATAATAAAATGCCCTAAACAGAACGTTTTCCCAATGGAAGGACACTACAATAAAAATAGATGTGCAGAGACCCAACTGAAACTTTACGTTTAAATGGTGTAAAAGGAGCAACTGATCAATAGCTGTAGGGCACTCAAGGAGCGTTTTTGATTTGCTTTTGCTTGCGGAGGGATGAGTTGAAGTATTGTGAAAGTTAAACATGTGGAATATAAATTATGATTTGGCGAACGAAAATTTGACTTGATTGTAGTCTGGATGTCACATAATAAGGGTGTTTGAAAAGTTGTAGGTTATTTATCGCACGATACGTGCAGTTCCGTACTGATAGCGTGATAAGGTGTCATTCCAAACGTGCTTGTGGAATGATAAATTGGAATCGTATTATAAAATTTCGAGTTATTTTAAGACTGCGAAGGATTTTCTCGGTTGGTGCAAAATCACTTACTCGTTTTCCTTTTCGACAACCTGGTAGGATTTTTTGGTTTCGGCCTCGTCGTCTCCTGGAACAAAACATAATCGTGATGAATGAAGTGGATGTTTAGCCACTAATATTCAGAAATTAAATAACTGCTTTAATTGCAATTCATTCGTAAGCCACAAATTGGAGTACAAACAATTTTCAGTATAGCAGGCATTGCAATACATTACGAAATATTAAATTCCATAATTTAATTATCATTGTTTCGTATTACTTCCACATTTAAATTTCATTAAACTGTGCAATCACAAATCCTTCCTCTAAATAACATCTGGAATAGACTGATTAAATATAGATAAATTCAATTCAACGTTTGGATGTACTATGTGGAATTATTTTCGCGTTAATTATTTAAATTTCGATGGCTGTCTAGTTTGATAGTTCAGCGGGATAATTTTTTTTTCAGGTCCGATAACTAAATACGCACAAGCTGGGACCGAATTTAATTAACTATACAACATTTCTAGGAATGTTAAAAACGAAGTTTAACTCTCCGCAATACGTGGGTGAAATTTAATAGGAGAACAGATTAACTGACTATGAAACGAGGAAAATTATTTTTAATTATTTACTAAATTTTGACGGAAGCTCATAATTTCATCGGTGACGAATGCGTATAAAAAGGAACACCATATATTTGAATAATTAAACATTATCTTTGGAAGAAATAGGTAGATTTTGTACAAATCATTTAAATGTATTGATTTCATACACATAAAAATGTAGACAATAAAACCTATTGGCAGGTGATGAAACCATTTTTTTTTCTCAAGGCAAAAAATACACACAATAAAACTGTAAAGACAAAAAAAGATAAACTATGGGAAAAGATAACTTATTTAAAGATGAACCAATTGAAAAAAAAATGACCGTACGGAAGTAGAACATCATACTATTCAACTTTAAATTCTCATTTAAGTATACTCAATTTGATACATATTGGAATAGGATCTTCCACCGATGACGAATAAAATACACAAAATAAAAACTAAAAATAAATTGCAGCTCAGTAAAAGTTGAACGTTAAGATTGTGTATAAAATATATTTTAATAAAAATAAATTTGTTTACATACATTTTCGCATTTTTTTGTTACTGTCTTTATTTGATTGATAAATAACTGCCAAAATATCTAAATTCTATTATACTATATTACTATTTTTTATTGAAATTGTTAAAATGAATATCCAAAAAATAAACTAAAATCATATGTATGAATAGAAAATACTGTCGGTAACTGGGGCACACTGCTTTCAAAAGTACTTAATCAAGTATATAACCTTCACGTGTCAAAACTGTCGAGAAATCAATCATGAACTCAATATATTAGACTAGAAAACTATTCAATCAGTTTTTGTTCCAAAGTTATCACAGACACGTAAATGTCACTTAATAAGTATTAGTACTTAATAAATTTATACTAATTTAGAAATCTTCTTAAACAAGGGTGAGTTACTAAGCGCATGTTTTTCGATATATCATTTAATATTGAAAACAAAAAAAGTCAGACACTAAAATTGTACCTTTCTTTGAGCACCATACACTAAAATTATTTTTAATTATACAGAGTGTTCTGCTTTTGAGACAACAGACAACTTAGTTTTTTTAATAAAATATCCTATATATTTTAATAAGGTTATTTTTGAAATCTGTGAGAGATAAACAAAGATACGCGCTTTGTTGTGATATAAATTAATTTGAGCCTTAACATACCGAGTGTTAATTAAAAAAAGTCACATTTCGATATTTCAGTTTTTTTCAAAAAACGTCCTATATTTTATTACTGATTTTTTATTCGGTCTTCGATCTGAAGGGGATAGTTTCTGACATTGTTCACCTTTTTCAGAGACACACAGACATATTGAAAGAAAGATAACAAAATTCAGAGTAAGATGAAGTCATAAATATAGATGTTCTATTTTAAAAATCTGAAATATCCTTGTTTGAGAATTGTAAAGTTTTAGAATTTTTATATTTAACACTCTGTATAAAAAAAAAATAATTTAACTAATACAACATAAAATATTATAACATAATACATATTATAAAAATATCTCTATTGTGATTTTTTGTGAACCTTTGCATTGGTAAAAAAATTCAAAAATACTGAAACAACCTGACAACGTCGCATCTGAATTTCAAAAATAAAACATTGTTATAAGTCTACAACCAGGCCAATTAGAGTATGTAAAAATTTACAGGACGTTCTGTAAAAAAACAATTAGTTGTATATTGATATACCGAAAACTGCGCGCTTAGTGACTCACCCTATATATTACGAATAAAGTGACTGGAACAAACTCGATTTCTTATTTACTGTTTGTGGCTTTCTGATAATAAAAATAATTTTAGGAGATCATTTTAACAACAAGTATTTTGTAAATATGGTAACTCAAGTGACGCTGAAAAAAGGCAATGTTTATGAGTAAAATTTTCAAATTCTTTGTTGATTTGACTATAAATAATTGAAATAATTAATTGAAATGTTACTTCTCCGAAAGTCGAAGAAGTTGAAAAAAAGGCCAAAGACATATTATGGTTATGGTTAATAAAATCAGCACGGAAATTTTAATAAATGTTGTAACCATAACAAGACACACATGTAGTAATCGCATATTTCAGACCAAAGTTGCCACCTTTTGAAAATAAAGGCTATGTTGAAAAAAGTTGAAGACGTTAATAAATTTATGTTAAAATGAAAATAATTACACCTTAAACAACAAATTCATCATTTGTCAATCCAAAGCATAGCAAATTTAGCACCTTGCCGTGTTTCTTTAATAACAGTTTTTGCTGTAAAACTAAACATTTACTTATAAGACCATTTTTTTTCCTAAAATGCACATTGTTGTCAGAAACACCTTTTCTTTTCTCATTTTTTGTAAACAGAAATATTGTAGTGTTTTGATTCTATTGAATTCGAGTTGGCATCGCCTGTCAAACCTTGAGTGGTAACACTGATAAAATTTGACGTAAATTAATAATAACATAACCGTTAGGAGTAATTAATTTATTATTGTCTCTGGGAACAGCATTTATTTAATTTCTAATATTGACAGATATTAGATAGCTGCAGAATGATATGGTGTGTCATTTATGCAGTATTGTCACAGTTCATTTCACAGTCAACTTTAATTCAGTTTATGTTTCCTACAAAGATCGTCTAGTCTCAAAATATTTAACAAACTAATAAATGTTGCTTTAAAAAAAATAAACACAGAATTCCTGAAAACAGCGCAGTGGTCTAAACCCGCGAAATTTGTAACTTTATGAATTAAAAATGAAAATATTATCGTTCTTCCTACTTTCTTATCATAACAAATATATTTCCCATTATTATTATTATTGATATCTGCTTTAAGGTGAATTGCATCTGCATAGTATTTAAATGCACAATTTGATTGCTTTTGTCATATAGATCATAAAAATTAATGAGCGATTCAGTGAAGAGGTTGACACTCTTTTTGTGAAAAGTTTTTTCCATACAAAAATCTCAATCTTCAAAATTTTCTTCTTCCAGGCACGAAAAAAATGCTAGTGCATACTATTTGTAGAAACTGTGTCGCTAATTAAAGCACCCGGAAAGACATAAACACGAATTTATCGGTAAAAAATCTGTAAACCCATTTTGACAGAGCTTTCCTCACCTTCAAAGAACAACAAGTACTGTATGCATCATGCATCACAGAACATAATTTTTATGTGTACCATAACAACCCAACTCAATAAGCTGAAGCCATTATACTATGAGCGTAGAATTTATAACAACATGACGTTAATTATTCTCCATCCCGGCTGTCCCTATTCCCTTGGGTATGTACATTGTGATGCAATGTAATAGTGTTAGAAATTAAACGGTATATTTTTGAGTTAATCGATTCTGCTCATCGTTTCATATATTCTTCAGAAAAGAAGATCACTCAGATAATTGCAGAACTGTATTCAGAACATATTTATCAAGAATCATAAAAAAAAAATTTACTTAAGGTCAGTCACAACACAACACAACACACCTGTCGTTATGAAATTTTAAATATAACTTGTCCATAAGAGCAGTTTTTTTTTAAAACAATTTACCATTAACATTACTTTTAAAATTTTGGTGAAATTTTCCATCACGTATTTTTAAAAATCAATGTCTCAGTTGTTTATGGAAATTTCGGAACGCAGTTTTCACGACTGTTTTAGCTGACCAAACTCTATTCATTATAGAATTATTGACTTTTTTATCAGAAAAAAGATACAGTAAAAAAAGCAACGTCAGTATCTCTTTTTTAATACCGAAGACACGTAATTTTGGAATTATTTTTGATTTACACTGAAAAAATTATCCCGCTGTACTACTTCTTGCTTTGTACAACGACGACAAGCTTTATTTTTACTACGACCAAACCAAAGCTACTCACTGTTATTGTCATAACCTTCCGAGTATTTCTCGGATTTGCCGCCCCCACTGGCTCCTCCCTTATTCTCCTTTCCAAACTCCGAATGCATCTCGAAGCCGTATTTGTCCCCGTCCTTCTTATGGTAGCTATCGAAGTGCTTGTAGCCATCACTTCCTTTATCCTGTGTCTTCTTGTGGTACCCCTGTACATCCCCGTCTGAGTCCTCCTTGTCGCCGTACGTGTGCAAGAAAGCCTCCTTCACCCCTGAAAAAACGTGGAAAGTTAGTGCTAATAACCTCCGCAGTTTGAATCCTAGAACTGCAGGTGAAAGAGTGACTTTCGAAATTGCAAGACTTCCCTGGAAGTTCAGCAATGCATTATCGAAAGTGACACAAATTTAGATTGATGCGGCAATTTGCCGGTCGGATGGTCGTAGACAGTGGCGTAACAGGGGGGGCTTGGGGGCCCCAGGAGCCCCACTGACCAGAAACAAATACTAATATTGAATTTCATTAAAAGCTTTTTTTAATTAATTCAAAATGTGAAAAAAGATTTATGAGCAATTATTTGTACTAAAAGCATATTTCGTATACTGTAAATTTGGCAATAAAAATAAAATTCCGAAAATTCGGACATTAGAGTCTTGTTTTATAAAATTTTCACAGGAACCTCAAACGAGAAACGCGTAACATGTAACTAATTCAAAACTTTGGTATTTTATAGAAACAATCTGAAATATTGTTGTCTCGTAAAAATGTTTTCTCCTTGGGAAAACAAAACAAACAAAAAATTCATTCATTCTTGAACACGATGAAGGTACAAATTTGATGAATGTGGAGACTGTTATTATTATTTTTGTAATCCAAATGAAAATTCTGAAGTAACAGTGTTTGTGTTATCTAAAAAAAATTAAGAAAAAAAAAACAGCTGCTTCTGAAATGTGGGAGGAAGTTTGAAAGCAATAATAAACAGTCTAGGTCCCTAGCTGATTTTGTCTGCCCGTGAAAGTACCAAATGTAACCTTCAGCGACTTTACAACGCATTATTTCAAATAAATTTGATTTCAGTGCCACTTCAGGTTTTGTTAGTTACGCCTATGGTGGCAGATTCTCACCTGGCCGGATGAGGTCTTCAATGTGCTCAGGAACGACGGCTCGAGCTTCTCTTACTGTGGATTCCACGACGGCGGTGTCGTCCCCCAGGTCCAACATCAGGTCATCCTTGGCAGGGATGGCCCAAGTAGCAGGAACAACAACCAGTAGGAAAAACGCACCCGCGATTTTACACATGTTTACCAACCTAAATAAAACGCGCCTTAGGCCGAATTTATCGACGGTCAACAAAAAAGCGCCCTCACGGGAAGATAATGTAAAAAAACGTGAAATATGTACGTTTTAACAGCAAGTGCTTTTTAATGCACCTATTTGTTATACCCGATATATCGGTGTTTGCTTTGGCTGTGTTCACGGACTTGTAAATTCACTCTACTTATAACTGTGCATTTTTTTTTCGTCGGAGGAGGTTTGGAAGGGGCTGTTTTTTTCACTGCGGTTTGAGTTATACAATTCGGGGTTTTTAGATAATAGTGACGTAATGTTACCAGATGACGAGCACTTTGTTATACTTCGATTCCTTCATTCAACGACCTATAAGCTTTTTTCGTGGGATCGTAAACCATGAATTACTGCTGCCAATACCAGAATAAATATTTTGCGGTTCATTCATAACCAATTAAGTAAACGTATAATTAAAATGATGACTGAAAAACGTCGACGTCTTTATTCTTCGGTGGTCGAGTTTGATTCGGTTTTTTCGCACATTGTGCAATTATGGGGGTGTTGCTTCACAGAACGCATCTCTGGTTTGGTTGACGTAACACCAACACTTAATTTCTTCTCTCTCTTTTTTTATTATCTTCAAGAAAGTGGATAAGTAATGATATTTTCTCCTCTACTTTAGTTGTGAATGTCCTTGATGATGACAACAGAAATCGCTCAAACGAAACGCAGTTACAAGCAACAAAAAATTGCGTCCGTCTGAAACTTGATTTCAAGTACATATTTGTGTCAATTGTAAAATTTTTTGCTTAGTTTACTATTTTTACTAATTAGTTACACAGTTAATCGTTTTATTGTAAACAACGATAAATAAAATCTGTAGTTACTGTACTTTAGTTAATAAAACAAATCATATTTGCAAGCGTTGTTTATCAGTTTTTCAGCCATTTTTTTTTTCATAATCTATTGCTGAGTCTTTTAACATCATGTCTAATTGTTTAGGCATATTTGGGGAAATAATCTAAAATCTAAATAATTTTGTACTTGAAAAAATAGCCGTCCTTTTTATTTCCCGAGCGTAAGCGAAGGAAGTATTGTAATGGAGTCCGTCTACCAACTCTCCACTTTTACATTTTCTCGCCTTTTCATGACCCCTAGAGAACGAAGAAATAGGTATCCCGTTTCTGTCTGTCTGTCCGTATGTCTGTCCGTCTGTCTGCCCGTCTGTCTGTCCGTCTGTTTGTCTGTCCGTCCGTCTGCCTGTCCGTCTGTCTGTCCGTCTGTCCGTCCGTCTGTTCGTCCGTCTGTCCGTCTGTCTGCCGTCCCGGATTTTTTTAGACAGATAATCTCCGAAAGTACTAGGCCGATTGTTATCAAATTTTTTATTTATATTAGGAATATCATGTAGATGGTAAAACGCTAACTAAAATTTATCTAATCATCCACACCTACTATGTGTGGACGTCACTTCAAAATTGTACATAGTAAATAGGCTTTAAATTGTATAAAATAACATAGTCCCACACATGTAGTTTATGAGACCGTATTGAGTTTTTACCCGAAACGTCCAGATTTTTGGAAAAAAAATCGAAATTATTAAACAACACTTTGCAATTTAATTTTGAATTTGCAAAACCGAATGCTTTGAAATCTTGCAGATGTTTTAAAGTAATAATACATTTTTAATCAAAATGTATTTGCTTATCCCTTCCAAGAAATTAATGACGTCAGCTCAAAATTTTCCTACCTAAAATGTCCAAAATATGCAGACGTTTTAAAGTTATTGTAAGCAAACTATTGGACTATTCTGACTAAATACAGGTTGGTATTATCTCTTGTCATTCTATCACAAGTTTTGAGCTGTGCACAATATTTTTTAAATGATAATGAAGAATTTTCGATTTTCAAAATACTTGTTTATAAGGGCACCCAAAGCTAGGAAAAAACATTTCACGATGTTTTTCTCACATTTACTTAAAATTCTAAGGAACTTAATATACGATGTAACATCGAAGACGACGTAACTATACTACAGCATTTCAGAGAAAAAATAAAAAACGGATGTTTTATTATGTTTATGCCATATAGTTTTTTTTTGCGTGTAAAATTCTTGAATGATATGTGTAAAAATTATTATTTAAAAAAAAATATAGGTGTAAGGATATTTAAACAGAACTTCCCTTTTTTTTCTAGAAAATGGACTGAGCTGTCCTGGATTTGAACCATAAGATAAATTTTCCCATTCCTTAATTTGTGTGAGTCACCCTGTATAAGCAATTCTAAAAAATACAAATGCATTGATAAACAACAAGTATAAACTCCGAATATTTTGCATATACATACGTATATTCGGCAAAATTTTAAGTTAGCGTTATCATTTTTTTGGGACGGATAAACGAATAAATTTTTCTTAACAATTTACCATACATGACACCTTAAAATGGTGGCAAGTTTTAGAGCATTCGGTTTTACTGTTTCAAAGTTAAAATGTAAAATGTTGTTAAATAGTTTTGATTTTTATTCTAAAAATTTACATGTCTATTGTAAAAAATCGAGACAGATTAATAAATTACACATGCAGGAGCATGTTATTTAATATAGTTTAAATAACATTTACAAAGCAAAATTTTGAGGTGACGTCATCACATTGCTGGTGGGGATGATAAGACAAATTGTGGTTAGCGTTACATGATATTCCTAACATACAGCGTAAATTACCAGTCTAATAAAAATCAATACAGAAAGGCATTAGATAGATAGACGCAAACGGAAGACCTATTTTTCGTAGTCTAGAGGTGTCGATAAAACATGGATGGTACTTCCTTGTTTTATGCTCGGAAAGTAAAAACTTCAAAAAGCCATCTTACATTCTCAGTATTTTTTAATTTGATGAAAAATTTGAAAACACAGTAACAAAAATTAGAAACGTAAGATCATTTAGTGATGAAGTTAACAATAAATGTTTAGAAATTTTACATACGTATATATTTATATGTTGTACACGTTTAGGATCAGTTGTTACAGGTATTTGAGGAATTAAATAATATACATAAATCCAAAAATACGTACTTACCAAAAAAAACTTAACAGCAGATTTTAATTTCTTATTCCTATAAAAAAGTTTTTTGTTCAATCGAAACGGTAATCTGATAAGACGAAAATAGTTTCAAATATAAGAATCAAGAATCCATGGCTACCTTTGAACGTATTTTTTATTACTCTCTCGGTACAATAACAAGTTTTATTTCACTGAATTCGTGTGTATTAGCTTCTGTGTGTCATTTAGTGAAAAAAAACAGATTTTTCTCTTTAATCGAACACATAGTTTCAATGAATGCCATTTTAATCTTTAATGAACATTTTTAAGTCAAATTCATATAATATCATAAATTTTATAAAAACATTGCTGTAATTCTTTCAGACCTCTAAAATTATAGTTTTTAATAATGTACTAGTCCTATTTAAAAGAAAATGATATTTTTCCGCAGTAGATGAGATACTAAAAATTAATTGTACACAAGTTATTTTGACTAAAAAAAGTTGGTGTAAAGTTATTTAGACACAACATTCCTCCCTTATGAATCACAATTAAACATGTTCATTTTTAAGCTAAATTATAAAGTCTGATTCTGTAAATTTTATTTTTTTGATGAAAACTCCTCCATATTAAAATAAAAAATAATGCTGTGTCCAGAATTTTTGTTATATTCTAAAAAAATTATTGATTTATTCGTTAATTTTTTTAAAGATATTGTATAAACAGTTAAAAAATATAAAATATATTACTAAAGCGCATATTTTTAACAAGATTTATTTAGTAAATTTGTGCTATTAAGTTTCTCTAGGAAATAATTAAACAAACTTGGACTGTTGTTCCATAACCATTAAATCAGAAATTTCGAAAGAATCGCATTCTTAGTTTCTAAATTGTAAAATTTGGTTGTACAATTTTGAGCTTTTACCCTCTGAGCGAAGTTCGAGAAGTATTATAATAGGGTCCATCCGGTGAACAATTATTTTCATGTTTTCTCGACGTTTACATCTCCTACAGTATAAAAAATTAGGTCTACCGTTTCCATATATCTATCAGATGTCGTCTGTAGTCTGTTGTCGATTTTATTCAAAACTACTAGACTGATGGTGGTAAAACGCTAAGCACAATTTATCTTTAGTTTTACACTTGTTGTTTCTTATTACATTCATATTTTTTAGAGTTGCTTGTAATATTTTTGGAATAGAAGACGGTTGTTTTGCACTGTGTCTAAAATAGGGGTATAAAAGTATAACAAAAGTATTATGCTCACTTTGAACAGAATTTTTACTTGAAAATTTTGAATTAACATTATCAAATTTTTAGTAGGGACAAGTGGACGAATTTTGTCATCTAGACGATATTCCCAAAAAAGTACAAAACAGAAAGGCAACAGATAACAAGCAGACGGAACAGGGAACCTACTATTTCGTATTCTAGGAGCTACGGGACGTCGAGACGTCCTAATTTACACAAAGTCTGAACCATATTATTTCAATACCCCTTTTAGCAATCTAACCTGAATCACCTTTTTGACATAAACGAAACTATAGCAACATAGATTATCACAAATTCTGCCAAACTTCATTCAAAATTCAAGTCATGTTATCACTTCTTCGAAACATTTCCATCAAACATTCCAGTAACATCCACAATGTCATCAAAAGAAACAAGGCTATTCAGAAAAAAGACGAAAACTTCATGATTGTGCGTCCACTTCCAGATGATTACGATGAAATATTATGCCTTATGCACAAAGCTTACTATACCGAAGAACCCACCACGAGTAGCATAGGCTTCAAACCAACGGTATTATTTGATGAAAGAACCCTACACGGATTAAATCAAGGTTTTTCTCTTATTGCAAGATGTAAACACACTGGAGAAATCATAGGAGCTGCTGTGAACGAAGCTAGTCATTGTTGGGATCCTGACGAGATGGACAAACTCGCCTGTCAAGTACAGGATGTTAAAAGTAGACAACTTCTTCATTTCTACGCCCATATGTCTCGAGAAGCGGATCTGTGGAGGAAGTATTGTGTGCACAAAATTTTTGAGGTAAAGTGATTTTAGAATTTGACTGAGTTTCTAATTTTGTGTTTAAGATTACTTACCTGTTTGTACGAAAGGACGCACGTGGAAAAGGACTAGCAGCTCGTTTGGTGAAAGAATCTAGGATTAATGCTGCAGATTGTGGGTTTCACTTGACTAAAGTGGATGCCACGAGTCACTATACGTAAGTTTTTTTCAATGTTTTATAATTTACCTAAGAAATTAGACTTGTTAATTGATTGTGCTTCAGGGGCGAGGAAAGTTCTCTATATTTGATTTTTTTTTCAAAAATGTACACAAAGTTAAAAATAAGGGTATCAGAATATAATGAAAATATTATACCCACACGGCTTTTATTTGCAAATTTTTAAATGACAAATGACGTTATCAAATTTTTAGTAGGGACGAGTAGACAAATTCTGGTTAACGTTTCGCCATCTTGATGATATTTCTAAAATACATCTAAAATTTCACAACAATCATATGCAATATTTTCGGATATCTGTCTAAAAGTACAAAAAAAAAGACGACAGATAACAAACAGACGGGTAACAGAAGACCTACTCTTTTGTATTATAGGAGATACGGAAGATCGAGAAAACAGTAGACGTCCATTCATCAATCGTCAAATGGACTTTATCGCCTAATTTACATTCGGGAAATAACAGACTAAATTTTTTAATCAAAGTTGAAACTAAACTGTAAATAACATTATTATTATTAACACGTACAAAGCAGTTATTTAATACATTAGAAGAAAAAAGAATTAATATTTTGCTACAACTTTATAAAAAATGTTGAAAGAAAATATTTTATGCCAAATGGTAGACAGTGACTTAGATCCTCGATTAAGCATCAATATTTGCAAACCTTTCTAACACACACAAAGTTTAACTACACTCTTTCAATAAAGTCGTGGAATTACCCCAAGTCAAACTTTTTCTCTTTCTATCTTATGCACTTTGTCTGTCGTAGAGACGTATGTCAAATTTTAAAATTTGTCATTGGTCCCAGTCAAAAATTAAGCGATTTTATAACCAAACAAAACAAATAATTTTAAATGTGTTAGACTATCTAGATAGAAACCAAAATGTATTGGAATTTAAGAAAAAAAAGGAAGAAAATACTGGCCGTAGAAATGTTGAAAATTTCGGAAATATCTGTCTTCAGGATACAAAAAGCTCCAGGTTAGATGACTTTGAATGCAAGAAAACTGTGTCTTCTAGAATTAGTCACATAAAGACTAAAGTAAATCCTATAATTTTATGTCAATCCAGGAGATTATCTATAAAATGGTTGTTGCTAAAGAATACATTATTATTAAGTTGCTGCACGATCTAGTAATGGAAGAGATTCTCGATTTTAACGTTGGTCCCAGATCGTTAACCAACTGGATAAGGAAAATTAGTTTCAAATGTAAGAAAAATAGTAACAGATTATTTTTGATAGAAAGGCCTTCAGTTAAAATAAAAAGAACCAAATTTGTAGCTGAATACCACCAATACAGAGGAAAAAATTAAGATGAACCTCTTTTTCCTGATGAAACGTGGATATTTATTAAGGGAAACGGTTTTATTGAAGGAGCCTCTTTAATTTTTAAGGCTAATAGCAATTCTGGAGACTATCATGATAACATGAACCAGAAAAATTTTGAAAAATGGTTCAAAGAACAGTTGTACCAAGTTGGCAGGAACCTTCTCTTATTGTGATAGATAACGCAAGTTATCATAGTAGACTTGAAGTGTCAATTTAGTCTTCATAGGTATTCATATATTGTAATAAAATTTTACTTTATTTATAGGAAGAAATTCCTCGAAAAAATTGGACAAAGACAAAAATGATAGCATATTTAAATAAAAATAGGATTGATTATCCACCCAAGGCTATGAAAGACCAAATCTGGGAAATATTGGCTAACAAACAACCCCAAAATCGTTATCATTTAGATTTATACGCCCAACATCTTGGGCATTGGGTATTGAGGCTGCCACCTTACCACTGTCATTTCAACGCTATTGAAATGGCATGGTCGGAAGTTAAAAGAAATTATGATAAGATCATTCCAAGAACCAGTTCTTCCCCTAATGATGTTTGTGCAACTTGGCAAAATGTGACTGATCAAGTTGGGCTGTGCATTAGAACAATTACATTAAACATACTGATAACATAATAAATTGTGCTTGGGAAAATGAAAAAAATTTAAATATTTCAGAACAGAATGAAATTATTATTAATGTTAATAATTGGAATGATAGTAAGAGTGGGAATGAGAATGATAACACTAGCCTTGAAGATTTGTATGTCGATATGTTATAACTATGTTAACAACTTTTTCTTATTAAAGCTTCCGTTTTTTCGTTCTTTGATTGAGTTCAATTAATTAAGTAATTAAATGGTCCAGTTTTTATAAACTGGAAGAAAAGTCAAAATTTACCATTTTTTTAGTTGACTTTACTTTTTTAGTGCCTGTGCCTTTCAATAATTTGCGAATTTGAAATTTAGATTTATCCATAGCAACATATTTCTAACATATAAAAAACACCTACGAAAATTTACTAAAAAATGTCACATTCTAAGTATTTTAGACTAGGGGTATTTCCACGACTATACCCCTTTTAACACAACAACTACCAACTTAACCTGAATCATCGCTTTGAGACGAATGAAACTATAATAACATAAATCACGACGATTCTGTCAAAATTCAAGTGATGTTATCATTTTTTCGAAATATTTCTATCAGACATTCCACTAACGTCCAAAATGTCATCAAACGAAACAAGACTAATCAGGAAAAAGAAGAAAACGTCGTGATTATGCGTCCTATTCCTGATGACTACGATGAAATTTTATGCCTTAAGCACAACGCTTATGACCCTGAAGAACCCAGCGCTTCTAGCATAGGCTTCAAACCAACCCCATTATTCGACGAAATGACTCTAGATGGATTAAGAAAAGGCTTGTCCCTTATTGCAAGATGTAAATCCAGCGGAGAAATCTTAGGCGCTGCTCTGAACGAAACCAGTCATTGCTGGAACGCTGACGCGATGGATAAACTCGCCTGTGAATCACAGGATGTTAAAAGTAGACAACTTCTTCATTTCTACGCGTATTTGACTCGAGCAGCAGACCTGTGGAGGAAGTACTGTGTGGACAGAATTTTTCAGGTAAAGTGACTTTAGGATCTGACAAAGTATCTGATTTCGTTTTTAAGACTACTTACCTGTTTGTACGAAAAGACGCACGTGGAAGAGGAATAGCAGGACGCTTATTAAAATACTCTAGGACTGATGGTGCAGATTGTGGGTTTCGTTTAACTAGGCTGATTGCCACGAATCATTATACGTAAATTTTTTGCAATTTTGATTTCAAGCATTTATATCATTTAATCTGGTGTGTACGTAACTATTTACTACCAAGTGTTAATTTTCAATGAGTAACTCTTCGTGCTTTGATTCGGTACTCGTTTAACTGGAACGTGCAGTTTGGAAAGATTTTTGCGCTATTATAGATTGCTTCTTTGTTATACAAGCGTTTGAATGTAAGCGATAATTAAAATTGTTAAATGAGGCAATTTCAAAATGTTAGGAAACAGTACTTAGAGTAGATAATTGCTTTGCTTTATTAGGTCGGATTATTTCATTATTTCTCCTGATCAATAGAACTTCACATCAAACGATATTCTATTTTAATTCATTTATACATTACTTTATTATGTACTTTTAATGTAGTCAAATAGTGGTTTTTATGCCTATTTAAGTATGAAATATAGTACAAATGGATATTACAGTTCTCCTACAATAAAGTTTATTTAACATATTCTCACATTATGTACTATGTTACTTTCAGTAGTAATTCCAGAAGGGGGTTATTTTACATCATTTAGGTGCACCTGCCTTATAATAAAAGCACATAAACCTCTGGATTAATTAAAGTTTATATAGCAAGTATACCTTAGCAGGGGAAAGAGCTTGAAATTACCACGCATATAGTCTTTTGATATTATTGTTTTTAATGTGTTGTTACGAAAATCTTGACAAGAAACAGATTGTTTTCAAGCCTTACTACTTACATCTAGAAAAGGGTGTACTATTAATTGATAAAATTAGTTTTAAGTTCAACTAAATAAAAATTCTATAATCGAAAGTTCAAATTAAAGTGTTATTGTCTGAAGTTTAAAACGTTCATACTAATACGTGCTCTAGATAAAATCCACCGTCTATCAAATTTGATTAAACAGATTATGATATTCCAAAATCAAATTCTTTTTTAAACCATGGAACAAAAAAAAAACATTGCTAGCTTGTAATAAAAACCCTCAGATAAATATGCGATTTTTTTAATTCTGTCTACATTTAAAAAACTGAAATTTGTTCAAACTTGTTTATGTTTATTACTTCCCCGGCGTAAGCTAAGGGAGTATTGCAATCGAGTCCATCTGGCTCTTTTTTCATAAACTACTGGACCGATTCTTGTCAGATTTTATATTTTTATATTTGTCTAATCATCCCCATCACCAATGGGATGTAGTCATTTTATAAAATAACATACTCCTACACTTACGGTTTATCCGTGTTGAATTTTTACATTAAACATCCAAATTTTTGAAAAAAAAAAAAAAATCGGAACCGAATGATCCGAAATCATGTAAACGTTTTAAGGTTATCCTAAGCAGGGTCAATCCTTAATCAAAACTTGACCGTTCATCCCCTCCAAAAAATTGGCGACAGCAAAATATTTCAGTCTATACTTGTGGGTTATCAACGCGTTCATATTTTTTAGAATTACTAATACAGGGTGACTCAAAAAACCTAACGAATAAGGAAATCTATTTTATTGGTCAAATCAAGGATGACTCACCCCATTTTGCAGAAAATTTGGGTATACAGTATCGTTATTATTAGTTAATACTACACCTATATTTTGTGATAGAAAAACTCACTTAAAATATATGCATAGCATGCTTCTTCACCTCTATCTTAGCAGTCCACACCTATAGTTTTTTAACTTAGAGGTTGTCATAAAAAATAAAATTGACAAAATTATATTCTAAAATTTTTTAGAAGGTTTTGTTCTTCAGAGGCAAGGGAAGTTCTCTCTAAATAACTTTGGACCAATTTTTTAAATGGAATTCTTTTTAATTGCACACACCTCATGCAAAAAAAAATGTAAACAACGTGTTTACAAGAAGACCTTGTATAAATTCGATAAAAAAGTCAATAATGAAATTTAACGTCATATTTATGGCGTCATCGACATTTTAAATAGAAATCCTAGTTTTTTACTATACATGTACGTATATATGTAACGTGACTTTTTACTTCCCGATCGTAAACTAAGGAAGTATAGTAATCGAGTCCATCGGACGAATTGCCACTTTTATGTTTTTTCGACAATTCATGACCTCTGCAGTACGAAAAAAGTAGTCTACCGTTTCGGTTTGTCTGTCTGTCTACCTGTCTGTCTGTATCCATTGTTATTAGACACGTAATCTCCGAAACTGCTGGACCAATTGTTGTCAAATTTTGTATGTATGTTAGAAATATCATGTAGGTGGTTAAATACTAACCAAAATTTGGCTAGTCATCCCACTAACAATTTATTGACGTCATCTCAATGAACCGTATTTTAAAATGATTTTAATGTTATACAAAAATATTGTAATACGCAATAGAACTCCTTGTGGCTGGCTCAGTGGGTCAGCAGCTTTGTCGACTAAACTTTTTTTGCACTGGTAATGAGCTGTAACTACTTCTCTTTTGTGCTGTGACTAGTATTATCCATGTTGATGACGTCATCACAAAATTTTTATTGGTCAAATTAAGAACGAGTCAGTCACTCTATTTTCTCGAAAATGTGAGAATACGCAATTCTTTATATAATAATGATAAAATAAGAATGATAATATTCTCAACATTTTGTTCAATTGTGGTTTAATTAATAATTTTAGTCCCCTTTTTCGAGAAGGCAAACTCATTCAAAACGAACTAATTACTGTGTGATATTCTTTCTATATATAAACATAAATAAAGACTTGAGCTTCAGATTGCTATTACCTAGTGCTGAAGGACATTTTACGTCGTTAGTTCTGTGCTTTAAATATATTTTATATTGTCCGTACAGCACAGGGGCTGCGGGGTTTTTATTTATGCCGTTCTTTTTTACTTTAAAGCGGTTATCACAAGACGAAAATCGTAAAATCAAGTTTTATATATTTTTTTAAAGAGCTGGATTTGTCGGATTATGCTTATAGTCTTCGACCATTTTTTATTGATCAAATTAAGATCCTCATTTTCTAGAAAATGTGAGAATACCCACGTCTTTATTTAATTACGATCAAATAAGAATAATAATAATTGTATTCATAACATTTTATTCCATTGTGGCCTAATTAATAATTTTAGTTCTCTGTTTTGAGGAAACAACTCATTCAAATTAAACAAATTTCTACGTGACATTCTTTCGACGTATAAACATAAACAGTTGAAGTTAAGCATGTACACTGATAATAATACACTCTTTGCTGTTGGTTATTTGCTTTGAATTCATTTCATATTGTCCGTATGTCTGCGGACGGCATCTCCTTGGAATTTGGGCCCCGCGGCGCAGGGTGTTCGAAGTATCATTTACACCACTGATTTTTAATACATAAAGGTTATCAGAAAACATTTTTTTTTATAATTTTTCAAAGAACCGAAATTTGTTGGACTGTACTTTAAGAGCGAGGGAACTTCTGTCAAAGTAACGTTGGACCAATTTTTTTTAATTTGTCATTGTCTTAAAATCTAAATAGGCGTTTCAAAACGACGGAAAATTACGAAAAATAACATTTTTTTTGGCATTCCCATTTTTATTGAACACAACCGTATGTTATAAGACTAATCAAAGTTGCTTTTAGGATATAAACCCTATAATAACTAAATTGATTTATTCAAGCGAGTTGTCAAATCTCATTCTTGAAATTTTTAATACATAGGTAAATTTCAAACTTTACTTAGTTTTAATAAAAACGGTTATAGAAATAAAATATAAATAAGTAATATACATATCAACTGAATTTATATAATATATGAGGGCAAATAAGCTGTCAATTTTTGGAAATTGCATATTTTTAATGTAGAATTAAAACTACTAATAGTACATATACATATAGTACTATATATTATTTATTTATGTATTAATTAATTAATTTATTTATTTATGCATTTATTTATTTAACACATTTTAGTTTCGGAGTGCAAACTAAAAAAGTACCGAAAGAACAAAAAAAAAAAATTACCATGAATATTTGAAGGTTTTTTGAAAGAATTTGTATCTTGTCAAAAATTTATCTGAACATTCCACCAAAAATTTAATGACATTACCTCAAAATATATGTAAGTAAATTTTGTTTACAATATGTAAAATAAAACATTTCTCGACCTGTGATTTATTAATTCACCCCTAATTTTAACTTGATAATTTTACCTTTTTGAAAAAAAAAAAAAAAATCAAAAACAAAACAAAATCGTACAACAAAATTTTACAATTTTACTGGGAAACTATCTACAAAGTCGATTTGTTTGATGACGTCACCTCAAAATTTTGTTAAGTAAATCTGGCTTAAAATTTATTGCTATTTCGGATGTCTGTGTGGAAACCTTAAACAAAGTTTGTGTGTCCTTTCAAAAAGCTGGCGACCATTCTAAAATTTTAGTTAAGTAAATAAGTAAATCTCCCTAGAAATTTAAAATGTAACCTGTGTTGTTTAATATTTTAAAATTGTTAATGCAGGTGTCAAAAATTAATGTATCCAATTTTCTCGAGACGGACGCACAACACTTGTTATTGTTATTAATATCACACTATATATCAAAAGTCATGTATTTCTCCCCTTTAAAAATTGATGACGTCATTATAAAATTTTATTAAAGAAGTGTCACTTGAAACACAGCACTCCTTTACCTGTACTTCCACGCTTACTTTTTATTTTGTTATTATAAAGGTTATGATTGAAAAATAAAACTTTTAAGATAAAAATGTTATAACTGACCTAAGAAATTACATTTGTTGATAGATTATGCTGCAGAGGTGTAAGTAACTTCTTGTTTTCTTTTAAAATACATATTTTATTATAAATGAATTACAAATGTTAATTAAAAACGGCAGTCGACAATATCATGTAACTTTAACAATCCCTATGTACATTTTTTTATTTTATCTTGGAGATGTAATCCTGAACTTGGAACTTTTTTTTTACTATATTAAGTTACAGGAATGTCTTTTATCGTAAAGGTGTTTTTATCTCATAAAATACAGCATACACTTTCATTATAACTTTAAACTTACATGAACTAAACTGAAAGTGTTAAAACTTTTTAACAAAAAACGTTTTCACGCTAAACATCCCAACAGAGTGTTTTACTTATTTATTAATCTAGTGTAATGAAAATTAATTTCAAATTCCAGACATTATCCTTTTTTGTCCAGTTTTAATATAAATATAAGTCATATGTTCTGCTACATTGATGTTTCAGTTTAATCATAGCTACTCCAGGAATGTATCTTGTTTCTATTATTGTTATTTTCAGTAACAAAAATGTATTAATTAAGGACTGCTTCCAGTATTTAGAGTATTTTTAAGATAACTAATAAGTATATTTTTCTGTTATAAAAATAAAATCAAGTAATGTCCAATTAAATTTATCGGACAAAATGACTTATACTTTTATTTAATTATAGATTTGAATTATTTGGGCGAAGTTTGAAAAACTTGTAAGATGTGCATAATTCAGCCGTTTTCATTACGGGTATAATAACATTTAAGCACTGTGATAGTGCCGCAGAACTGGTAAACAAGTGAATTCATCCCCATGCCATTAAAATTCTATTGCAGTTTCAACATAATAAGTAGAGTACGTCTCGCATATCTACTAGGTAATTAATAAGTACGTAGTTTCAACAACAATGCAGCAAAATAATAATTTTCATAATGCTGGAAGCACAGCTTATATTTGAGTAAATTAAGTCCAACTACTCCAAAATTAACTTCTTGTGTAACAAAAACGACCACTATATTCACTCGTACGTTTGCTTCCCAGGGCTTTAATCGCAGAAAAACAGAAACTGAAACTCGTCGCAGACATCCCATATTGTTCATACGTCGGCGCTGACCAGGAACCCATTTTCAAACCCTCCGACCCTCACAAATCAGCAAAAATTTACGTGGACGAAGAACCTCAAAAAAACTCCTTGAAAAAAGTGTAAAAATACAACGTTTCAAATGCAGCAGTTTATTTATTCAACAATACAAAAATGAAAAAGCCTAGTTTCACAGCATCCGCCAAATCGTTTGAAACAATTACTCTGATTATCTGCGGTTTGGCTGCAGGTACTGTGAAACCAGTCGTGAGATTAACAACGTATAACAAAATATGGCATGTCCGTAAAAAATTGAACCATGTTTGCATGTTCGTTCAAAACCACAAGCCCACTTTCACTGTTTTAAGCAAATTTATGGAACGTAGTGATGCATAAAATTGCAAGAACTTTGTAATTTCGCTTATAGAGCAGTGAAAAGAGACGAAATGACTAATGCTTGTAAGAAAAGCCGTGCTGTTTCCCATCGCTCGCTCCATGTTTCTTTCCGTAATCTTCGTGGTGCTTGTGGTGTGCTTCGTGTCCCTCTTTTCCTTTGAATCCTTTGTGATCGTCGATGATTTTCCCTTTATCTGTGAACCCTTTCTTACCGTGGTCGTCGTAGTGGTGCCCCGAGTGGTGAGAACCACCTTTTTTATGGTCGCCGCTCTTTTTATCGTAGTGTTGGTGGTGACTACCGTGTTTGCTGTGGTAACCACTTTTGTGGGCATCGTCGTAGAATTTGTGCTCCCTGTGGTACTCATCTTTGTGGAACTTGTTATGATACCCTTTCGTTTTGTGCCCTTTCTTGTGGCCTTTTTTCTCACCAAATTTGGCCCCTTTATGCGACTTTTTTCCCTCGTGGTACTTCTTGTAATGTCCGGCCTCATCGTGGTACTTATCCAGGTGTCCCCCTTTGTCCCCATACTTACTAGCTTTATAATTTTCACCATGCTTCCCACTTTCTCCCTTATCGTGGTGGTGGTCGCTTTTGTAACCTTTGTCCCCTTTGGCGCCATGCTTAGAGTATTTATCCGCGTGGTACTCTTTACCACCGCCTTCTTTTTTTCCACTTCCACCGTAATAATTGGTCGCGGATGCGACTAAATGCTCAGGGAAACCATGAAAACCGTCGAAGAAACCAACATCACTTTTATAAACCGGAGAGAAGCTGATTTGTCCTGCCGCCGCGAACCAAGTCAGCAGCAGTAAAATATTGACAACTTTCAGCGGAAGCATTGCACAACTAAAGAACTAACGGTTAAATGGTGCTTTTATATAGTCATTTCTGGTACGTGATGTCGTCACTACGCTTCCATTCGGAAGTAAGGAAAGGATGAATGGAGTCTTCGGAAGATAACGTTTGGTTCGATTGCTTCATCACGGTAGTCGCACAAGAAATGATGGATTACGGAGCACTTTTATTTTATTTTTAATTAAATGTTTACCATGATTTGGTTACAGCTCATTAAGAAAAAAGAAAAATCGTGGGAAGTCACGTTTTTAGAGTAACTAGAGTGTTGCTTTAATTTTTGTCAAAATAATATTTCGGACCTTATCTGTTTTCTAAGAATTATTATCAGCCACCAAAAATGGCTATAAAATACTCGAATATTAATTTTCAGTTCCATTTAACAAATTTAAATGCAGCTTAACATAAAAAAAAGTTTTCAATCACTATGTATTGTATTCGGAAAAATGTTAATTTGTACGCCCTATCATATCCTGTACACAGCCGTAACGCATTAATGTCAACTTAAAAAAATGCCAGTGCTACATTGTATCTTAAAAATATCATTAACAATATTAAGAATGTTTCAGTTCTATTTGTATAAAAAAAGTTATGTAATTGTCAGTTGCGGGAACGAATTTCTACTTATATCATTCTACTTTGTAAAGCTGAGTAAAATCAGTCGATTTTTTTATTTCCACACGATTCAATATAAAAACTTAATTTATTTTATTTCCTTGTATATCTGCGTCAGCTGCCTTACATGTAACGTACAGGTACCCAGGTGATTGTTCGGCCACTACTTGGTTAATATTTTACTTTAATAAATATGCAACCGTTGACATTTCGAAGTTTTGCTTCATTAACGAAACCGAAAGACGGCGTCTCTAATAATAATCTAGTTACCTTTACTGACCTTAATACGACTAAGTACTATACACTACTTCGCAAAGTTGTGGTAAACTAAATATAATAATGATAACTGCAACTGTTGCGCTTTTTTTTAACAAATAGTAGGTCAGAAGTGCTACCACAGTAATATCAAAAAATACTTCCCAACAAAAAAGTTACCAAAATTTGTGCGAAAACAAAACGGAAATATGTATATATTTTTTTTTTGTCTTTCGTCTGCATGTTCCCGCACTGTCCAGTTCCGTAAGTGGTTTTTCAAGACATTAAGAACCTGCTTCTAATAAACGAATTAAATTATCAGTCTGAAGCAAAGTTCAATAAAAATGTGAATGATTAATTAGCCGAATTTGATCACGTGGTCGATCAATTGCTTGCCCGATGGAGTGATTTATTATTCTAGCGCGAGTTTTTAATTAAATTAAATTAAATTTTAATTCGAATTAAATTTTTAATAAACCGACCCTAAGACTTATTGTTTTATAACTGAAAGCTTCGAGAGTTCTATTTATACTTTTAGATTTTACAAAATGACTTTATTAAGTAGTAGTATAACAACATAGAAATATCAGAGTGCAGATAGTAACGATGTGTTGGACCAATACCTTTGTATACACTTATTTGATAATCTTATAGTAGGGTCTATCCAATAATTTCATGTTTTCTCGATGTTAGATTATCCCAGAATATGAACAAGTAGGTCTCCCGTTTTGATCTGTCTGCATATGTCGTCTGTTAGACATATTATTAGATAGATAATTGCCAAAACCACTGGACTGAAGGTTGTGAAATTTCCTAAAGTACTTGCAGTTTTGATAAAACTCTAACCCAAAATTTGCCTTATCATCTATTCCAAAAATTGATGACATCCTATCTATATTTATTTCCTTACCGACCAGATTTTTGGAAAAATAATGCAAACTGGAAAACAACCTTTTAAAATATAACTTAACCAAATGCTCAGAAGGTTATCGTAAGCATTGTAAATCGCTAATCAAAATTTATCTGCTCATTCTCTCCAAAACCTTCATGACGTCATCTCAAAATTTTGGCGAATAAATCCTTCTGTATCAATGCATTTATATTTTTTAGAATTGGTTAATTATACAGATCTCAATACATTACACAAAAAAATAAATAAGTCAAATTTATTTTATTGATTAAATCGAAAAAAGTTTTTCCATTATTCTGAAATTGTGGGGGTAAAATACTTCCATTCCTATTTTAAACTTATAAGGATTATATTTATAAATAAGAAAATTTGCAGAATCAAATTTTATCATTTATGTTAGAGACTGGATTTGCTCTATTGTTCAGAAGTTCTGTCTAAGTAACTTTAAAACAATTTTTATTTTTAAGTCTACTGCCATGGAAAAAAATATGAATGTTTTTTATTTTCGTTGACCTCTAATTCAGCGTCTGTCTTGAATGTAGCTTTAAAATTTATTAATTCGTTTTTATGTGTTTATGTAGTTTGTGCCACTATTCTCGATCAATCACTAGGTTATAGTCACGTTTTACAAGTTCACTCCTGTAGATTAATGTTGGTAGCCTTTATTGGTAGTGAAATAAATATAATATTATCTCTATTAACTATTGAGTTCCTTACAAATTATGTATATTGTTGCAAACGTATCAGGAACAAGATAAAATCAACACAGTGTGGAAACAACGATAAAATTGACTATGTTACGTACAATATTGTTATTAAGGAATGTTCATTTTATAAAGCGGACACTGAAAAATTGCTACTAATTCGAGTACTTTGGGCTAATTTAATTTTTTTTGTTATCAAAATATTTAACAATGTTAAATGAAATAATTATTCTTATTCTCTAATCAATTATATTCAGAAACTATAAAATTTTCTAACTATTGCGCGAATACCGCGAATAACTGTTTGCACAGGTTTGTTTGTGAATTTCTTCATAGCAGGAGGCCACATTTTTTTAAATTCTCCAACTCATGATGTTGTTCGGCCATCTTTTCTTAACACTGATTTCATATTTGCCCATTATCGCTCAAGTGGACGAAGCTCAGGACAGTTGGGTGGTTTATCTTCCTTTTTTAAAAACTGTACATTATTGGCATTAAGAAGCTCCTGAGTGGCACCAGCGTAGTGAACCCAAGCCAAATCTGGCCAAAACAATGGAGGGTTATGATGTTTGCAATAAACAAGCGATAATCGCGTTTTTATACATTCTTTCCTGTAATCATCGCCCCGAATTGTTCCAATCGTAAAAAAAAAACTAAAATTTTTTAGTCCACAAGAACAAATGGCTTGTCACACTAAGACTTTTTTCCCAAACTTTTCAATTTTTTTTGTTTTCATGTCATCGAGGACATCTTCCCCTACGACTGCATTATAGGTATTTCCCACACAGACATACATTTCGTTAATTTTAGCAGTTTAATGATGTTTTCCTCAATATTTTCGTTAAGCGGGCCTTTTCTCGGTCTGGATTTGAGCAAATCTTCTAAAGTATGAAACTCCCCAAACTTTTTGATTATTTGGAACACTGCTGATTTTGAACATTTAGTTATTTTAGGCAGTCCCCCCAACGGAAATTTTTCGTAGCTTCACTTTTGCAAAGATAATTTTCTTGCCCCAATGGCGATTCGCTTCATTTTAAAAAGAAATAACATTATTTTGAAAACAAAAATGGCATTTAATAGATACAACTTAAAGCTTTCATATATAAAAACTAGAAAAATTTAGATTAAAAATTAGAAAAGTGGCGTTACTTTAAAGGTGTCCGTTTAATAAAATGAACACTCCTTATAACTAGTTTTGAAAATAAAGACTAAAAATTAGTTATAGGTAAGTATTTATTTCAAGAAAAATTAAAAACTTTTTACTGTCCCAGGGTTTTTAATCAAATTTTACTCTATTATACCTTTTTTTTATTAAATTTTTTAACATTTTACTTTACAAGACTGTTATCATTGTGTTTTATTTGTGTAAAACAACCCTAATTGATTAATAAAGGGTCTAGAACCGTACAATCCAATTTCAAAGGTCCATTCATAACAAAAATAACGTATTTAGCTTCTGCTAATGATAAGCAACTCAGGCGTATATTAAAACAAACCCCAAATAAATCCTTTCTGGTGTGGACAGCAAAGGGTAATGAAATAAATGAGCACGTAGGGGACGAAAAGAAAGATCCCGAAAGACCCCACTAGATAAAATCTCACAGTGATTGTTAACTTACACAATAAACTTTACACTTCTGTATAAAGTTAAAATTGTTGTTATTTGTTACATTGCTTATCTCTGAATCTATTTCAGTTAACATGGGGACACATTTATCGGCTCATTCAATAAGAAAGCAGCAAAATCGCCATCGATTATGGGTGATTTTGTTTATTTTTGTGGTACATACAGATCGTTTTTATCTTAAATTTGCTGTTTAGATCAAACGTACCTTAAAAGCATTTTTTGCCATATTCATACGACCGCTAATTAGAAGTATGTCATATGTACAGAAAAAAGCTACTAAAAGCAAAAATTCAAACAAAATGAATTACTTACTAATTTGAAATCTTTTGAGGGGAGGAGTACAAAAAAAATATGCAATTTATTAGAAATTGTTTGATGTACCTATTTCATTTTTATAAGAAACAGAGAAAAAGGAAAAACGCCTTCACAGACGTATTAATTAAATGTATCAAAGCGAAATGATGAGACAACCAATCATTCCCAAAACAACAAAGTATTGATTTTGTAAACAAATTATAAGTTAAGACGCTTGAAAGTTTCTCTTCGAGAGGTAACGAATTTCCATGTACTACTTATTTGTCTAATGTAGATATAACCCGTACTATCAGCTTTGATTGATAATTAACATAATTAAATGAGCACAAAGTAGTTGATTTAAGTATTATACACTTTGTGGTTGTCACAATTAGCTCTTAAGTATTCAGTAAACAATTTTATTACTCTTATGGAACGTCTGTAGTTTTTAATTGATGCTACATATTGGTTTATAAAAATTAGAGTTCAACTAAAAGTTACGGTAGGTATATATAGGCAACCCAATGTTCAGTAAAAAAATGTTTCATAGTATTTCATTGCAGTTTTCTATACGTTGCAGATATCTACTACCCCTTATTATTGATTTGTACGTCTGTGTTGAAAATTCAAACATATGAAAATTTGTCATTGATTAAATCTGTATTTAATCAATGCATTTGTCCACCCCCTGCAAAACACAAGCAAATCGGGGTCTTACTATTAATAATGTATTTCACCACTAGATGCCACTGGGCTGCAGAAACCACTAAAGTCACTAGATCTACTATTACTTTTAGAAAGTACGGCAAACTGCCTGTGGTCGGAATTCGACAGAGAGGAACCTAACCTATGTGTTAAACAAAGATAGCGCGAGGCTAGTAATTTTCGCTATCAAATGTAGGAACTGTTAACGAACGTTTGATGTGTTTACGATTTGAGGTTACGACAGACTGTACTAGAATTATCGAATTAAAGGACCGGAAAGAACACTATTCCAGTCCCAAAGTAACTCCAGCCCTATTCAACGAGAAAATGTCACCGGTAACCAGCAAACAGTCGTGGAAGACGTGTTACCACCAAGGCAATTGATGGCCAAATGACAGTAACAGGATCGCCATACTGGAAGCAAAAAATACCTGCTGTCGAAAAGACGGAGCATAACAAGGACACAGATATATTTCTATTTCATAAAAGTTACTAATTGCCACACATTTCAAGATCGAGTCACATTAGAAACCACGGCCAACTGATTAATATATATGGCCATCCCAATTTGTATAAAAAGTTGATTCTTTGACGTTTTCAAAATCGTTAATCAGGTAACGACATCTATTAAGTACAGTTATGAACTTGGTTGGCAAATAATTGTCAAAATTACGTTTTAAAATATCACGTTTTTCTGAAAGTGTAGATAATGGCACAAGAACATTAATGATATTACTTCTACTATTTAGTGTTGAATTAAGATAGATATATTTTTACAAAACGAAAATTATTTAACAAAAAGGAAGGTACATATTCATAATTTTAAAACTTTTCTGCTGGTAGGTTTGTTACAGATCGTTATGGTCTTCAACCAGTCTGTTCCAAACAAATATTATCAATAATATAATAATAATGAGGACCCGGGGTGGGCTAGTTAGCATCATGCTTGCCCGCTACACCTTGGGTCGTGGGTTCGATTCCCGCCATGGCTCTGGGTGTAACGTGTATGTCCCGTTCCCCTGTAATTGGGCCTCAGTGCCTGTTGGGGGACGTAATTAATAAAATAAAAAAAAATAAAATAAAAATAACTGGTTTCACTGTTGCTCGAATAATTATATCAGTATATCACAAACTCTTGATTTATGTTCCAAGCAACAAAATTTTCTTTATCTTGTTTTATATCATGATCCAAAACCAAGAATTTTGCAGTACTGACAAAGTCTATATTGGAAACATTAGATGATTTGGAACATTTAACAATTCCGCAGCGGAGGATCTGACGCATTGCATATTCTGCAGCTCTGACATCCGTTGCATCATTGGAGACTCCTTTTAATCTGCAATTCATATATTTTTTTCAAAAATTTAGATGTAATAGTACCTTGTAGTGACAGCATATCATGATTCAAGAACTGGTTTCGTACATTTTTTACAACATGGCAGAAACCAAAACTTAGGAAAAAAGACAAATATTTCAAGATAGGGTGGCCGATACACTTTTTTGGAGGCCCGGTGGTATTAGAAAGTTTTTTAAAAAGCACAACATTTAAATTCAAGTTATCTGTAACGAGTCGCAAAACTATGAGTTACAGAAAGGGCTACCTGTAAAACCATCAGTTCTGCTAGCACCGGTTTTCGTGGTTTCACTCAAGAGACTGCACATGCTTTAAAATTTATTGCCAGAAGTACATATTTGTGTGTTAAATTTTTGTTAGAACAAGCAGGCTTTTACTATGTTCTTACGCGTTCCTTTAGCTCCGATGCGGTGGAAGCAACGTTCTCACACGTGAGATTAAAAGGAGGCTCCAATGATGCAACGGATGCCAGAGCTGCAGAATATGCAATGCGGAATTGTTAAATGTTCCAAATCATCTAATGTTTCCAATATAGACTTTGTCAGTACTGCAAAATTCTCAGTTTTGGACCATGATATAAAACAAGACAAAGAAAATTTTGATGTACCTTTGGAATTAAGAACAAATATTCAAAACCTGAGTAAATTAATTGAACCCTGTGCAAACATTTCATCGGCATCTGTGGCCTTTTTGGCTGGCTTCACTTTAAAGAAATTAGACGACAAATTTCATTGCGATCGCTGCCTTGCACCGCTGTTGTTCAAAGAGGTTCCTGGTCCGCTATTAAGACTCATCCTGTTACAGGATCGAGGTGGATTAACCTATCCCAATGCATATTCCGTAAGCATTGTGCAGGAAGTGGCTGACGTAACTCAAAAAAATGTTCCCGTTTTTAAACTCTAAAAAGACATGTCAACAAATATGTAATCTGCTCCATCCTTCTTTGGACCAAAATCCATTATTTTGTTGCTTGGAACATAAATCAAGAGTATATGATATAATTATTCGAACAACAGTGAAACCAGTTATCGATAATATTTGTTTGGAACCAAAAGACTGGTCGAAGAAAATAACGATCTGTAACAAACCTACCAGCAGAAAAGTTTTAAGATTATGAATATCTACCTTCTTTTTTGTTAAATAATTTTCATTTTGTAAAAATATATCCATCTTATTTCAAAACTAAATAGTAGGAGTAATATCATTAATGTTCTTGTGCCATTATCTACACTTTCAAAAAAACATGATATTTTAAAACGTCATTTTGACAATTATTATTTGCCAACCAAGTTCATAACTGTACTCAACAGATGTAGTTGCCTGATTAACGATTTTGGAAACGTCAAAGAATCAACTTTTTATACGAATTGGGATGGCCATATGTATTAATACAGTTGGCCGTGCAGAAACCTAACAGCGTATTGTTGAAAAATTACTTGACCCATAAAAATTATTTCCAATAAATGGCATATTACATATGACAAACAGAAATAGTTAGGAGAAGCTTCAAAGTACTACAATTACAGTAAAAAAGTAGGTATAAAATAGGTTGCTGAGGTTTAAATTTGACTTTGGTTGATGCTTCGAGGAAAAAATCAATTTTAATGAAAAAATTGTTTGTAATGCTTTGCAACAGTTATATATTTTAAAGAAAGCAAACGAAAACAGTCTGACATTTTGGTCGCCGCCGTTTTTTGAAATTACAATATTCATGGTCCTTCTGTTGTTTTCGTTCTTGACATTTGCAAAAATTGTCAAAATATGAAGAAACGCGTAGAAGTGCAATTAGAACTGAGAAATTTCACCGAATCAACGTCTGAACAGCAAATCAGCGTTGTGTTTCCAGCTGGGTCAAAAAATAATAATTTCCGCTCCAACATATCAACAACTCCTTTTAACATATTCTGCTCAATTTTAGGATTTATACTGGGTGTAACTGGGGTTATTTTGGGAATTTTATTGTGGTGTAATGTCATAAAAATTAAACTAATAAAAACGTAACCGTTTGAGGATCACTGGATGCATTGAAACGAACATAACCTCAATCCTTGTGAGGTTAGGTAAAGTATTTTGCAGTGTGAAAAATGTTAAAAATTCGTCATAAATTCGCTTCAGTAAGCAAATTATCCGTAATTAGACATTTATCTAGTCAGTCGACCCAACCAGCAACCAAAGAAACTTCCGAATATGATGACCATCGACTTAGAGAATTTGAAAGAATTTCAAACATCCAACAGAAAGTTAAAACCAAAAAGCCGCAAAAACCCCCATTTGTCAAAAATTTATTCTTGGGAATCTTCGACACCGATTTGCTAACTTACCCTGAATTGACGAACGAACAACTGAACAATCTTAATTCGAAAATCAAACAAGCTGAAATGATTGTGCAACAGAATGAAGTGAAGGAGTGTGACCGAATATCTAAAGATTTTTTAAAGAGACTGGCCACTGGAAGATTATTGGGTTTACAAGGGTCTCAGCTAATGGGTGGCCGCGAATTGTCGGTTACAGAAATGTGTAGATTTACTGAAGTAATTTCCGATATTAATTTAAAAAATTCTGTTATAAATAATGAATATTTAGGAGTTCAAACGCTAGTTAAATGCGGTAGCGATAATTTAAAACGGAAATACCTGCAAAAAATTATTGATGGTGATAGTCTATCTGCATTTTGCACAGTGGAACCTTTACCCTCTAAAATAGATGTGTTTGGAGTGACGGCGCTGCGCTCTGCAGATGGCAAAACTTGGGTTTGTTTAAATACATTTAACGTACATGTATTAATGGATTTTTATAGCTATTAAATGGTCAAAAGAAGCTAGTCATTAATGGAAGTGATGCAGATTTTTATGTGGTTGTTGCAACTACTAATTATATAATTAGGGACGAAATAAGAGAGCAGAAATTCACTGCGTTTTTAGTTGAAAGAGATTTTGGAGGAATTACCAGTTCGAGACAAAGTTCCGTCGATGGGGTTTTTCAGTTGTCAGATGTTGTTTTTGAAAATACACCCATACCGAGTGGTAAGTAATGTAAGGTGTGTTTACATTTGTTTTTTTTTCTATGTTGTGTTAATAAAAAAAAGACAAAATGACTTACAAATAATGTGATTAAAATTTTCAAAAAATGTCAAATGTTTATTCCATATAGAATATAAACTTAATTTTAAATTTATTTGTGTATAAAAAAGCAAAACTTATTGGAAAACAATATAATTCTAACTAAATACAAGGCAAATTGTTGAACCATGTTTCTATTCCTTCTATGTAAGAAAGTTCAAGAGAAAAAAAAAATAAATTTAAAATTGCGGTTAAGATTGAAAAAGACGTTTATTTTTGTCTCAGTTTCGCCTCGTACTAAATTTGTAACGCAAACAGTGTCAGTAACTTTTTTAATTGCGGTTTTATTTATAGAAAATATAATTGGTATTGAAGAAGAAGGTGAGAATGTATTATCTACAGTATATCCAGAATACCGCCTCAGTACAGGTCCAATCTGCTCTGTGATACTAAAAAATTTAATTAATAAAGCAACGGAACATTATATCAATGCGTCAAAGGCTCCAAACTTCTTGTACGAAACCGACGCAATCAGGATAAAAATGGGCGAGGTAATAAGCTTGAGTAATTTTTGATTATTTGTAATCGTTAAATAGATTCTAAAAAATACAAAGTAAGAATTATAGAAAAATTCGGGAATTCTTACCCTGTACCGGATGTCTGGAAAATGGGGGATTAACGCTCTTAATAATCAGCTGGTGAATCTAGGAAAAATAATAAAAAAGTCCCTTCTCACATTTTGGTGGAGTTATAATGATTCTAAAATTGGTTCTTTTGCTACGTTTAACAACCAAACAACACATTCATTTTTTAGTTAATATTTCTCTCGCTCGCGACCATGTTTTTAATTTCTTGTAAAGAAATAAATATTTTGCAGTCAAGCTCCGTCCCCTTGGTTCACGGCGAATAATAAAAAATCATCACAATTGAGATAGGGCGGGTGGGCGGCCTTACATTTTGCCTTTTTGTTTTAATATGTGTACAATTCTTTTCACAACATGAGACTTAAAACATGTTTAAAATGGAAAATTTGTATAAGAAAATCGACTTTGCAATTAGGCTCCGCCCCATAATTGCAAAATCCATATTTCCTTGCAAAAATCTACCACTTTAACCATGTTCTATGTTCCTCTTTATGAAAAGATGGCTATGTATATTTAGAAAACAAAGACAAAATATAAGCCACGCCCATCTGTTTTTTTTTTCAATTCTGATGATTTTTTTATTCGTAGTAAACCGAAGGGCGGAGCTTAATTATAAAATCCTTATTTTTCTATGAGAAATTACCATGTGAAATGTGTTCTTAAGTAATCCTGTTATATAAAGAAAACTACATGTATTAATTAAAAAAGAAAACCAACAGAGAAGCCCCACCCACCCGTCCTGATCTCAACGGTGATGAATTTTTCATTCGTTGTCAGACCGAGGGGCGGGGCTTAATTGCAAGATCTATATTATTTTGTCTACAAGAATTTACCATTTTAAACATGTTTTAAGATTCTTGTTCTGAAAAGACGACTATGTTATTATTATTTATTTTCAGATAAATTTAAAGGAATCTGGTGTTTTGTTGCTGGATGAACTCGAAAAAAATCTTTTGAGCTTTTAGTGTTTTATTTTTTATGAATTTGACAAGTAATGAGTGCCAAAGTGTTTTTTTTTATTCGGTAGACTCTTGAGTACCCATGGTGTATTATTTTGGGAGCCCATGGAGATTTTTTTTGGGAGGATTTGGGTGTTCTATTTGTGGAAAATTCTGACCTGACCTGTTTTTGAGGTAACTTTGGGACCCCGTTTTCTTTCTTTTTTTTTGAAAAATTTAAAACAATCTTGAGGTTCTATGTATCGCTGTTTGGAAAGAATTGGAAAGTGCTTTGGAGTCGGCGCTAATGTTTTTTCTTATAATAATTTAATTACATTTCGTAGAGGATACGTCATTTGCTAAAATCAGTCTTATCTTAACAGGTACTAGCGCCAGTCACTTGCCCTTTATTTTCTTAGAGTGGATGTCATTTGCCAAAATCGGTCTTATTTTAGGAAGTACTAGCCCCACCCACCCGCCCTCTCTTTTCTTAGAGGCTATCTCATTTGCCAAAATCCGTTTTATCTTAGCAAGTAGTAGCCCCGCCCACCCGCCCTCTGTTTTCTTACAAGATATCTCATTTGCCAAAATCACTCTTATCTTAGCAGGTAATAGCCACACCCAGCCTCCCTCAATGTTCTTAGCGTTTATGTCATTTGTCAAAATCGATCTTATTTCATCAGGTACTAACCCCGCCCACCCGCCCTATATTTTCTTAGAGGGATTTTATTTGCCAAAATCAGTTTTATCTTAGCAGGTACTAGCCCTGCCCACCCGCCCCCCTCCTGTCTTGGAGCGTATCTCATTTGCCAAAATCAGTCTTATCTTGGGAGCTACTAGCCCTACTCACCCACACTCTCTTTTCTTAGAGGGTATGTCATTGCCAAAATCAGTTTTATCGTAACAACTAGCTTAGCCAATTTTGCTTTTATAAAATTACCGTTTTTTCGTAATCTACATTTTAAAGAATTTTTTTATTATTTTTTTGGAACTCCCGAAACCCCCGTAAATAACGTATTGAAGAGTTAATCCGCCAGTTTCCAGACACCCGGTATAATTAAACAATTTTTGAATAGGAATTTAACTTATAACGGGTGATTAAAAAGTTGTTAGATTAGAGTTGGCCATGGAAATATTTGTCATGTCTTTGATTAAACTGTTAATGTCATACATAACCTCATTTGTATTTCAATAATTTGGATTTTTGATATTTGCATTTTAATCAAAGACATGATAAATGTTTCCATGGCCAGCTCTAATCTAAAACTTTTTGATTACTCGTTCACGATATTTTTAGACAAAGCTAGGCCATGTAAATCTAGTAATTTGGTTGGCAACCAATTTCGTATATTCAAAGATTCTTAATGAAAAATGAAATTTATCATATAAAGTTTACAAATCGTTTTGTCAATGAATCAGTTTATCCAACGTAAAGAAAAAAATTCATGGCTCACGTATACCTAAAAACATCTTGAACGGTTTGTATCTGTAGGTTTCAACATTTGGTTTATTTTATTTTATTTTAGTTTTTGTCTTCGTTATACGCTATTGACAGTATGGTGTATTTGACTGCAGGCCTTGTTGATAATTACGAAAATCAGGATACTGAGTTAGAATCAACAATTGTCAAGGTAATTAAATTCCACACTTTTTGTGCTATTGCTGAAACATTTAAAAAATATATGTTATTTAAAACCAGGTGTTTGCATCAGAACAAGCCTTTATGGCCACATCATCTTGTCTCGACCTTATAGGTCCAGAAACTAGTGTAGACAAACACTGGTGCAATCAACTTCACAAGGAAGCCTTATGCCAAGTAACCTTAAACGACAATAACGACAACTTAAAAATACTAATAGCGCTGTTTGGACTACGTTATGCCGGGGTAAGTAATCTTTTAACCCTCAAATAAATTAATAAAAGTGAAACTGTAGCAAAAAATAAACACATTGGTGAAAGAATTAAGAAACCCGTTGTTCAATGCCACAGCAGCCTTGAAACGTATGTGGACGCATAGAAGACACGCTGATGACAACCCAAAGTTGGATTTGTTCTTATATCACCACTTACATCCATCATGTGTACAAGCGGCACAACGTTTAGAGTAAATACTTCCCTTTTATTTTATTCTTTCGTCAGTGTCAGTTTTGTAGATACTGCGTTTTACGACTTCAGTATGCAACAGAAATCTTCTTCACTCGATACGGTGCTGAGGTTATCAATAAGCACTCAGAGTTACGCCTTCTCGGGGAATGCGTCATAGACATCTACGCAATGGCGGCTTGCCTAGGTCGTGCTTCTAGATCTTATTGCATAGGGCTACAACACAGCGACCACGAAATGACTTTAGCCGCCGCTTTCACCGTCAACGCCACAAAAAGAGTCAAGTCAAAACTATTAACAATAATAGACGGCCCGTTTGTAACCACCGATGAAAACTTCCGATTCGTTTCAGAAAGACTTTTTAATTGTAAGAACTACTATCCAGTACACCCGCTCACTAGGAATTTTTAGTTGTAAGAAAATAAATTCTGTAAATAGTTAAACTTTTATTGTGTTGCGCAAATGTTAGATATCCAGTTTATGTATTGTGTGACAGGCGTGTAAGTTGACATTTGTTTTTTCGTGACGTCATGCATACTGATGACACCTTTGATGTACCATCTATCGGAGTGGGAGAAAACTAAAGCTGCACCTTCGCTTTCATGGGATAGAGGGATGCCTGAAGCTGATAGAAATTGAGTATGAGATGGGTTAAACAAAAATATACATACTTTTAAGGTTTGTGCAAGATTTGTCTTCAGTGATGAACGGAATAAAGGGTTTCGAGGTGCTGTAGCAGTCGTCGGGTGACACGTAAGTTTGTTCAACATTTGTTACTTGATTCTGATGCCATACTGATTGTTTTCCGTAAGAATTAGTCTACAAGAATTGCATTATTATTACGATTTTGGTTCTTGTTATTTATTTACGTCAACGATTTCGGTGGACCAGTCGATGCAAATTGGTTTGACTTTGTTATTGAAGTTAAATCGGCCTTTTACTATTGCTAGGTCGTTCTCTAGGAAGTTTATGATTCCCTTGTAATGTTTATGTATATGAATTGAGTTTTTATTAACCTAAAATCACTATATTCACTTATTGTTGTAGTAACTATAATATACGTACCTTGTGAAGATTTGAAGGTGACGATCTTGGATTAATTTTCTTTGGTAGACTATTATCACTCATGATGTAAAACGTTCCATTTCGGAGATGTGTGTCAATATTATCACAGAAACAATGTGCGGCTAAAACAGTCATTTTTTTTGGTGAAGTTTGAATTACCAATAGTGTAGTTACACAAACTTTCACCTTTAGAAATAGTAAATACATATTTAGTAAGGCACTTTTTATAAATAAGTCTGTTGTAATTGCAAGTAAATATCTCGAGAACTATTATATTTTTCATATTTTACTACAATTTGTGATTATTCATGATTGTACTAAACTCAATTCAGATAACGGTTTTTCAATCAAGTATCTTTTGCAAAAATATTAGCGTTATATTGCAATTTACATTCTAAACTGCACCGGTGCTACTAACCTAGTTGTTGAAGCACCTTATGCCATAATAAAAAAAATATTAGCAAACAACTGTAAAAGATTGTCTAAGACATAACCGACAAACAAAGACCAGTTTTCGGTAGTGACCTCAGTTTACTAGGTATTTATAAAAAATCCAGACACGATAGAGAAAAACAATTTTCTTTTCATCATGAAAAAACACAAAAAAATTCATTTGGTACAAATTTTGTTAACCAGCGTAAGTACTAGTTAAATAATAATAAATTAGTTTGCCACCATTGATATACTAAAAATATCAAAGCTATTTGTGTTAATCATTTAATTAATGCAAATAACTTATATACGTTTCTACAAGCTCACACCTTACTTTTTGAATGTGTTTTTTTTTTATAAAACCTGTTTATCTGATGTCTTCATTATGATATTTGTTATTAAGTAAACAATTTTGCGGTATTTTAGTAATAAAGTTTACTTTTGAACCATTTGTAAATTAAAGAAAATCGTGATAATAATTAATTGTTACCTGTTAAAACAGCGTCCGATTGAATAATCGATCCTAAACATACTAATTCAGCCTCATTTTCACTCCCTAAATAAATCCCTACATTCCACGGGAACACAGCACTATTTGACTTAAGTCGCCCACAGTCTAAAAATTTCGTGTAAATTGCCGACATTTGGTACTCTAAAATTAACTACTTACCATTTTCTGCACAAACCCCCACGCTAACAATCACTACCACTATTAAAGATAAATATTAAAACGTACACATCGACAAACTACTACTTACATATCAGCAATGTAATTGTTGAACGCATGTCTGTATTCATCTTAATGACCTCAGATTGCACACTGATTATTATGTTCGCGATATGAAGAAAACTGTGGCATTGAAGATGCTGCTGTCACTTGCTTTTATAAACAGGTTCTGTAAGCACATGACTTTTGAATAAATTAAGAGGAGGTGTGTACGTGGTAGTATGAGACAAGTATCTGCATGTTGTGGTAAAATCCAGATGACTAATAAGTAGAGCGAATTTTGCGTAAAACCATAAAATTCGCGATAGTGGCTATTAATCAGGGGATTTGAGAAAATACACAAAAATAAAAAATGCATATTTGAAAGATTTTGTTTTATTTTTACTAATTTGTTAAATTGCGTGGTTAGTAATATGTTTCTTGTCGATACCAGCCGGTGGGGTATTTCCTCATGTGCAGTTTTCTTAGTTCGTCGAAAATGATGATGAAGAGAGCGAATGGTAACGAATAGCACCACCTGAAATGTAAATCAGAAGAAATGTGGAATAGTTTAATGCATAAAAGTACCATCTGAACATAACAGGATAAAACTTCAGGTAGTTCATGTTTGGAATATATGACAACATGCAAGCAACGACCGTTTCTACTACCAAACTTATGTTTAGAATCATATTTCCCATTCCTGTAAAAAGATTAAAATTAATTGCATTGTATAATATTACACAACGGAAAAACTGTTGCTTTGCATTAGGAGTCAATTTCCCGACTCATAATAATTCTTATAAAAAAAATCAATCGTATCTAATGTGATGAAACTAGATAATTATATTTACAGACCTGCCGAAGGTATAGAAGCAACTTTAACCCAGTTTTCCTTTTATTTTATTATGTCATATTGTTGTGTATTCGTTTTCAAGATTAAAATGTTTACAGATAAATTTAAAGTGTGTCATGAATAAATAATTCTCTGTAAGAAGTTCCACAACAAATTGACCGCGTTTAAAGCAATACAATACCGTATGAAATTCTAAGGTATTTGCATGCCAGTTTTATGAATTATTTATTGCATTGTGGAAAACAAGTTCCTATATAATTATTGTCTGTCATCTATGTCTTGTTTATTAGGTGTGTTCCATGGGTTTTTCTCTAATAATTAAATTGATACTTCTATTCTACTATGTAGCAATGAGTACGAAATTTCGGGTTATTTTAAAAGCTACTGCTGTGACAAATTCAAAAAATATTTCGTTGTTTCAACGAAAAATTGTAAGATGAATAACTCAGCTTTGTCATCTTTAGCGGTGTTCGGTATTTTAACCACAGAACACAAACAATAATAATAAAGGATACTGACCGTTTTATTGCGCATTGTTATAACGTATTTAGAATTTTTTGAACAATTGTACCTCTTTAATTTTTGCACTTTCGAGTCAAATGTTTTAGATTTTTTACTTATCACTTTGATAACTTCATTTCCATGGTTAATACATGCCAGAAAAACCTCATGTAGTGCAGCAAAAACCTGCACATTTATTTATTTCCATCGAGCTTCAAAGAACTCCATTATGTTTTTTAAATTGCAAAATTTGTTGTGCAATCTTTATTCTCTTACATGTAAAAATGGAAAGAATAGAGATCCCCGTAACAACTTTTATGATGACATCATCCCATTTTTAAAATATACAAATATGTTACTTTTGATAAAATTACTAAGAATTTTACTATAAACAGCCATTGTTTATTTACTCAATACGAAACCGCTCACGGCATATATTTGAGTAATTATAAAAAAATAAACACAAGTATTTTATCAAAGTACCGGGTGATATTTTAAATTTCTGCTCTAGTTACCCATGACGCCTGCGTGAGCAGTGAAATTAAAATTCCTCATGCAAGCGTTGTGGGTAGCTGGTAGTTTCAATTTCAGAAATTTAAATAATCACCCGATATAAATAATATTGTATACAGCACCTAATTTTGTCAAAGTTGTATTGAATATTTTTTTGAGAGATTTCTGAAAAGGATGAATAAAATAATTTTATCCGGATTTTAAAGAAGTCCGTTATATTGTTTTTGATGAGTTTAATTTCGAAAAATTTTCAACCATAAGTAACATAATACGGATTACACACGGTTTGCAATTTACAGAGGGCAGTTAATTTTGAGAGAAGATATTGTGCTGTCCCAAATTTAAAAACTAAATTTCACGCCGAGAAAAAAATCATTTTAATAGGTAATCACCCATGTTTTAGCGTTTAAGAAATTACAGAAGGTCTACCTGTTGGGTGCGCAGTTTAAAAGTTGTCAAGCAGGTACTCTTCGAAATAGTCACTTCTTTTGTAGTGAGTGCAGTCAGTGAAAGCACGTGTTAAAATTGATACGTAATTTTGCTTGTAATTTCATAAAATTTTGTCTAGACAAATCTGAAATGTATAATCTTTGACTCTTCCGTCAACACGTAATTTTTGTTTTTAAATTAGTAAATTAAGGTTTTTAGTTGTTCATGGTTCTGATATAATTTAACAACAATAATGGAAAATGTTCATAAAAAACAGGTGTTTTTATTTAATAAAGTTATTACATTATCCACACTTCCTAACTTGCCGCTTGAGTTTTAAAATAGTTCATATATATCATTTAAACAAACCTTAAACGTTGAACCATTTTGAGAGAAAGGACCTTGAAAATTTTCATCAGTTGAATTAATATCATCATTTATCCTCGGGATTATTTTTATTTGACCGTATTGAATTTGTGTGTGTTGTGTTTATTTCTTATGTGCTTTGTTTTATATATTATGAGGATTTGTTGAGTCCAAGACATAATCTGTGAATACTTTTTTAATTCAGTAACTTGAATTAACGCAGAATTTAATATCATGTAAATTCTTTTTTGCTTAAAAATAGATCTTCCTACAATTGACGTAACAAAGATTTATCAACTTTGCAGTTTCAGTAATTCATTTAATCACCATCACAACTTCCGTGTATAAAAAGGGATGTCGACACGGATAATTTTCTTTTTTTGTTTTCTACGTAACAAGCATCGGACCTTTTTTAATCAGCAATAACAACATGTATAATCGTTTTCCGGGTTGGGACCGTGTTAATTGAGTTTTTGGGCTCAACGTTTAACCAAACAACAACAACAAAATGAACGAGTGGAAGTTCATCAGTTTATTGTTATTAACAGTGTTAATACAGGGATTTTAGCGCAAGTTGTCTCGTCAACTTTTTCTTTTATTCTGTTTTGACCCGGGGTACCTACTTCTTCGTGGGATGAGTTGAAAACTGAAGAAAACTCGATCGCCTTGATCAGAGCCATCGATCCCGTAACCGTGATCTGTGATTTGGACTCCCGATAAAGTATTTTGGTTTTTGTTCGTATTTAAATTTGCCAGCACATCATCGTAATAACTTCTGTAGTAGTAACTCTTATCAAGATGATTTTAAGAACTCACATGTTTATTAATAACTATCTATCAGACAGCAAACAAAGCAAAAAGTCTTAAGAAAGTTAGGACATTTCTTAGCGGCGATCAGTAAATTTTTACTTTGCCGTTTAATAACTAGATCTAGGGTTGATTAGTTGCTTCTAAAATGCGCCTTTTCGGAATGTAATTGTTTGTAACAACTGGAAGAAACATGAAGAATAAACTTATTAAACCTTAATTTTCTCCTCTGGTAAGCACACCCAATGCACCCTAGGACTCGTGTTTCAGTAAATATTTATTTACAAGTTTTTGAGGTGACGTCACCAAATACCACCTGGAAACTGCTTACGGAATAAATTCAATTATTTCAAAAATTATAATCCCTACGTCTGAAAAGTGGTTGAACAACTCCATTGGTTTTCTTAATTTCGTTTTTTTTGTACCTTCCAGTTGTTTATGACATAATTAAGTGTCACATTCAATATTTTCAACAACAAGAATTCTCTAGTTACTTTTAAGCCGTTAAAACTTAATGCTTTGACATTAATGTACATTGATCTGTTCATCACGACTTAATACTCCTATGTTTAAAAGAGATTCTAAATTGTTCAGTGTTTATACTATACATGTTTTTGTGATTTTTGATTTGTATAGTGTGAATATTTGTACAATTAATCAAAATTACTATATTAATAAGTGCAGGAAAAGTGTTGAAAGTGTTATTCAGTCATGTAGTATATCATTCCATTTAAAAAATGCACAGGGCGTCATTTACTAACAAACTCTTGAGATCGCGTCATTAATTTTTTTGGAGAATACAAATTTTAATTAACATTTTACCGTATTCACGATATTCTAACTTAATGTACCTACATCTAAAAATATTGGAATAACTAATTTCGCAGTTATGTAAACTAAGTATTTGCGTAATAAAATTTTAGACCGACAAACATGCGAAAGACAGACGCAAACGGGAAATCCGTCTACACAGGTGTGCACATTTTTTCATTAACGTGAGCTGATTGTGAAATTAAAGAAAAAAACAAACATTTAAATTTTTTCTAAAAATTCGTAACTTCATAATTTTTGCTTCGTTTTTAAATTTTAAATATCCCCATAATATACCTTGTTGACATATTGAATTAATCCTAGTTTTGCATACTATCAGATCCGCCCATTGTGTAACAACCACACTGATCATAAAAGCAGTGTAGCAAGTATACTCCAATTCCTTCCGACTTATATATGACCATTCCTGACCATACGAATCCACTAAATCGTTTATAGTTTCAGAATCCCATTTCTGACGCAAACCTTAAAAACTCGTCTGTCACAACTGACTAACCACTTAGAAATGAAAAAGTACCAAATAATTGATGTGGCTTAAAACCATGTTCCGCCATTATTGCAAAATAGACGAAAAAACCACCCATCGCTTCTATAATTCCAATATGACCATATGCTAAAAAGTAGAGTTTTCTAGTGACTAGATTGTCAGTTTTGGGATTTCGTGGAGGTCTTTGCATAATGTCACTTTCAGCTTTTTCGTAAGCCAAACTGATGGCTGGCAGCATGTCGGTTAGGAGATCGATACACAAGATGGCCATCACACCTGTAACTTTTTTTAAAACCACTGGTTTAAGTTACAGTAAACGTACCTAAAGGTAGTGGAATGTTGATAAGCACAAAGGCCAAAAATGGTAATATTTCTGGTACATTGGACGCTAGCGTGTAGGCTATTGATTTTTTCAAGTTGTCGAAAATTTTTCGACCTTCTTCTACCCCAGTTACGATAGAAGCGAAGTTGTCGTCCAGGAGGATCATGTCGGCGGATTGTTGCGATACTTCGGACCCAGAAATACCCATCGCTATTCCAATGTCGGCTCTTTTAAGAGCTGGAGCGTCGTTAACACCATCACCAGTGACAGCGACTGACAACAATGTTTTTTCACTAGTTAGAGCTACTAAAAGACGTAAGTACTCACCTATTTCCCCCAATCTTTGACAACCTTCAACAATCTGAAGCTTCTGAGTTGGCGACGTTCTGGCAAAGACAATTTCTCTGTAATTGTGTAAAATGTCGTCCAGTTCCTCGTTGGTCATATCACGAAGAGTTGATCCATGTATAACTATAGCTTTGTCTTTGAAAACCGGCAGAGTTTCAATTATATTCATATTGCAAGCATCTATAACTTCCTCGGCTTGAATGATACCAACTTGTCGTGCTATTGCTTTGGCAGTTATCTGAAACTTTTAAGTCAAAAAGAAATACAGACGCAACTTATTTTCGTACTGGATGGTCCCCAGTCACCATCACTACCCGTATCCCTGCACTTTTACACCTTTGTACCGCATCTGGCACTTGTGGTCTTGGTGGATCAATCAAACTCATGAACCCTACGAACCTCAACTCTCGTCGCGGAAAATTCGGAGGTTCTGCACAAAATTTATAGTCCTTGTGGTACTTCTCATCTAGTAACAAATCACAAAAGCCTAAAACCCTCTCCCCCTTTTCAGCTAATTCGGTACATGCTTTATCACATATGTGTCTCAACTCGTCACTAAGTTCTTTGGTCTTGTTATTTAAAAAGATTTTGGTACAACGGGCCAAGATGCGTTCCGGAGCTCCCTTCATGACCATTAAACATCTACCATTTTCGAGACCATGAATAGAGATTTGGTACTTAGTGGTAGAACTGAAGGGAATTTCGAGAAGTTTTGGGTTGTTATGTCGGAAAATGGACGGCGAACTTTCCACTTTGGTCAGTTCGACGAATTTCAAGATGGCTTCTTCGGAAGCGTCGCCTCGAACTTGGCGAAGAAGTACTGGTTTGTCTTCTTCGCCGTGGATGAACTCAGCGCGGTTGCAAAGAGTAGCGCAGCGCATTAGTACCTTAAAACCTGACAAGTACACCTTTATAGAGCCACCATACAAAGGAAAAATTAAATTTGAACCTTCACTTCCGTTGTACTCTTTGGCTTCATCCTGACTCGTCGTAGAATCAGCATGGGCGATTTTACTGTCACACCACAAGTGACAAACGGTCATTTTATTTTGAGTAAGAGTACCAGTTTTGTCGGAACAAATCACCGAAGTCGATCCTAAAGTTTCCACGGCTTCTAAATTCTTAACCAAACAGTTTTTGGCAGCCATTTTCTTCGCAGTGACGGATAGACACACGGTGACAGTTGCCAGAAGACCTGTAAACCAATATTTATTACCAAGAAATGTATAGTCATAGTAGTACCTTCTGGTACGTTGGCCACAATAATTCCTATCAAGAACAAAGACGCCTCTATCCACGAATAGTTCATAGCTAGAGCCGCTCCTCCAAAAATCACGCCTAAAAAGCAAGCCCACACGCTTATAATTTTCATGAAATGCTCCAACTCTCTCGCAATGGGTGTTTTGTTGGGTTGTAATCGCGCAGTTAATCCAGCGATTCGACCCATAATAGTCTGGTCACCACAAGCCACGACTATACCACGTGCAGTACCTTCCACAGCGTTAGTCGAGAAGAAGGTGAAGTTTTTGCTCTCTAGAATGTTGTCGCTGGTACATTCGTTACCCCGGAACTGGGGTTCCGATTCTCCTGTCAGAGCAGAATTGTCGACTTTGAAGCCTTGGCTGTGTATTACTCGGATATCTGCTGGGATCCGATCGCCGAATTTCATTTCAACTAAATCACCTTCCACCAGGTCTTTGGACATGATGGTCATGGTTTCTCCTCCACGAATTACAGTCGCTTTGGGGGGGACCATGTTGGCGAATGACTCCATTATCTGCGTAACAAAAAAATTATAAATCAGCATTAGCTTAATTAATTAAAGCTGGTTTCTGAATTTTTTAATTATAAAGGGCTGAAAAATGAATTCTGTCTTAAGTAGTAAAAACGCCAAGGAAAAAATATTCATGGATTTTTGAACCAGGGATTAATGGATTATGGGAAAATCTTAACCTAATCTCCACTATTCTGCTGGATAAGTAAAAATGAATGTTACTGTCAATCTGGAATGAAAGCGTGCATTTTGTGTAGGTAGCATTTTTTTTCGTAAAGGGATCGGGCCCAAGTGTAAAAATGAGTTTTCGGAGTTGTTGTCATTCAGTAGCCATCTTGAAAACAAAGTATAGTCGCGGTCACAGAAAACTGGACCACTTTGACATATTTACACAAAATTTTAGTTCTGTATTTTTTAAATATCAGAATATCACAGTAGTAATTTGAACGTACCTGATTTGAAAAAAATGGTCAAGGTTACCTGATTTGTTAAATAAAACATTAATTACAACCTAAATTTTTAAAATTTTGAAGTGTTTCAAAACCTAGTGGTCCCGTTTTCTATGCCCATGACCGTACGGTGTTCAAAATTTATAAAGTACGACGTTCGTGGATCGGAATGTACAGGATGAGTCACTAAGCTCGCACTTCCCGGTATCTCATTAAATATTAGAAATAGAAAAAGAAATTTAAGACCAAAATTGCCGTAGAGTTATTTTTCAAATCTGGGTTACATTTTATGAAGAGATAAATGAAGGTACACACTTTATTGTGGGGGAGGAGTTTTAATGTACGAAGTGTTTATAAAAAAAAATTATTCTGTTTTCTTAAGTATTTTCTATATTTAAAGTTGATAGTTACCAACATATTGAAAGAAAGGGAACAAAAAATACAGTAAGTTGCGGTAATAAAATGCAGGGTTCTATTTGAAAAAACCTAAAATACAGGTATCTGAAAATTGTAAAGTTATTTTTTTATGAACACTACATTAAAATTTTATTTAATGGATACCATAACTAAACCCATACTTAGTTTATCTTTTAATAAAATATTATAACACATCTTAAATAGTATATTATTAGCCAAGGTTGCAGAGCCAAGCATTCTAGACCGAGCGCAAATTAGAACCCGAGACGCGCAGCGTCGAGGGCTCTAAGTGCGAGGTCTAGAAGTGGCTCTGCAACCGTGGTTAATATACTATTTTTTTCACTAGTAGAAACCATAAGACAATAAACTGAAAAATAAACGTTCAATTTTTTGACGCAACATGATTTTGTTTTGATTTCTAATCAAACTTGATCTAAATCTTCAACACAAAGAAAACCGTTTATACTTGTCGCTGAGTTAATCATTTTATCTTCTACCGTCTACCAACTACCATGCGTATACTGAAGTAATGTTTGTAGCACACATTTGTTCATTTTTTAAGAAATAATCACATCAACATCAAACATTGCGTACATAACCTCAATTTTTCTTTTTGAACCCGTGGTAGCAAAAGTTGAATTTGCTACCACTAAATGAGTCGACATTTGCATGCGTCCAGGCTGCTAGTGAAAAAAATAACGTTATTACATTTCTTTAAACCCTTGGTCCTTGGTTTACTAAAAAAATTAAAGGAATAACCTGGCAACGTCTCATCGGAATTTCAAAAATAAACTATGGTTATAAAAAAGCAAGAAGAAAAGTGTAATAAGAATATATAAAAACATATAGGGTGTTCTATTTAAAAAAACTAAGTTATGTGTGATGCCTCGAAAACCAAGAACTCTGTATGGTCGAAAATAATACAAACTTTATTCTCAGTTTTTTTCTGTCTATAATATAATTAATGAGACATCGACAACCGCGTGCTCGGTGACTCATACTGTACAAAGTACGGCTTTCATGAGTCAGGAAGTACAAAGAGCGGGTTTCATCACTTATAAAGTCGCCGTTCGTTTACACTGGTAACATAGAATTAAAAAAAATCTGGATGTGTATACTGAACGGTCGACTATAGGCAAAAAGGGTGGAGGTCGCAGCTTGACGAAATCCAAAAAAGGCAAGTGAGAAATTTAGGGAGTTCAAAGTAAAAAATAAAAGGGATTTCATAAACCGCAAGTAAAGAAATATATTATTTCAAGAAATTTCAATAACATTTACTATACAAAATTTTGAGGGGGTATAATCAAGTTGTTAGTGGGGATGACTAGAAAATTCTGGTTAGCGTTTTACCCTGTACATAATAATCCTGAAATATATGTAAAATATCAGCCCAGTTCCCAGGTTTGGGAAGGTGAAGCGATAGTTAAGAAAATAAGTGTTCAGTTGTAGAGTGCTTTTCTCTAAAAGGTACATGGGCGGAGTCAGAGATCTGCGTGTGGAAGTTGGCGGGAATAAATGATACTATAGACAGTGGCGTATCTTTTGGATATTGAATCTGGGGGCAATGTTATGTGGTACTAGAAATCACAGCCAAAAAATGGAAACACAAATTTATTTTGTGAAAATGTCTTTCCGATGTTATAAAATCATAGGTGTAACAATTTTTTCCCAAAAAATCAAACTATACACTCACAATAAACCAAGAAAACTCTCCAAAGAGTTCTCTAACGCCAGACGCCACTGAAGATGAATCACCACGTGCTGGATTCTTTCACCCCGCAATGCCGAACCAAATTTCGTTTCTGCGCACGTTTATTGGTGTGTACCTTTTACAGAAAAGCACTCTACTTAATATCGCTTTGATATTTGTTTCGCTTTTCTCGACGTTCTAGAAATTTTGAAATTTTAGATTTTTTAACAATGTTTAATGTAATCTTGTATTTTAATCTTGCTATTGTGAAGATTAACTTTCAAAATTTACTAAAGACTCTAGGATTCTGTACAAAACAAATTTATTCGGTTCAATATTTTAGGACTTCTACTAGAATTTTTACTTCCCAAGCATAGGGAATGAAGTGTTGTAAGTTGTAATGTCCATTCATGATCCTAAAGTACGAAAAAAGTGGTCTCCGGTTTCCGTCTGTCTGTCGTCTGTGTCGGTTTTTTTTAGATAAGTGATCTCCGAAACTACTGGATTGATTGTTGTCAAATTTTGTATGTATATGTATTAGGAATATCATGTGGGTAGTAAAACGCTAACCAAAATTTGGCTAATCATCCCTCCAACAATTTAATGACGGATGAAGTGTTTTAATAATATTTTTATAATATTAACATATTTTTGAAATTTCCTGTGAGATTTTACATGTTACCTATACATTTTAGATTTGTTTTAACGTACGTCACAAACGTTTTGAGAAAAAAATTATCGCAGTATTTAAGAAAATAGAATTAAATTTATTTAAACAATACATTTAACATTTTCTTCTATGGCACGCTCAACAGTCTTCGGACAGTATGAACATCAATTTCGCGAAGCTTTTGAAAGCTCCGCCGTCTTAATTGTTGCTCGTTTTGTGCTTCCTTCCCGCCCATTGTCATAATTTTGTAGACAACACTGCCCAAAATTCTTCAATACCTCTGGCCTGAGGCACATTTGGGGGATTATCCCTTTGGTACATAAGCTATGTTATGTTTTTCCAACCATGTTTCGCTAATTCTTGCATAATGGCAAGAAGCCAAGTCTGGCCAAAACATTATTTCATCATTAGCGTAATGCTCATTGATAAAATCTAATAATTTTGGCAGACATCGTTGCGTATAGATGTTAGCACCAATACTTCACCTTCAAATTTTTCTTACATTGTCACAACAGATTTCTAAATCGTCATTTCATTTCAATTCGGAATGAGAAAAAGTAAAATTTTTTCATCATCCATAATGATGATCTTGTTGTTTCCAAAATGATACCGACATTTAGCGTGGCAACATCTAGGGATTCTTGCCAGCTGATTTTGGGTGTACTTGGGGCATTTGCGTCTTTTAGGATATTTTAGTCTTGAATTTTTAATTTGCCGCCTTACAGTTTCGTAAGAAATCTTAAATCTTACAGTATGATGCACCAACGCGATTCTTCGCAATTTCAATTAATCTGTTTGCAATAGTCTCACTCAGTGATTTTGGTCTGCCGCTTTTTGGTAAATTTAAGCATGGTATTCCTTGTTCACACTCAGATATTGTTCGGTAAATCGTCGCAGGAGATATATTTTGATCACGAAAAATGTTTATAATTTGACTTTTAGGCAACTGTCCAACTAAGCTATAAATGCTTTTCCGAATTTCTAACTTGTAAGACATTGTAGCAAAATTTACTCGATTTTTAACAATTTTTCTCAAAACTTTCGTGACATACGTTATTCCAAAATTTTGAGTACAATTATAAACACACTCTCGAAGAAGGCATTATTGTTCACAAAAAAGAGAAATAAATAAATTCACGACAGGACAAAAATAATAAATATTAAAATTTGATATAACGGATAATATACAAGTACAGTATACTAAAGCATACATTCATTGAGAAGGTAATTTGTTTATGAGGAACTGCTCTAAAAAAATCTTAAGAAGTAATTTTTGTAGGATTGATAATAATGCATCAGTTATTTTGTTCAATTTTTTTTCATCACGTAGTCTGCATTTTTCTGTTCATAGTTTTTTTTATTATTAATGTTACGCTGAAAATTTAAAGTTGTATTATTTATAGAAATCCCTCACGCAAAATTTGTCAAACTCACAGTTACACATGAAAAAACTTTTTGTATACTCATTTGAAGTGATGAGGAAATGACAACACCTCCAGTCCTGAAAACTCAATTTTACAGTCGAAAGTTTTTTTGAGTTCATCAAAGTTTTTGTCACATAATGCATCTAGAAAAGAAATTCAAAAATAAAGAAGAATGTATATCTACAGAAGAAAGCATTGAAAAAAAAACGAAGAAAGGAAAACATCGATGCCGAAAATCTTATCATCTTAACTCCGAACGCCTAAGGAGCGTGAACAATGTGACAATTTCGTAGCGAAGTTTGAGGGAGATTTATAGATGGGAGTCAAAATGAAAAACAAGGATTGACTATTAAATTGATTGACAATACACTGGGTAATTAATGTTGTCAAAGTAAACGCCATTAAGTTTGCAATCAGAAATGAATAGAAATAAACCCACACATATCCTGTCTGTTGTAATATTCCATCAGCCTAAACCTAACAGAACAATGTCTGCACGTACAAAATTTATTTAGGTGATGAAAAAAGTAGCTGCATAATGTTATTTGAATGTAAACCAATAAAAAACAATACTTTCGTTAAATTAATCACTCATGCAAACATTCTGTTGCAACTCGGATCTTTTAATAGCTTTTAGTCAATTTCTATCAACTTTCGGTGAAACCAAGTGGATACAATCACTTTTGTAAGCATTCTTAATGTAACAAACAACACATAAACACTTTGGTTGTTAAAATTACATCCAAATTATAAACATCCAAGTTTCTTTTGTCCTTCCCACTAACCTTGTGGCTTTTATGTTCCTGAAAATACGTGAACCCCCCAGTTACCACCACAACCACGACCAAAACGCATCCCAGAATCAAATTATCCGAATCCATTTCATGCGTCGTGATCATTCGGATAACCACCGCTGCGAAACACAGCAAAGCTCCAATCCACAGCAGTATCGAAAATCCTAAAACATACAACAACATCCTGCAGATCCTTATTTACCCAATACATAATGCTAAATTCAGAAGTCCGCTTTCGAGCGTCTCGAACCAGTTATATATTTTAAATTTAGCATAAATACCGATCTAAATTTAAACCAAATGATGATTAACTGACTTACAAATCAAATTCTGCACTCTATGCAGAAGCTGACACTTCGTAAAATCGGGCTTACCGTGCGTTAACGTTTTGATGAATTTTACGATTTCTGGGGTTTTGGTCGACGGAGTGAGGGTGTTGGGTCCAGTCTTGGCCAAAATTTCGGCAGCTTGCTCTGGACGAAGTCCGGTTTCGCGGTCTGTGTAGAGGCGGCGGCATAATTCCCCTGAAAGTGCATGAAAATTTTTAAAGTCGAGCTTTCGTGACTTCTACACTTGTGGCGTCACTACATTTCATTCTTATTGCAGAAAAAATGTTTACATTGATGACTTAACAGGTGTAAACACAGACTCGCAGACTCGTAACGTAATTGTTTGTATCAACACGTTCGTTAAGCGCGAAAATGTACGATTCGGAAAATTGATAAACATGATGGAATCATAATGATTTTATCGGTTGATATTTTTGGAATGATCAATCACATGAGTAAGCGTTTAAAAGTGGGTTGTGTTAGAAATGAATTTGTAATTAAAATGTTGCACTGTGGAATGCTTGTTTATTGGAATAATGAATTCATTTATTTTGGAATATCGTATTGCACGACCCCGTTTTCAAGATCCGCTCTAAAAATATGAACAGTTGTACTTTAAACTGATATTGGTAACTGGTCACGGGCAGCTTTTTCTGAAAAACTTGAACTAGTTTTGTGACACAAATTAGTAGCTTCATTTTTCACTAATTACTGTGTGGTGGCACTGTTTTTTATATGAGCATATATAATTCATGATTATACTTTTGTGATTTATTTTTCGTCAAAGATTAAGACTTGATCGTTAAAATTAGTTAGCTTAACAGTTGCTTATTTTAGTTCTTTTCAGCGGTTATATACAATATGTGCGTAAATTCAACATGGCACAGTATTTAGCTCTATTATTCGTTTGAAAGTATTACAAAGTGACTGAAACTGCAATAAAATCAGGATTTAAAAAAATATTATTATTCCGATGCGTATATTAACTATATTAAAGTTACGTTAGCTAAGATTTGGAATTGCTTAGGTTCCTGTGATGAGGCTATTTTTATACCTTTAAGTAGTTGTAATTCTGCTCATTCCTTACATAACTGGTTCATTGCAAATTGGTCGCAGTTTGTAGTCAAATTATTTCCTTGAGTAGCAAAAATTGCTGTTACAACTTATTTGTAACGGTATTTTTGAAAATAATTCGTGTTAGTTTAAAAATAAAAGTAAATTCGTAAACCATATCTAACTGAGCATCAAGGTGCCATTTTGCAGGGAGATTCATTTAACAATATTTTTTTTGTTAAAAGTACTTTTAAATTTCAAAGAATCAATTTAGTTGTTAACGGCGGGCAAATAGGAAGCGTCCATTTTCGGATTCTATGAGCTCCGAAACAGTGAAAAGAAATTGAAATTATACATGGAAATACATTATTATAGATAATACTATCGTTGAAAAAATAGAAAATACAAATTTTTTCCTCTAAAATCAGTCCTATCCTTGCAAGTACTAGCCCCGCCCACCCGCCCCCTATTTTTTAGAAGGTTTATCATTTGCTAAAATCTTAGAGGATTATGTCATTCGCCAAAAGTCAGTTTTATCTTAGCAAGTATTAACTTCCTATATAAAATATAGAGTGTTCTGTAAAACTCGACTTAATTTACACCACAACAAAGCGCATACCTACCTTTTTTTACTGTTCCACAAAATATTGTAAAAATAAACCCATTGCGATTGCTTTATTTATTTTTTTAATCCATTGATAAAAAATTTCAGGAAACGTGAAATAACATGGGAACGTCGCCTCAGAATTTCAAATATAACCTGTGGTATTAAAGCCTTGGAAGAGGCAAATGAGAATAAGTTAAGATATATAGGGTGTTCTACCCTAAAAAAACTAAGTTGTATCGAGGACCAAGTGCTTAGTGACTCGTCCTGTATATTTTTTTATAGAGGCTGAAACACTAAGCGCGCAGTCCTCCGTATTTTATCTATTTATTGGAGATAGAAAAACAAGTCTAAAGTATTATGTAGTTCTTTGAGTACCATACACTAAAATTATTAGCAAGTACTAACCCCGTCCACCCACCTTTTATTTTTTAGAGGGTGTATCATTTGCTAAAATCAGCCGCCCTTTATTTTCTTTGAAGATGTCATTCGCCAAAAATCAGTATTATCCTAGCAAGTACTAACTTCCTATATAAAATATAATAGGGTGTTATATTAAAAAAAAATCTAAGATATATTTTTCAATGTTGTAATATTTTAGATTTATTTACAAATAGGTACTGTACATATTAATACTCGACTTAATTTACACCACAACAAAGCGCGTACCGTTTTTTTTTTGTTACACAAAATATTATAACTTGAATTTGAAAAATAAACCTATTGCGATTGCTTTATTTTTTTTAATAAAAAATTTCAAAAAAATTGAAATAACGTGGCAACGTTGCCTCAGAATTTCAAATAAAAGCTGGGGTATTAAACCCTTGGAAGAATAATTTTATGTTACTCACAGAACTTCCGTGTTTTTTGTTTTCAATAATTTGTGAGATATCGAGGACCCTGTGCTTAACGACTCGCCGTGTATATTTTTTTATACAGGGCGAATCACTAATCTCAGTTCTCCGTATGTTATCAGTTTTTAGAGATAACAAAACATGTCAAAGTCTAAAGTTATGTAGTTTTTTGAGTACCGTACACTAAAGTTATTTTCCATTATACAGAATGTTCTGTCTTTTGAGGCGTAACATATAACTATTTATTTATAAATTAGGCGTATATTTATACCTATATATGTTTTTACTACTATGGTTGGCCTAGTTGTAGGTTTCACGTTATTCCAATGCGGTTATTTATGTAATGCAAGTTTAATATTTTATGGATAGATAAACAAATTAGATATATTGTCTATTATGCAGAATATTTAATACAAAAAACTAAAACTTTACAATTTCCAAATATCGGTTTTTACCTTTACTATTTCTTATTATTATTATTATTATTTTTAAAAGGCATTGATAAAAAATTTCAAGAAAATTGGAATAACGTGGCAACGTCGCTTCAGAATTTCAAATTTTTCAAATATATCCTGTGGTATTAAAGCCTTGGAACAGGCAAATGAGAATAAGGTAACATATACAGTGTTCTACACAAAAAAAAAAACTAAGTTGTATGTTATGTCTCAAAAACAGGTATTGTTATTGAAAACACCCTTCTTAGGCAGTAAAATAAAATTATAATCCATAACAGAGAGTTTGAAAATAGCACAACTCCAGAATTCCAATGGATGCCGATGTTAAGTGAAGCATCCAGGAAAATAATTAATGATCGTTTTTCATATTTGTTACCTAAACGATCGTCGTCAATTTTTTTCATCAAAATCAAAAATCATGGGGCACACTTTTTTATTTAAGTTTGGTATGCAATATTGGGAATTTTCGAAATTATTGTATTTCCTCAAGCAAAAAATCTCTGATAAACAACCAAAATATTTTTCATATACTCTTGAGATACGGTCGAAATTTTGTGGTGAGGAATGAGTATATTCATTTTGTACGAATAATGAAAAACAGATTTACAGAGACCTGGTCTTGAGATAATTGTAAAATAAATCCGTGCGTTTTTTTGGCATTTTTTGAGGAATATTCCATCGAAGGACGAACTGCTATAAAAATTTATTTAATAATTTGGGATGATCTAATCAACTTTTTAGTGGGGATAAATATCTCCAGTGTTTATTAGATAAATCGATAAAAAAGCTTCACCAATAAATGTTTCGGCATCGTGTGTAACTAACAATATTAAAGTTTCATCAAATGATAATCTAGATGATCCAAACTCATCATTTAAAAGAACTCGTATACATTTTTTTTTTTTCTTAAATATCGCTCGGGAAATAAAAATGATGTACATGTTTAGCATCTAACATAGAGTTTTAAAATTAAATTATTTTAAACTAAAGTTAATAAAGAAAATATTGTTAAATATCTGATTACGATTACTTAAATTTTAAGAAAGAAATTGGCTAATTTTAGTAACTCTCCCTATTAGTATTTTGTACTACATATTTGTCTCGTGTTACTTGGTTTACTTTATGAATAGTGGATCGTCCCATTAATAACTCCAACTGTTATCTCATCTCAGAAATTAATTAAAGTAAGTGTCGCTTTTGCAGCATTTTCATAGTGGTTATATGGGTCATGTTAGTTGATAGATACGCCTTAATTAAATCAATAAAGTCAAACACTAAGATTAATGAATTAGTTTCACAATGTCAAAATACAAGCCACAATTCCCCCCTATTAATTCTTTTTTTCCACTCTATTATTTGATTTATTTTACTCGTGACATCGCACACCTACACATTACGTCATTGCAAAACAAACACCACAAATGCGCTCATAGATAAATCCACATTTCTCTAAAAATCACATTTCGACAAAACTAAACGAAAATCATACCCAAAGGCACCGAATGCGTATCAGTGATCACTTCCTTCCTAAAATTTTCGAGTCTAGCGAGACTGATCTCCTTCCTCGACAACGACTTCTTCCTCTCGATTTTTTTCTTAAAAAGAGACGACATCCTCACAAATTCACTTCAAACTTTCAATAAACTCATTGTCGCTCAAACATATCAACCTTAAACGTTAATTACCATCAAGTTATTAACAGGAGGCACGCGTCGACAGAAACATGCTAATCATTTAAACAAGTTTAAAATAATCCCGATCCGTCTAAAACGGGAAAACGCACTCAAAGCTCAAAAAGCACGCTTAGTGGTGCGAAATTTTCAGAATGCAACAAATAGCAAATAAGAAGTGGCCTATAAATAACCCCACCTCTTTATCGAACTTGGGATAAAGAGGGGGAAATATTGACAAAGGATGAGTTTTTTCCAGTTTAATCAAGTCAGAATTGCGTTTTTCACGAGGAAGGTGTTTGTAATTACCTGCTGGACCCAGTTGGGAGGAGAATATTTAAAATTAGGATAAGCGAAGCAGTGAGTTGGAAGCGACAGGATGTCTTCGTTCTGTTTCATTACAAAAATTCTTGAGATTTTAAATGAATGCGGAAATGAGGTTTGTCATTAGGAATGTTCTTTCTGTAGTGCCAAGCAGTAAAAAATGTTCAGTTGTTTAAGACATAAGTGTCTACAAAGTTTTTCCATTTCGTCTGAACAATTAAATCGCTTCCAAACTCGCGTCTGAAAAAAACAGGAATTCAGTAAGGAATTGAAAACAAAATGCTTTTTAAGGAAAAAACATGTAACCTTTTTTATTTCTTGTCAAGAAATAGTGGCTTTTAAAAAATAAAAAAGAGGAGTCCCACTATAGGTGGCAAATGAGTGTAAATACGGAACAGAATCATCTGGTGTATTATTTATTATTAATGAGAAGGCGGTTTTGTAGGCAAAAAACAATGTTTATTTGTTATGTTGTTTTCTAAACAAGGCTGTCTTAATCTTGTCAAGTTCGAGCTAAATGTGTGACATCTTATAAATAAAAAAATATGTGAAAAATATGCCTCATAAATTTTTTTTGCATCTTTAAAATGGCGACGATTGTAACAAACAATATTGCGTAAATTGCATTTTTTTTTAATAAATTTTAACAGAAATAATAAAAATTTCTGTGTTCCGCTTTTTAAAAACTAGTATTTAAGACAGCAGATTAGTTATATATTTATTTTTTTTTTTTTATAAATTTATATCAAGAATTTCGTGAAAATTTGATAAACCGTTTGCTTCATTCACAATTCTTTTTTTGAGGTAAATACATTATTAAACAACAAATAAAGAAACATTGTGTGTCATAAGTTTTAAATGATATTTACTTAACAAAATTTTGATGGGATAAACTCTCAAGTTTTTTAAAGAAATAGATAGCTCAATTCTAATTGCCGACTTCCCAGGAGATATACGTTGATGTAACAAATGTAATTTATTATGCACTAATTTATAAAATGTTGCTACTCGTCAGCAGTAACTAACAATCACTATACTATCGGAAATAAAATCTAGATAAATATTTTTATATAAAATCTATATAAATGTTTTTCTAAAATTTTGTTCACCTTGTCCCAAAATAAAGTAGCCAAATTTTTAAAATAACCGAAAAAGAATGTTACAAAAAAAAAACATCAATTACATAAGGTTAATTTACTCTGCGAAATTGGAAATGACGTCATCAAATTTTTGGTAAAAATGATTAGACCCATTTTGGTTTGTGTTTTATGATCTCGACGATATTCTTAAAGCACACCTAAAATTTCACAACAATCAGTCCAGCAGTTTTGGGGATCATCTGATTAATAAAATCGCCAACAGACAACATACAACGGACAACGGACAGACAGAAACTGAAGATCTGGACATTCATAATCTAGGAATTATGAAACGTCGAGAAAACATGAATAATAAAGTATTAAGAATCATTATTCCACTTTTCTCAGGAATGTGTGGTATCCTAAATTTTGAAATTTAAATTTCGCGCTAAAAAATGCCGCGAAACAGCATTTGAAAAATGAAAATTAAGAATATAGGACAGTAACGTAGGCAATCACCCATGTTCCCGAGCGTGTAAAGAAGTAGATAAACTATACCCTCGATCTAGGGTAGAGGAGGATTGGAATACAAGAAGGTAGAGAGAAAAAGCGCCCTTGCCCTCGTTTTCTGTCGGAACTTGCTGTTTTGTGCTGCTACTTAAATGATGTAAAAAATTGTAGGTAAAATTAATTTGTAATTAGTTTCAGAAAATGGGACAATTATTTAAACGAAAATGAGTTGCATTCGACGCCACAGTCTCCCTCCAAGGAGCATAAATAATTATTTTCATCTTTTTCTAATCCAAAACGTCTACTATTCGTCAACACGTGTTAAATTCGTAGCTGTTCACGGTTCGAATGCAACTTAATAAATTTTCATATAAACCACGTGTTAGGAACTATACTTATTCAAACTACACTCTTTTGTTTATCACATTATAACTAAGTTCTAGATGTTTTTATGGAAGTATTACTGTATCCACACTTCATAATTTCTTGCCTGGATTTCTAACAGTTTATTAATGGAATTTAAACAAAATTTAAACGTTGATCCATTTTGAGAGAAAGGACCTTGGAAAATTTCATTATTCGAAATAATATTATCGTGAACTGAATCGGAGAATTTATTTAATTTGTGCTTGTTGTTTTGTTATTATTAGTATGTCACCGTTACCGTTCGATAAGCTGAATTTGGAGATTTTATTGCGTAGATATTCCTGCAATACGAGGTGCGCACCAGAACCAGAATTTGAATTTTAATTAAAATAAAAGCACAAGAGCATATGGCGAAAGCGGAACACACGGGTTCTAGTTAAAGCTGACGGTTTTCTTTTATGTCATTTGCCCAACCTTATGGACCCGCGTCCACATGAAACCAGCAGCTTGGTTTAGCTAGTTTGCGAAGGCCGGGCAAAGAATATAATATGCGGCAGGTTTTTTGGGCATAAAAATATGTAGTCAATAAAGGAAAATTGACTAGGAATTTAAATTCTGCTCTTGTTACGTGCTTCGCTTCTTAATTTCTCGACTGCCATAATTTAAATTTGTCACCACATCGTCATAATAACTTGAGTATTTGCATCCACAATCCAGTTCCTTTAATAACGATTTCTCTTTATACTTTGTGTATTTAAATTTGTGATATTCAAGTACCAATTATTTTTATTGATTCGGAACATTTGATTTGATTTCATTTATAAGAGCTGAAGAGAATTTTTGCAGCTTACTCGCACATTTTCCCTGTTCAGAATGGTGTAATAAACAATTTTCTCCTCCATATTTTGTGTTTGATTTAGGGGCACTTTTCCAACCTTGGGGTCACCATTTTACATTTGACTGCATTCCGCCAAACAAAAAAAAAACACAATGTATAATCGAAAGTAAGTACCAACAAAACGTGGTTGAAGTTGCCTTAAGATCTGGACTTAGATTTGTGTATTGATTCCGTAAACTAGGGTCAATTCGCAGCGCACAAATGCGCCATCATTGAAACTAGAAGATATTGTACAGATACCTTCCCTCACTCCCGAAAAATAACTAAAGAACTTTCAGATTTTGTAGTATAAAGTATAAAATTGATTCTTTCATTATGTTAATCCCTATACGTTAAAAAAACAATAAAATTTCACATTGAGAAAAAAAACAATGCCGAGATAAATTAAAAATAAGAAAAACATCAATAATGTAGGCAGTCACCCATGGGTCTGCGATCGCGGTATTTAAACCTTCGGTTTGGAGTTCATATCTTCTCACTCAAGATTTAAAATATGTAGTTCACTTATGGTATTTAAACTATCTAGTCTTAAACGTCCAATTTGAAAGAAAAGACCTTGAAAATTATCTTCGGTTAAATTTATTATATTACATCCAACTTATTTTCTCACAGCTTGAATTTGAACATTTATTTACGAATTACATATTTTGATTTTGATCGTATTTAATTTGTGCCTATTATGTTTATTTCATATGTGCTATGTAATCACGACACTTTGACATCGCGGAAGTGATTATCATTGCCGTCCGATCGCCAGCGCTATTGCAGTCGTGGCCTACAACTTCGGGAATTCTTAAAAACATTACTACTTTTACTCGGTTTTCCTTAGTTATACGAGTTCTCCTAGATGTTAAAATGATTTAAAAATTAAAAATGACTGTTCATCACAATTTTCGTGATGATCTTGATTAGATAAACTCGGATTTGCATCAAGCGCCACTGAGGTTGTGACGTGGTTGAGACTGCACTGTCGGCCAGCCAAATTTATCGCCTTACGTCGGACCGTTGTTTTTAATATTTTTGTCTGGTGAATTGCCCATCCCTTCCGTTGTGCCTAACTTTGGTAATCACATGTAATCTTGATGAACTCATTTTGATTGAATCATTAATTAACATGAGGTTCCATGTTAATTTTTTTGTTTTTTTGCTGGTTTCAAATAAACGCACGGGATCGCGTGCGTTGGAGGAGTGCCGAGATCACTCATTCAAATTAAGAGCTTTTCTGTCCTTGTGAATGGATGTCTACAGCGCAGAATTTTCGCCATCAGTGAATCAGGTCGTCTAGTTGGCGCTGCCTTCTTTGCGGTATGGAAGTAAGCCTTAGGAATGCGAGTGTTGTGGCTGTAGTTAGGGTAAATAGGGTGTTTCCTTTAAAAAATCTAACTTCTGTGTTACGCCTTAAAAACAAAACGCTCTTTAGAGTATAGTCTTTGACTTTTTTTCTGTCTCAAATAATTAATGAGATATCGAGAACCGCGTGCTTAGTGACACCCTATATATACAGAGTGACTCACTAAGCTCGCGTCTGTCGATGTCTCATAAATTATTAAAAACAGAAAAAATCTAAAACTAAAGTTGGACAATTCTTTGAAAACAATATATGTACCAAGATTATTTTCAACTATAGAGAGTATTCTGTTTTTAAATAGACAGGTAAATGGAATATTCTGTATATTTTTACATCTGAATAACAATATTTTGTGGGCAGATAAATAAAGATATGCACTTTATTGTATTACAAATAGAATTGGGTTTTAATGTACAGTGTATTCAAAAAAAATAAATTATAACAATTTTCGAATATCGATATTTCAATTTCTTCAAAAAGATTTAGATTCTTATTATAAAGACTGTGCATACTAAACCAAAAACTATAAGTTTATATGGCCATTTTAAAATTATCCCATTGTGTCGATGTTAAGTTGTTTACAATAGAAAAGGTTTTAGGGTCGTAAATAGCGTGTCCACGGCAGTTCGACCGACTGTTGCTGTTTCGTTCAGGGGCGGCTTTCAGTAAATATCTAAATCTAAGCAAGAAATGTTTAGAAGGCGATTTATTGCCAACCGGTAAGCTTAGTGCGAACCACACAAAGGGGGTATTTATTTGCGGTCAACTACTTTTATGATGGTCATATAACCTTTATAGCTCTTGGGCTACTTTTTTTTATATTAAAATTTTATTTGATTGCGACCATAACAAAGCGCATACCTCTGTTTATCTCTCCATAAAATATTACAATACATATCTTAAATAAATAACGTCATTGCGATTTTTTTGTGCATCCATCCATTGATAAAAAAAATGACAAATCAAATAAATAAAAAGTAACTGTGATTATAAAACCTATGGAATTCTATTTAAATTATAGGCATACTCTACTTACATTTATCGTAACTAATTGTTTTATAAACATTTATAATTATTTTGTTCATTTTAAAAGTACACATTTTTTGAGCACGCGGTATAAAAAAATTGTAAAAACTTGCATCCAGTATGCAGTTGGGTGGCCAACTTCATTTGAAAAATCCAATTAGACTTAGAATGACGAGCCAAAATTATTTCAAAACTACCGCCTGCAGACGAATCCATAAATCGACATTTATGTTTGAAATTTTCAAAAAAGAAACCACTCAGACTGTCTCACGTCCGTCACACAAGCAAAACCTGCGCTGAACGATCATCGATGACCTGAGTTCAGTTTCATGAACCGAAAACAGATCTGCCTCACGCTCAGGGGGTCGATTCTCGAACTCGTTCGAATAAGTTCCGCATACGCAAGTGGCCAACTTCCGAACGGTTTTGAAGATTCGGTATTCTCGAAGCGCGCGCACACGTTGGTATACGCAAATGTTCGAGCGTATACGAACGTCAAGTTACGAGTGGGTAGATGCGATCGCATTTTGGTTTGCGAGTGGTAAAAGCTAACCTAAAACTCTGTTTGGTTTTGGTCGTTCTGTTGTAACGTCAATATAATATCTTTAATATGCTGTATCTGTTAATATACATTAATAGAAAGGATTACCATTCCAAAAATACACAAATTGTAATGTATCAATTTGATTATGGGAATTTTATAATTTCATTTACAATTTTGACATTTGTGATGCAAATTTAAAAATTTTAAATTGAAACAGCCGATTTCTGTGTAGTACACATAATAGCTACATATGTGTGAAGAAACAACGGACTATTGCGATATTTTGAGTAATTTCTAATAATACATTAACACGTTCTTATTATGGTTGTAACAATAATTTTTAGGTGATTCTGGCTAGACACTGCGAACATTTCAAATATACGTGCAGTTGTTTCAAAAGTAAAAACTAAAATGAATTCTGAAAGATCATTTACTGTACAAAACGGTTGTAATGGTATCCATAAATATACCTGAATAAATATCGGGTAACCAAACGCTAAGAATTCTCTATAAACTAGGAGAGTACACGCAGTAATAAAGGTATTAATTTAATATGCAAATACCTGCTGGCTGCGGTGGTCCCACTCAAAAATGAACATTATTAAGTTTATATCTGCATCGTTGTAAAAAAATCACAAGAATTTGTATTAAATACGTAGGGTTGCATAAAATCATAAAATCAACATTTTTTTTTAATCACGATTTTTTTATGTTTTTGTAGTCTGTCAATTATTTGGGATTAAAATCCTGATTAAAATAGTAAGTATCCGACTTAATGTCATCCATGAGTCGTACTTCTTAGTTTTGAACAATAAAGAGAATTCATTGTAATTTACATTGCAAAAATGGAATTGATAGTGTTATTTATAATATTTACTCCTATAATCTTTAAAATACAATTAAAAGAATTATCGTTCCATTTTGTTGGAAATATTGTATTCTAGTTAAAGTTCAACTTATTTTGATATAAATTTGCATTAAATGGGCCGTAATATGCATTGCATATTCCAAACTGTAAAGAAAACTAAAAAAAAAAACAATAATACTTTAAAGCAATCATTTAAATCGAGCCAATCCTGCTAATACATGCTTTGCTGCTTAATAAATTTGAAGGTAACAAATTAAAATAGTCCTTCTTGGATTCAAACTCACCCCGCGTGAGTTCTGCCAACCATCGCATTTAAATATCCTCTGTATTTTGCCGGTGTTGCCATATCCTCACTCGAACAGAGGCCTTCGTATGCGCATCGAGTTGCTATTCGCATTGAATCTCGTTCAAGAAGACGGATTTTCGTTTCGAATAGCATCTTGGCATGCGCATCGATTCGTACTCGCATCTTTGCGAACGAGTTCGAGAATCGACCTGCAGGACACGAAACTGTCACTCGTCATCGTGGCTGCGTCAACTCCACATTTGAATGTGGAGTATGTGAAGATATACTACAGAAATGATCCTGTGAAGTATGATCTTGACGAGTGTAGTTTTTACAGGGTGGTCATTAGCAAAGGGGTTTCAGGTAATCGGCGACACAAGACCCCAGCGCCCTCTACAGCTATACATACAAAATTTCACGTGACATTCACACCAAGACTGTAATGATGATTTTGCTACAGCCGTGGGTTATGATGATTATTTAATGAACACTTTCCTAAACACTCGTAGAAAAAAAAAACACAATTTCGCATCATAGTGGCCAAGAGTGTGTTTATGTGAAATTGATACAAAAACTGTTTTAAAAAATGTGTAATTTTGGTTTAAGTTTAGTTACGAAAGATTGTATATTGGAAATAGCATATGTATAGTGCGTAGGTAATTAGTGTTACATGTATTATACCTAATCTTTGAAAATATCAGCAAGAAAACTAACGAAATGTTAGATGTACAGGAAAAAATTTTGACATAAAATTGATCAGAATTCGAGAAAATAGAAAGCTGAGTTCAATATTGTTTATTGATGGAGAGGGAAACGGGACAAAAACCTTATGTTGCGATAAATTCTTTAGCGATGTTTTAAAATGGCATCATCACATTTTTGATAGGGTGAAGAGACAATTGGTTTTAAATAAAATTTATTTAGCAATATTTTGGAATGACGGTTCACTGATCTCATTGTTTTATTTGATAGGTATTTTGTCTATGGGTGACATTCATCCAGGACTATTTACTTTGTAAAATAAAGGGCGAGAGTTTTAAATAAGTTTTCAACTATTTAGCACAAACCTGTACCGTTTTGACATAATTATAAATAGTGTAAGATTTGTAACACTTACGTAACAGTAACTTTCACGACATATCTTTACATTTTATACAATCATTTATCTAGATGACAGTTTGTGTAATCTTAAGTCACTCATTTTCTAAACATGCCACTTTTTTATAAAGCACAAGGGAAACTATCCAAAAAAGAACAAAGTGCTGCACGTCTTGAGAATTTCCGAAAAGAAGTAACCACAGACTCTCACATTATACCTCTAGGTATCCTAAAAATATGTAAGATTTGAATAAAAACCATTTTCTTTAGAAGAACTCTGCGAACGCCTCTATACAGATCCAGTGACAGGTTTAACTACGGAACAAGCGAAGGAGGTATTAAAAAGAACGGGTCCAAACATGTTAACCCCCGCACGAAAAGCATCAGAACTTTCAAAGTTCATGACAGCTTTGTTTGCAGGTATGTTTTTAAAACACCAGAAATGATACGTAATATTTTAATTTAAAGGGTTTTCGATGTTGCTTTGGATTGGAGCACTGTTATGTTACATTAGTGTTTTAATTGATTACTTAGATGATGGTCAGGTGGATTGGGATAACGCAGTACTGGGAGCGGTACTCGTCGTTGTAGTGTTGGTAACAGGAAGTTTCATGTATTACCAAGAACGAAAAAGCCAGAGTGTATGAAAAATGAAACCATACACAGTATTCCTATTTTATCATAACTGCTCTTAGATCATGGAATCTTTCGCTACTATGGTACCAACGAAAGCTACAGTAGTTCGTAATGGTGACGTGAGCGTAATCGATTCCAAAGATGTCGTCCTTGGTGACTTAGTAGAAATTAAATTTGGAGATCGCATTCCGGCAGATATTCGGATTATCGAGTGCAGTTCATTAAAAGTAAACTTCCTGGTACTATTTCAACAAAGTCTAATTTTTTTGCAAGGTTGACTATGCTTGTATTACGGGAGAGTCAGAACCTCAAATACGCAGCAACACCTACACAGACACTAATTTTCTTGAAACGAAAAATGTTGGTTTATTCAGTATGAACGTTGTAGAAGGGACTGGTAGAGGTGAGGTGGTACCACATGGTTGTTCCTTATTGCGTTTCAGGGATTGTTATAGCTTGTGGTGATCAAACCGTCATGGGCCACATCGCAGGTTTGACCGCCAGACTTAAGCCCAACAAAACTCCCATGGCAAAAGAGTTGTCACGTTTTATGAAAATAATAAGTGTATGGGCTATCTGTTTAGGTGTATCTCTCGCCATTACTTTAATGTTTTTGGGACACAGTCTCATCGAAACTCTTTTATTTGCTATTGGAATGATTGTGGCTAATGTTCCTGAAGGTCTTCTAGCCACTGTAATTGTGTGTTTGACTGTTACGGCGAAAAAAATGGCGTCACAAAATTGTCTGATCAAGAAACTAGATTCCGTTGAAACGCTAGGATGCACATCCGTTGTTTGTTCGGACAAAACTGGAACTTTGACTCAAAACAGAATGACGGTATGTCACGTTTGGTACAATCTAAAGATGATAGACGTCAGTCCGGGACAGTCTTACACGCCACCACAATCGAGTGAACAAGGTATTTAAAAAACATGTGTGATTTTTGTATATGTGTGTTAAGGTTACAAGAGCTTCATAAGATGTGCTGCACTGTGTAACAGAGCAGAATTTTTTCCCGATCAAGAACAAATACCAGTCATGAAAAGAACATTCCGTGGAGACGCGTCCGAAGGCGCCATTTTGAAATACGTCGAAGCTGTACAGTTTTTAAGTCATGATTTTAAACAAAAAAATCCAAAGTTGGTCGAAGTACCTTTCAGTTCTGCAACTAAATATCAGGTGAGCCCAAACAGTTTTATGAACACACATTGCTAGGTATTTATATAGACAAGCGTACATGCAGTCAAAAATGGCAAATGTCTGGTAGTGATGAAAGGTGCTCCTGAGGTGGTTTTGGAACGTTGCAGCAGTATCTTGCTGAACGAAAAAACGACACCCATAACTAAAGAATTGTTAGAAGCATGCAATAAAGCATGTTTAGAATTTGCAGAAATGGGGGAAAGAGTATTAGGCTTTTGCGATTTAGAACTAGGAAAAGAATATACACACAAATTTTCCTTCACAGCTGAGCCTGCAAATTTTCCTCAACGAGGTCTTAGATTTTTAGGGTTTGTTTCCATGATCGATCCACCAAGACCTCAGGTGCCTGACGCTATAATAAAGTGCAAAGAAGCCGGAATAAAAGTGACCATGGTGACAGGAGACCATCCAGTAAGTATTACTGTATTAGTAGCAGCCTTACGGTGATTAATTACTCTCGGTAGATCACAGCAAAAGCTATAGCCAGGAAAGTGGGGATTATCACTGACACAACCATTCTAGAATTTAAACATGTTAAAGCCTTAAGAAAAATTCCGAGCGTTTATGGTGGTATAGCTAGGAAATATTCAAACATACTAGAAAAGCCCGGTGCTTTAGTCATACATGGGTCAGTCCTTAAAGATTTAATGGACGAGGAACTTGACACTATACTTTTCCATCATCCCGAAATTGTTTTTGCGCGGACATCACCCACCCAGAAGCTACAAATAGTTGAAGGGTATCAACGATTAGGAGAAATAGGTTTGTATACATGTCGATAAGCTCACCGAATACAAAAATAATAGTGGCTGTTACTGGGGACGGTGTTAATGATGCGCCTGCTTTGAAAAAAGCGGACACTGGAATAGCTATGGGTATTACAGGAACAGAAGTTTCTCAACAAGCTGCGGACATTCTTTTATTAGACGATAATTTTGCTTCGATTATCCTAGGAATTGAAGAGGGACGACGAATTTTTGATAATCTCAAAAAATCTATCACGTATACTTTGGCGTCGAATGTACCAGAAATTGTACCTTTTCTGAGTTATTCTTTCGTAGGGATTCCGCTTCCTTTAGGTAAAATTGGGTTTAAATTCTAACAGAGTAAAGGAAGTTTCAAGTTGTAGGAGTTATCGCAATACTTTGTATCGATCTTCTCACGGATATGATGCCTGCCATAAGTTTGGCGTACGAAAAAGCAGAAAGGGATATTATGTTACGACCTCCACGAAATCCTTTAAGAGACAGATTAGTGAATAGGAAATTGTATTTCCTAGCATATGGTAACCTAGGGATGTTAGAAACTCTCGGACTTTTTTTGGTATACTTCTTGGTAATGGCAGAACATGGTTTTTTACCTTCAACTCTATTTGGTAAACAAGTCCATACATTTGTTTTTTACTTCCCGAGCGAGTACGAAGAAATAGGTCTCTCGTTTCCATCTGTCTGCCGTCCCGATTTTTATTGGACAGATAATCTCCGAAAGTACTAGGTCGATTGTTGTCAAATTTTGTATTGATAATAGGAATATCACGTAGATGATAAAACGTTAACCAAAATTTGTTAAACAGCCCCACCAATAATGTGATGACGTCACTTCAAAATTGTACATAGTAAATGAGTTTTAAATTGTATAAAATAACATAGTTGTTTATGATTCCGTGTCGAGTTTTTACCCGAAACGTCCTGATTTTTGGAAAAAAATCAAAATTATCAAACATTTTGCAATTTAATTTTGAATCTGCAAAACTGAATGCTTTGAAATCTTGCAGATATTTTAAAGTTATAATAAATTTTTAATCAAAATGTATTGGTTTATCCCCTCCAAAAAATTGATAACGACCAAAATGTGCAAAATATGATGAGTTTTTACTTGTGATTTATCATCCCATTTGGCTTCGCTTATTCAGGGTGACTCAAAAAAATTAATGAATCCGTGAATTTACTTTATTGATTTAATCAGGAACTGCAAAACCGAATGCTTTGAAATCTTGGAGATGTTTTAAAGTTATCATAAATTTTTGCTCATCCCCCCTAAAAAATTGATGACGTCGCGTTAAAATATTGTCTCAGGCCCAAATTATTTTTAACCACAGCCGAGCATTTGGGCACTAATAAAATTTAAAAAAATGGATAGTTAGAATCTTTCAGTAAAGCTAAACGTTGAGAAATTCATACCTACCATAAATGCTCTAAAATATGGTGGAAACATTAAATTCACATGAATAATAATCAGAGAACAGGAATCATATTGAACGGTAAAAAATTAAAAGCAAAGTTATCAACTGCAAGAAAATCAGATTCAGGAACTTCCCAAAAACCTAAATCGAAAGCACATTATGGCAGATAAGTTGAGTGATACTGGTGTTAAACATACACAGATGCGGCATGGAAAATTTTCTATATTCTTCTCGATGTCAGCAAAATTTTCTAAGTCCGGATTTCTTCAAAATTCAGCCAAAAATAGTAGAAAAATCGGTCAACAAACGGACAGCGTGGTCCTCGGAACTTGAATGAATATCACTTTCTGCGCTGCTGCTTTTAAAGGGATTTTTGTCCAAAGAACGCAACTTTTAGGTCTTATTTTGCTATTTTATAAAGTTTAGTTTGGCCCTGACGGATTTGCGCGAGTTCGATGTGGTAAAGGCGGCGTTCTTTGATCTGTTTTTTTATGTGTTTGGGTTTCGCCTGCTGCTGTTTTAATTTGTTACGAATTCGGATGAAAGTAATTGCGATTGGCGGTTTTTATGTGTGTACGGTTCTGCGCATGTTGTTCGCAATGTCTGACAAGCGCAATGATGTTTAAAATTTGCAAATATGCGAATTTTGTTCTTACGTTTGGTGATTGGTGGTGGAGTCAGATTATCTGTTTGAGTGGTACTATGTGCAGATTTAGACATGTGTGTTAAGTAATTAACATTTGCGAATTTTGTTTTTATGTTCTGGGGATTTGTTTTCGTCTTTTTGTTGCGATTTTCTCGTGAACTGATTTAGTGACAGCCCGTCGCAATTGCTGAATAAATCGTATCTTAAATGTGCAAAATATGATGAGAGTATAGTTGTAATTTATCACTGCATTAATATTTTTTAGATTTTTATTGATTGAGTCAATTTATTTTATTCATTAAGTCAAGAATTGTAAAACTGACTGCTATGAAATCTTGCAGACGTTTTGAAGTTGTTGTAAGCATGATAACTTTTTAATAAAAATGTATCTGTTTATATCAACCCCAAAAAATTGATGATGAATTGATCAAATATGCAAAATGTGATGAGTTTTTTACGTGTGATTTGTTTAAACAGGTGACTCAAAAAAATTAATGAATGAGCCAATTTATTTTATTGATTAAATCAGAAACTGTTTTTTCCCAGAAAATATTGTGAAAACGATACTATTATTTTTAATATTGCACTGCACTAATCCAAGTTGATATACGTGTCCTTGCATGTTGACGACGTCATCACAAAATTGGTTAAAGAAAAAACTCATGTTTCATTGTACTTTAGGGAAGTTCTGTCGGAACAACTTTCGACCAATTTTCTTAAACTGTGTGTAGGTAGTCGAGATGTATGGGAAAGTCGAGATGCCAATATGACTGATAATTATGGCAGAAACTGGACATTTTCTGAAAGATTGACCTTACAACATTCCTGTTATACTGCGTGTATGATGTCTGTAGTTGTAACACAATGGGCAAATCTTATTGCTTGTAAAACTCGTATCAATTCAATTGTCAAACAAGGTAAACCTTTTTCCACTTTGAATGATTTTCTTGAAACTCTAAAAGGTCTGCAGGGATGGATAATCATATCCTTACAGCAAGTTTATTTATCGAAACTATTTTTACGTTAATACTTTCCTACACGCCATATATGTACTACTTAGACTTTTTCCCACTTAGGTGGTGGTGGTAAGTTTAATTTACATTTTCAGCAATTACATATAACTAAAATATGATTTCTGTCCATAGGTGGTTGTATGCCTTACCATTTTCAGCCCTGCTCTTATGCTTCGACGAATTGCGCAAATCGCACGTACGTCGTTACCCTAAAGGGTGGTATCAAAGGGAAACATATTATTAGTAGAATTTATTAAATATAATTTATGTATAAAAAAAATTAAACTACTTATGTGTATGTTGTTTTAGATGTTTTAGAAGTAGCGCTTTACTCCCAAACTTACGACTACATTCGTCGCACTTTAATCTTTTCTCAATTCTGTCTTTTGGAACTATTTTGGGCTTCAGGCGAACTTTAAAACTAAAATTCTTATTCCTCAAGTGAATGAGCATATGTCTTCTCAGTGACGTTTTCCGAGAAAACTGCTTCTTACATATCCCACAGACGTTGTCTTTCACACCTTTGTGAGTTTTCTTATGGGTAGCTAACGAATTTGTGTAAGCGAACGTCTTGAAACAAATATCACAAGTGTACGAAGGTCGATATAAATGCATTTTTTCATGGAGCTTCAAACTACTCAAATGAAGCATTTTTTTGGAACAATATTTACACTGAAACTCCGCCATCGAAGTGTGCGAATTCAGGTGGCGCTTCAGTAGACTAGGCCATGCGAAACCTCTATCACAAAACTTACACATATATGGAAAACTCCCAGAATGGGTTTGCATATGCACACTAAGATTATGTTGATTGATGAATTTTTTATCACACTGAGAACACTTGTACTTTTTATTTGTTACGTGAACAGTCATATGTCTTTTCAAGTAGCTCTTATATGGAAACGATTTATTGCATTGGTTACATTGGTGCATTTTAGGGGCTTCACACATTTTTCTTTCAATGGAACTTTCATCAATCTTTTCAGGTAGCAGTCTTTGTGATATTTCAGGTGGGGTTTCTTTAATTATATTTTCAGGTACTTTCTCGCCTTGTGGACGTTGCAGCTCCTCAGAAATAAACGTGGCCCCCAAAGTCGGAACCCGTTTAGCCACTTTGGCAGAAATTTTTCTTGCAGTGTGGCGTCCAATTTTCTCTTTATTTTCCTTGCAATCGTCCGAAATTTTCGCATTCATATCAATTTCAACCATTGGTGGTGATGTCTTATTTTCTACTTCTACGCTACTACTACTTTCATCACAAGCAGATAATACAATATCCACCTCGAGATCATCTTCCTCCTCGCCAATGACGACTTCGTTGGCAACTGGACTATTAATAAAATAGACGTCTTCACAATTTTGTTGTTTTACAACGTCTTCAGAATGTTGTTCACTTACAACGTCTTCAGAACGTTGTTCATTGACGTCTGCAGAACGTTCATTAACAACGTCTTCAGAATGTGGTTCTTTAACAACGTCTTCAGCGTTATCTTGTCTAACAGGAGTTGTGGGTGGTAAATCTGCAACACGCTTGTTCTCTTCAACTAATTTTCGCAACTTGGCATCAGTAGCTTCACACACAGTTCGAAATATGTAAGCGACATCTAAGTAGAATAAACACTGGTTGCAGATCATTTTCGGCAATTCATCATCTTCCGAAACCTGCAAACATGTTTTTAACTGCACTAACAAGCACGAAGTAAACTTACTTCTACAGCAGCACAATACATAATCTTTCCCGGAAGATTCTTCTTGAATATAGCATTCAGACGTTGTTTGCCTAAACAAACGCGACACGTTTGTTCGGACACATGCATGTTAAACCCGAAACACTGAACTTATCACAAGTTCATGTTACTTTTTAGTTAAACAAACAGACCAAAGCTTGAGAAGTGAGGTTAGGAAACTGTTATGACATCTGAGGTTATGTTATCTTCTAGAAAAAAATAAGAACCAATTTATATTCTAGTTTGTTTAATAAATTAATATAGAAACACTAATAAAATATTATATTCGTTTTAGAAGGTAAGTATTTAAGAAAATCTTAAAAATTTAAAGGTCCCAAAATGACGGTTACATAACCTAACTTTTTGTTGTTTTTCAGGGACAACTTGAATAACTTTTCAAAATGATGCGATATACTGAAGAAAACGAGCGTTTAGTCGATAAGTCCCCATGTGCTGGTGTTCGAGCCGACCTAAAGTTTTGTCTCCTAGAAAGTGACTGTTGTAAAATAGTTCGTACCATCTAGACATTTCTTAGTGTAAACGATTATAAAAACCAAATTTGTAGCATAAAAAGACACCCAAGGAGTGCCTACAGTCTGGCAACGTCCCAACCGAATGTCAAGCTCTCCGAAACACGTTCTTTGAATGCAAACGATCATTGGTAGTGAAAATATTTATTTGTATTCATATAAATATAATTACATTTTATTTACAGCTAGACAATCGACAAAGATTTCGAGGACGGAAAGGGTATTAATGAGGTAACAAAATAAAGTAGTTGATAATCTTGTCTTGAGCATTGCGTATATTTAAATAAAATATTCTCTTTATATTGCTGGTTTTGAAGCTGAACTAAGGAAGACTGATTCCTTTGATAAAGTTTGTAAAATGATTACAAGCTTTAACAAACCCTTAAGCATCAATTAGATGGTGTTACACTTGGTGTGAAGTTTGTACTAAGTATGGATAAATGGGTACAGCTGGATGAGTGGGTAAAATTAATAACAGTCATGGAATCCCAGTGTGCTGTGCAAGTGTCAGCGTTGACAGTCATGGCACACTGTGATTGTGAACAAACAATACAATAAATATGACATAAAATTACATAGATTTGAATTGTTGACATTTTTAAAAGAGAAATACAAGATCTTTATTATTACTCAGAATAGAAACTTTGTACTCGTTCTTCTCTCACGCCGCTGTTGTTTATATGTTATTGTTTTTTTATCACTTGTTTTTCCGTTTCATAAATTATTAAAAACTGATATTATTTTCAAGCACCTCAAATATTACCCAATTTTCGTAGATATTAACAAGATTTTTTGGATAACTGAGGTGATTGTAACTACCTAATGTATACGTAACAAGTAATATTTGATTGTTTTTTTAATAAATGTAATAAATAGGCACGTTTGCAAGAAGCTTAAACTTGCACCTAATCAGTAGTCAGAAGCATTACAAAAGTAATATTACGTACTTCCAACAACTGTCTAATTAGTTAACAATAAAAATGTATCCTCTTCTCTTGTTTTTCAAGCATATTCATTTTATATCTACTAGTTCTTTTGAAATTGATTCTTTACGTACTTTGGGCTCTTACAGATTGTGATAAGATTATTTTTCACTGTTATATATAAGTAGACAGATTTATGTAAGACGTTTGAGCAGGAAAAAATATGTACAAAATATTTTCTTTTGTTAAAAAATAATTTTTAGTTACTCGTTACATATGCTGCCGAGTTCGTCGATTACAGACAAAACACAATTTAATTTTCTGCATTAATCACAATTTTTATAGACTTTAGACACAAGTGAAGTGAACACTACAAATAAAACATGATCTATTTTTAGTGAGTACTTCATTGAGTTTTTTCTTTAAAATTTGTGTAAAGAAACATTTATCTAAAATAGATATTTGATATCAGTAACCAAGAGGAAACTTGAAATTACTCAACAATTTCTAAAACTAAAAGTGTTTTTTCTCCATACTAATAGAATAAACGAAGATGTTCCTACTTCCCCTACATTAAAAATGAACCACATTCTCTTCGTCCTGCAATTGATATTGTTTTTTGATATGTGTATCAATCTGCAAAAGCCCATTTTCCTTATTTTAAAAGATATGTCTGAACTTCGCCCCTACCGACTTTAAAAATATTAAAACGTTTGTATTGGTCTAAAAATTCCCGTATACCCTGTCAATCTTGCCCTCAGAGCCGGCAGAATTAGTGCACAAACCGTAACATCACTCAACAGATTGCAGCATTCACAAATCAAAATGTACATTTTGTCTCCTTTCGGGCTCAGCGACTTATGTAATGAAATTCTCCTTAGTCCGGCCGCCGAAGGCAAATATCTGTAAATCATCCTGGCTCCGGTCCAATATAACCAATTTCGTTCAAACTTCTCGCGATCATCCCCATCGAACACTTTGTACACTGACACCATGTAACCAGTGGTGGAGGTGTGGGTTTTTGTCAGTGATACTCCGATTTCGTGCACTGGTGGCCGACAGATCGATGCCACTTCTACAAAAAAATACGATTAGTTATTAGGTACTTTGGGAAAACTCGGGACTGTGTGGTAACGGCGATTGAATAGTGAAATCACACGTTTAGGTTGTTCCTAATAAATAAATATGTAAATACTTAGTACTGGAATATGTTTAAAGCATCTTCGTTTAAATTATATTTCGGTGGAAATGGCAGCACTCCAACAAAAATGTGAGTATAATAGACAACGTGGATTTTCATCTTAACCCATTATTTTGTCATAGTGCATTAAATGTGGTCGGAAAATAATAACAGTAAGGTATTGTGGCGGTTCAATGTAACCGTGGAAGTGACGAAATATAATCACGTTGCCTGATAGTATAGTGTCAGAATACCCGCCCGGTAAGTGGAATGCAGATATCCACAGTATATTCTCAAAAATTGATCTCAAAGTATTTAAACGTCACTGAAACACAATACAAAAATTGGTCGAAAGTAATAAAATTATTAATTAAACCATAATTAACAAAATATTCTGAATATTATAATTCTTATTTTATTATTATTATATAAAGACGTGCGTATTCTTCACATTTTCGAGAAAATGTGGTGACTCGTTCTTAATTTGACCAATAAAAAATTTGTGGCGACGTCATCAGCATGGATAATACTAATCAGAACCACAGCACAAAAGAAAAGTAGTCACAGCGTAAAAATAAAAACAGTGCAAGAAAAAATAAGGACACGTATATCAGTTTCGATTGGTGCAATGATAACAGTATTGTATTCCCAAAATTTTCTGGGAGAATTGAGTGAGCCGTTTCTGATTTAGGTACGTAATCAATTAAATAAATTGACTCATTCATTAATTTTTTGACCCACCTGTTTAAGCAAAACCAATAAATATGAATACAATGATAAATCACAAGTAAAAACTCATATTTTGCACATCTTGAAAAACAAAAAACGCTAACCAAAATTTGTCCGATCGTTCGCACCAATAATTCGACGACGTCACCTAAAAATTTTGCATGGTAAATGTTGTTTAAATTTTATAAAATATGTATTTGTGGTTAATGTGGTTAAAAAAAAACAAATTTTATAATAACATTTTGTTCCAGAATAGCAACGCAGTGACTGATTGATTCAGTTGGTAAAGCGTCATCAAAACTTTGCATAAAAAAAATAATATTGTGCACAATTTAAATAAGTTTACATAGCAAAATTTTAAGACGACGTCATCAAAATTTTTGTGGGGATGATCAGACAAGTTTTACTTAGCCTTAGCACAATAATCAGTTCAGTACTTTCGGAAATATCTGTGTGATAAAATCACCAATAGACGACAAATAAATTGAAACGGAAGAACCACTTTTTCATATTCTAGAAGGGAAAATGTCAAGAAAATATGAAATTAGCCTCAATGAGTATTTTTGCTTCTGTTGAAACATGAATTAATGAAACTTTGAACAATACAAATCATGGAAAGTGACCTTTATTAAGTTCGTTACGTTAAAGTAAAATAATGTGACGGAAAAACCTCCTCTATTCATGAAGCACTGTATACTTAAATACGTCGTGGCGGTATATCGTTCGAAAGAGCATACATTAATTTCCAACACCGGTGCCGACCAATCACAACAAAGTACATCGGCGCTAAATTCAAACTGGCCCATAGTCTAATATTATTTCTTTCATTTGTGTGGTCTGAGCATTTTTTTTTAATTCGCATCAATTTTTGGAAGTTTTTAAGATTCTCAGTTTTTCAATTTTTACTTTGGAGTTCTTGAATTTTTTATTTTTTAGTTGTCGATTTTTCAGTTTCTCGATTTTTATTTCGTCAGTTTTTTCGGGTTTCAATGTTATATAGTTTTTAGATTTGACAGTTCCTCGTTTTTTAGATTTTTCCATTTTAAGATATTTTTATTTTTTGATTTTTCAATTGTTGATTTTTTTGTTATCCGATTTTTTTGTTTCGCTATTTTATCAACATTGCGGTATTTCATTTTTTTTATTGTTCAATGTTTCATTTTTTTTCAATTTTTCAGTTTTCGATTTTTTAATTTTACAGTTTTTTGATGTTTATTTTGACATTTTTGGCTTTTTCAATTTTTTGTATTTTTCGATTTTTTAGTATCTAGATATTTTAATTTTTCGATTCTTCAACTTTTGAATTTTACAATTTGTCAATTTTTCTGTTTCTAGAAAATTTTGTTTTCCGTATTTTTCTATTTCTGGATTTTTTATTCGATTTTACAGTTTCTTTTCTTTAAATTTTTTAAATTTTGAGTTTCAATTTTGCAGTTATTCGATATTTCTGATTTTTAAATTTTCAGTTTTTTCATTTTTAAGGTTATAATTTTTCCTTTTCCAATTGTGACCTCTTAATTATTCGATTTTGAGTTTCTTTGTTTTTGCAGTTCTTCGATTTTTCAATTTTTAAATTGTTCGGTTTTCCAATTTTCAGTGTTACAATTTTCCGATTTTTTGATTTTTTAAAATTACAGTTTAATAAATTTGTCCTTTTTTGAAAAATTAAAAAACGAAAAATTAAAAATACAGTACTTCTACGTAGGCACTCGTAATTCCAAATTATTTTGTTTCTTCGATTTTTTGATTTCCCAATTCGAAATTTTTATATTTTTCGTTTTTTTAATTGATAATTTTTCGATGTTTTCGTGTTTCGTTTTTACATTTTTCGATTTCTCCCATTTTTTAGTTTTTCGATTTTCATTATGAAATTGTTGAATTTTTCAGTAAAATTTATCTATTTTTCGATTTTTTAATTTGCAGATATTGACATTTTTCGATTTTTCTACCTGTTGAATTTTACAATTTTTTTCAATTTTTCAATTCCTCCATTTTTAATTTATCACTTTTTCAGGTTTCAATGTTACAAATTTTCGATTTTACAGTTTCTATCTTTGTCTCAGTTGTTCCATTTTTTAATTGCTTTTTTTGTTCAAGTTCGGTTTTTCAATTTTTGATTTTCAATTTTTCATTTCTTCAATTGTTCCATTTTTTTTTTAAATTTGCCGATTTTTATTTTTTCACTTTTTTCAAATAATTATTAGGGTTTTTATTATTCAATTGTACAATTCTTAGCTTTTCCATTATCCAATTTTTAAATGTTTCGGTTTTTCAGTGTTTCGTTTTTTCGTTTTTACAATTTCTTAATTTTAGTTTTCCGGTTTTCATTTTAAAATTTTTGGATTTTGAAATTATTTTTTTTATATTTTTGGATTATTTAATTTATCGAGTAGAAGTATTTGTTTTTCGTTTTTTCAATTTTTCACTTTCTCGATTTTTAATTAATCAGGGTTTTCAGGTTCCAATATTACAATTTTTCGATTTTTCAATTATCCAATTCAATGTCTCAATTTTTTCATTTTTCGATATTTCAAGTTTCATTTTAAAACCTTTGGATTTTGAAATTGAAAATGTATTTTTGATTATTTAATTTATAGAAATTTTCGTTTTTCGTTTTATAATTTTTCAAAATTTTTTTGTTGATGTTTTTAATTTCTCGATTTTAAATTATTTTGTTTTTTGATGTTTCAGTGTTACAATTTTTCGGTTTTTCAAAAGTTCAGTTTGAATAAATTTGTCCTTTTGTGGAACAATTAAAAAATGAAAAATCGAGAATTTGAAACATTTTATATCAAAAAATTGCAGAATTGTTTCGTTTTGTCGATTTTTCAATTTCTCGATTTCTAATTGTTGCCTTTTTTCCGGTGTTAACAGTGATTCGATTTTGCAAAATTCCATTTTGATTAAAACTGAAAACTTTAAAACTGAAAAATTGCAAAATTGTTTCGTTTTTCGATTTTTTGATGTTTCAATTTCGGGATTTTTTATTTTTTCGTTTTTCCAATTTTTCAATTATCCGATTTTGCAGTTTTATTTTTAACTTTTCCATGTTTTTACAATGTTTCAATTTTTCGGTGTCTCGATTTTCATTTTGAAATTTTTGGATTTTTCATTTTAAAATTTTTGTATTCTTCATTGTTTCTTTCAATGATACAATTTTCCGATTTTCCAATATTTTAGTTTAGACAAAATTTTTGTTCTTTTGCTGAAAAATAAAAAAACCCGAAATTGAAAAATTAAAAAACTAGAAGTTTAAAACTCAAAAAATTGTAAAATCGGAGAACTAACAGCAAAAAATGGAATAATTGAAAAACCGTAAAATCGAAAACTGGAGATTCTGTAAAATTAACAAATCGGTGCCGATTAAAAAAAATGCTCCCACACAATAATAAACATAAAAACAAATCGTATGTTTCTCCCTAAATCTATGATATTGGAAATGAAAACTTGAATACACACGAAATATTTGAATTTGGCGTCAGTTTGAATGTGTTTTGTTGTGATTGGTCGGCACACGTGCGGAAATTAATGTATGCTGTTCGAAAGCGGTCTGGAAGTGGTAATGGAAACGACAGAATATTCGCGATCTGTTGTTCGTTCTAAAATGAGACATTTAACTAAAAATCAAGAACGGTAGGCTAAGACTGCTGTAATTTTGGAGACTAATGTAACTGAAAAACATGAAATCTGCATCTCTTAGTGGAAGAGTGGATTAAAAAGTTTAAAGAAGAGTTAAGAAACGACAAAATTTTTCAACTAGTATTGTATTGGAAATACATATAAACATACATAATTGTGTGATAAGATAGTGTTTCTAATAAAAACGTTGTTAACGTCATCAGTGTTGGACAAGGATCCAATCTGGATCTTCTGCTTTTAATAATATTCTTTAATGACATAATTGAAACTATTAATAACTGTCAAGCTTACGCAGGTCTCGAAATGATTGCAAGTTGCTACAACAAAATATTGACAGATTAATCTTCTGCTACGAGTAAAACAGGCTAGGAATGAATAATAAAAAACGTGATATTAAGTCGTTTACTAGAAAAGTCAATACAACAGATTTTACATATAAATGAATGACTTTATTTTAGAGCGCTATAATCAGTTTATAGGTTTAGGGGTCTTGATGGACAGTGAATTATTGTGTTTTATTCCACATATAGAAATTACTTGTTCTGCCATGAAAACATCAGGATAGTATATGTTCTGATGTTTAGTTACCAAATCAGTCAGTAGTTAGGAATTGTAATAGGTAATATAATTTTTTAACAACAATCTTTGATATTTACAAAATAGAAAGGAAGCATTGCAAGATTTTTCAGAAATTTTTTGTTTTCAATTACAAACGATTTTCGAACTGTAGCTATACCGTTGTATAGCTTGTTAGTGCTTGAAGAGATAAATAATAAAATCAAATGAAAGAACAAACAGACGGTTTAAAAACGGGAAAAAAACTGAAAGAGGATTAACAATTATTGGGTAAAAGAAAAACAAACTTGTGTGTCCAAGATTTACCTAATCGATACCTAAACGAGCAAATTGTGGAAGAACACGGTAAGACGTTATCATTAATCTTTGGCGTGGAAGTAGCCAAAAACTAGAGTATGAAAAGGGGAGAAGACCTTCTTAGAAAGAAAAAGGGACAGATGCTAGTCGATTGAGCAATTTGGAACTTTGACAAAACATGTACAGGACTATTGTGTACTTGCCAAACGAACTTTGAGGCTTCCCGAAAAACGGGTTTCGCAGCGTTCGTAGTTCATGTATTCTAATCAGGACGATTAGACTTGGGGAAAGTTACGTGAGAACCCTTGATGTGTGTCGCCTACAGTCGACGCAGAGTATTCGGGAGCGAATTGAAAATGCAAATAACTGAATATTTGCAATTTATTTATACAAAGTAACTACTATTTAAATAGGACATTACGTGAATTATTAAACTGAAGGGACTAAGATGCTCAATAATTGTAATTAAGTATTAATTACGGCTTCAGAATATGGAAACGTCGATAGTTCGAAAACTAATCTTTTGGGAATTAAGGCCGCTTGAGCATTGTTGTTTGAATGAGTTGTATATGAAAAGATGCTGGGAACTGCGGAAAAAAGAAAGATTATGCAAAATCAACGGTTACAACAGTCAAGTTTTGGTAAGAAACATGAAAAACTATTTTTACACCGTAGCGCTCAATACGAAAGTTAATGAATTTTGTAGATAAATAATTATTTAGAGAACAATCAACAATAAGGTCGATTACCAAAATCCGTCTATGTTTTCATGTATTGTTAGAAAATATCTCTATGAATATTTTAGAAATCGCCCATACTCAATTATACACATGACGATAACCTTGATGCAAATTATTGTGGGAGAGAAAGTGTTGTGGGTATTTTTAGTGAAAAGTAATAAATAATGCAAGTCATGTACTTACAGAATGCACGACGACATAATTCCAGAAAAGGCCAAAGAAATTGGGGAACTTTTGTTGCGAGTTTTAAGTGATTATTTCAAAAATAATGTGTCTATAAAAATATCTTCAAAAATAATTATGTCAAAAACTATTACGACGCTTGTTAAAACAGACCCTTGTTTAAACAGATCTTTCTTGGTAATGTAAAATGATCTCCAGAAAAAAATCAAGAAGATATATATTGTCTTGAATTATTGACTAAATTCAAACTATCAAATTCGCAGAAGTCATTAATCTGCTTAATATGAGGTACACACTAATTAGATCTGTAGAAGATGTGGAAGACGTAGGGCGTAGTTTAATTAGTTTAACCTTAATTTGTGTCAATGCCAGTAACATTGATTGATTTATTATTTACTTTATAGGAGTATTATTTTTTAAAGATGAAATTGCTAAGATCAAAGAAAGTTTATATAGCACAGAATCTACTTGGTAACTAAAATAATTTTGTAAATATGTTTCATATTTTTGCAAATATTTTTAATTTCTATCATCGGTATAGTAAAGATAACACCACAACTTCAGCCCTATTTCAAAATCGATCAATTATTCTACGATCTTATGAACGATCAGCGTAGCAACATCCTTAACCACCACAGTATATATTGTAATTTATTATAGTATTGTATTGTAAATGTAAAATGTAAAAGAATTAGTGTCAAGTCCGCTGAAACATCACACATAGAGTCTAATAAAAATTCAAAGTTGAATACAATGCTTTATAGAACATGCTAACAAGACAGGGGAATGCCTCTGAAAGAATTCTATTCATTATATTGTGAAGCTTGTGGGCAGTTTTTTTTGGCTACGAAGACTTCTTAGAATTAATCGACGAAAGTGAACTCGGCTAGCGTCTCCTTGTGTATAGTTCGTCTTCGTAGTTAATAATAATAATAATAAAACATCGAATAGCACATAAAAGACTAAATTCATTGGAAGTCTAAACGTGATTTCACTATGATGTACAGTGTGTCTCAAAAATCTAGACATTACCTGTATATAGATCGAGGGTGTGGGCCGCGGTATACCGTAGATGTCGAGGGTCGAACTTGGTCAAACTGGCAGTGCGAATATTATTGTAAAACATCACAGGATTCGTTTGTGAGGTGTTTATCACATAGTATGATATGAATGGGAATTCAGCTAAAATAGTTCATTGAATTTAGTTTTTTCTTTATGTATACGTACCATTGCGTTCCATATTAGCTAACAGCATCCCAGTGACTGCAGTTTTCGTTTGGGAGATTTCGTTTAAAAGTTCGCCTGCAGTTACGCGCTGCTTGAACAAGGGTTGGACTAAGGGAGATTCTAGGACGGGGTCGATGGGCTCCAGGGGGCTCATGAGGTGGCATAAGACACATAGTTTGGGATCAGGCACCTAAAAAATGCATTAATGTAGTACGTACACGTGCACGTTTTAATCAAGAGATATCGACATAGTGAATTCCCAGAGGTCGATATCTTAAGCACACTTTCGCAACTTTTTCCATTTAGTGGATGCGTGGGTACAAACTAATTTAAGTTCAAGGGTTGGAATTAAAGGTAAAGTCGATTTTGATAGGTTATAAAAATTCATTATCCCGAACTGGTTTCAGGTGGTGATTTTTGTACCGAAGGAATTGTGATTTACGTCGTAAAACCGTTGTAGCTCGTAAAGTAAACATAAAGTCAATAAGAAAAATGTTGCGAAAGTGCCGTGAAAATTAATGGTTATAGTGCTGTCTTCAACGTCGGAATGCGTAAAGGGTTGAAATGTATATAAAAAGTTGTGGCTTTTTTTCGTATAAAATTGATGTTCTGTGTGTTTACGTGCGTATTCTTGGACTAATGCACAATTCGGCGAATTTTCATAAATATTTAGATGTAACTAAATCTTTTACAAAATGGGCGTGCGATGTTTAATTGTTTTATAAATACGGTTATTGTTGTAGTATTTATTTTTCCTACTTAAAAATACGGCCGACTTTGTACGTCTAAAGTCCAAGGTCTTTCAAGGTTTACATTTGACAGTTGCTAAAACAAAAATACGAATGAAAAGTTATATTCACTTTTTTTATCTAATTTATAAATATATCTTGATGACCTTTTAAATTCCTAGCACGATCAATAATTTTGTTGAAATTCTACGATTCCGTTGCGCTAAACTGATCCATACTTTTAACGCCACAATATTATTATCACCTTATCAAATAGCCTGATTACACACATTTCCATGGTTGTTTAAAAAAGTGACCCATAATAACACACATTGCGCTCTTTTGTGCGTTTTATAAAACTATATGCACGGAATACCAAAGCCGAACCTTCGATTCTGTTTATATTTAATTTATGTTGAAGATACACAAAATCTGATTTATTGCACGATATTATAATTTTATTTCAAATGTAATCGATTGATACAAAAATAGAATTCTGCACTAGACAAATAAATTTCAAAATATTTTTAATGTAAACTTAAAAATATTTTCGCAGTAACAGTGCGATTAATATAAACTCTCAGTAGGATACGATAAATGAGTAAAAATGTAGCTTTAAACAAAAAAATGTAAGCACACATTTACGCGTATTTTTGCGTACTTACCTCCATTACGTGCAGACTCCCTTGCGATTTTCTTTCCAGAGAATTACCGTTCGAGGGGGGTTTCTGCAAAAGTCACCCGTAATAACTCATCGATGGCAACGTATGGGTGTATACCTACTGGCATTGGTACTCCAGCTGGAAGAAACCTATCTAAACTGTGAACTGGAATGATGAAACAGTCCCTCTCGAGTCCTGATAATGTCCTGACGACCTCGCTCGCCCCATCCTTCCCATAATTAAAACTAACCTGCAACTGAATTGATCAACGCTTGCCTGAATGCCGGCGGCCAATATATTTCGAAGCGAACATTAAGAACAACTAAACCTTAAATATAATTTCCGAAAATCTTTGAGTAATTAATTTTTTTCAAAAAGTTGCAGCAAGCTTAGGTGTGAAAAATGTTTGATCGAAAATGTATTATGTTTAAAATTCGAAACTGAAAATTTTTCAAAACCTCTACACTCCTTTTATTTAACCGTGATCTTTCCTATTTATAGCAGTTTTTTATTGATAATAATTGGTAACTAACCCAATTTTATTAACAATTGTTGCTCTCAAAATTAGTTGAGAATCGTCACAAAGTCATATTGACGAATAAACAGTTTCACGTTTAGGCGTTTTAAAGATCATAGAACACGAAAATGCAAGTTTCCATTGTGATCAATTTGCCCAACATTTTTGGATGTGCTGATTTACTGATGACGAACTAAAATTTATTTAATGATCTCCTATGTCTTCTCAAAAATAAATCTTGATCGTAATGTACATACTAAAAAGTAGTAGTGGTTACACTTTAGTAATGAATTTTTGTGTTTTATTAACGTGTGCACAGAACTGATCTCTGAACCAATTTATCTTGCCGAGTATGCTTTCAATATCAATTTAATTTCTCTCAAAGTTGGGAGCCCAGTAACATTATCAAAAGAGTTACGTATGTTGTATCAAAATTAATTAATCTATCGCCACCAAAAATTGCTAAATAAATCTTTATTAATATAACGTCATAATACATGTTTAGTTCGAGCAGAAAGAGAAGGTCTGAGCAAATAACTCTGGAAATGTTTCTGCATTTTAATGAGAATTTTTTCAAAAGTTAATATTTTTAATTTGACTTAATAAAGTCGTTTTATTCAAAAACTTCAAATAAATGATTTATAACACCTTAGTTAAAATAAAATATTGCCTATAAATCAGTCACCATAACTAAAAAAAAAGTAAACTTACTTCGAAACTTTCTCGTTTTTCACATACCGGAGGTTCCAATTTACTTGTTCCACTTTAGTGTCTCAGTTATTTGAAAACAGAGATCGCCTTTGATATTTTTGGAAATAATATCAACTTTTTTCAGATAATTAGCATAACGTATGTTTTTAAATTTTGCATCAGTGATTTAACATTGTGAGATGTATCACTGAAAAGAGAAAAATATATTGTTAAAAGTCATATTCATCCAACTAATTTTTCAGTATAAATAAATGAGATATTAAACCAAGAGGGTTACCTGCCGCGTGCTACAGCAGTCAAAAATTTTTAAAAATACTGCATTTAACGCACAAAATATGCTCCATTTTACATGAAAAGAAGAAGTTGATATCACTTCCCAAAAAAGAAAAAGCAAACGCGATGTGATGGTACTGGTACATTCATTTTATAGACTTCTTTATGTTAATTAACCTTTCCAAATTTTAAATTTCTAGCTTTTCAAATCACTACAATATTAAAATGGAATTTTTGGGTAAGGGTAACATATTAAATTTGACATATAAATAAATGCAACACTAATCACTACGTCAACAAAATCAGATAAATTGTTTCTGAGATAATTAATAACTGTTATGATGATCAGCCATTAAAATCGGTGTGGGTAAAACTCAACAGTTTGTTTCTTAGTAACTCAAATTTACACGAGTAACTAAGACAGCGATTATGTACAGAATAATTCCGACTTCTTCCATTGTCTGGACTACTCTTGTTGGCTGAGATTGACTCGTTCCCGAAGGTGACCTCTATTTAAATCCCTTCTAACTGTTCTGCAATCGAGGTCTTTCTGAAATACCCATCGCGACTTCCACTTCTAGGCTTTCCTTTAGCGAACGCCGCCCGGCCGCCGTCACCGACGATGAGTCATCCATCATCGCCGTACGTACTATAACACATAGACGTCGTACCGAGGCGGCGTGTGGGGTTATTTCGTAACAATACAATAAATTGATTCTACTAGATTTTCTTATGTAATTCTAAAAAATTATTAAAATATTGCTGAAATATAAACAATACTGCATCTCAGAATTTATGTAGATATATACATATTTGATATGTTTTTGAAATGACGGGATCAGTTTCGCACTTTTATAAATTGTAGACTCTTACTGTAAAAATAAGTTATTCGATTCCTTGTAACTATAGTTCTACAAGCAAATTTTTAACGGTAATGTAAGGTGTCACTTTTGAGTTAAGAAAGGGTCTTTTGTCAAATTTAACGAGATATAACACCAAAACGGTACAATAATCCACATTGTGGTTTGAAGTATTCGATTCCTTCAAGCTTTGTAGTTCTGTGGACAAATTTTTAGACCGGATAGTCGATCCATTTAGTATGGATAATGATTTTCCATAAAAAAACATAGAAGGAAAACATGTTTTTTACATAAAAATTACACAAAAAGTTGATATTACATCCGGAAAAACCGAACCGTTTGAAATTTGCGACTGGTGATATGCCCAGCCTAAATTTCAAACTATTTTTTCAAATAACTTAAATATTAAAGTGGAACTTTTGGATAGGAATGACATTAAATTTGATATATGTATAAATTACATCGCCGTGTTTCCAAAATTTCGGGAAAATCAGACAAATTGTTTCTGAGATAATTAATAGAATAAACTGATCAACTAATTATAGTTCTAAAAAATTATTAAAATATTGCTGAAATATAAGTAATACTGCATCTCAGAATGTACATGTTTTTGAAATGACGCGATCAGTTTTTTGATAAGAACGAATAAATAAATTTTAGTTAAAGTGGACATTTAGTAACAAACGTGCTTTAAGTCTGTACTTAAACATAATTGTTCGCACTTTTATAAACTATAACTAGATACTTATTTGCAAAATATTTTCACTAAGTTTAGAACACATTGCAAAAAATAATAATTAACTACTCCTATAAACAATTATATTGATTTAAAATTCGATTCTTAGCAACACACTTGGGCACATTTAGTGATGTTTTCGAGGAGGGTTGAGTATGCCATGTCATTATTATACCGTGTGCCTGGAAAATGGCGGATTAACTCTTCAGTACGTTATGTACGAGGGTTTCGGGAGTCTCAAAGAAGTAATAAAAAAATTCTTTATGATGTAGATTACGAAAAAACGTAATTTGATAAAAGTAAAATTGGCAACACTGCACGCACCTAATGCGTGAATACCTTTGGCTTACGTTCTGCTTTCTTAGTAACGATGGTGACTAAAATCCACCTTTTATTTTTTTAGGACAATAACCATAATAACAAATAATAATCATTAATCGTTGTGCTTTATTATTAATAATAAAACAAGCTGTTATTTTTCATTAATAAATAAACCAAAAAAAAAAATTTTATAAAACATTTATAAATTATAAACAAAAACAAAACCAACAAAAGAAAAATCCATTAAAGCATAACCAACTAAACACTAGAGAAGATGTTTAAAATTCCTGCCTTGTGCATATAAGTAAGCTCGTAATGTTTCCAAATTTTGAATATTTTTTGTAAAAGTTAGTCATCCATATTTGCTAAGATAAAAGTGATTTTGGCAATGGCATACCCTCTAAGAAAAGAGAGGGTGGGTGGGCGGCTATAGTAGCTGCCAAGATAAAACTGATTTTGGCAAATGACTTACCCTCTAAGAAAAGAGAGGGCGGGTGGGCGGGGCTAGTACCTGCTAAAACAAGACCGATTTTGGCAAATGACATACCTTCTAAGAAAAGAGATGGTGGATGGGCGGGGGTAGTACCTGCTAAGATATGACTGATTTTAGTAAATGAGACCAGCTGATTGTTAAGAGCGTAGCGTAGAGTTAATCCTCCATTTTCCAGACACCCGGTATATATGTTTTTTAATGTTTCAAATTTTACAGTTCAAATTTTACCACAATTTCGTTAATACAAGCCATAAAGTTAAGCAAAGAGCAGCCCTGGAAACAAGTCACGCTACACATTTTTTTTATTTAACAGTATTTTTAAAATCGCGTCAGTTTTTTGTACAAATTAATGGTTCTGGTTGAGGTCTTGTTATCTGTCTGATAAATCGGCAACGAGAAACTTACATTTTCATATTTACGCGAACTATAAACGCAAGAAAATAAAAAGTATTTGTTTAGTCACGTTTAGTTGACAGCTTTTTGTGCGAAAGATTTTCAGATCCTGTTTCCAATTCCTTCAAATCACAATTTATCACAGAATCTTTGTCATCTCCTATTTACAGTGTTAAAATCTACTTCTATTTACTAAAATTTTTGTTGAATTTTCTTGATTTTTTAAAGTCGCATTGTTCTTCATTTTTAATTGGAGAATAAACATTCCAGTTTTTTTTTACTGTTAAACAGTAATATCTATAACTAAGCACTGTTGATTTTAAAAACGTAATTTTTATGGTGTTAGTGTCTTTATAATTCTTCAGAAAATATTTCCTTTTCATTTACATAAAATAAAATACATATTTTGAAATTTTCAGGAAACGAAAACTTCATTCACTTCATAACTGACTTGTAGTAAAATTTTACGTTCTACCTATAACCTACAGTCTACAAAATTAACATATATTTGTTACTATAGATCCTTCTCCTGGGTGCATCACTAAGCTTGCGCCCTCCGATATCTCATTAATTATTAAAAATTTAAAAATAGGAAAAAAACATAGTTATACGGTTCTTTGAAGACCACACACTCAAATTATTTTCAACTAGTGTTCCGATTTCAAGGCTTAACGCGCGATTTACTTTAAATGAAATACCCTGTATATAATTACATATTCTGTTTGAATTCTCCTTAGGATTTATAACCATAGCTTATTTTTGAAATTCCAAAGTATTCCAATTTTCTTGAAATTTGTTAGCAATAGAAGGGTTCACAAAAATCGCAATAGGATAATTTTTCTCTTTTTTTAAATAGAACACTCTGTATTATTATTGCCTCTTATTTTGTTTTTTGTTCTCTGTCCTTTTTTAAGTACTTTCTACATTTAAACTTGACAGTTTTTGCAATGTTTTTACTTTTTAAATATATTTAAAATGTTATGTTATAACATTATTAGATTATTGCGTCGTAAAAAAATGAAAAAATTAGAATAACATGGCAACGTTGCATCGAAATTTCAGAAATAAACTATAGTTATAAATTGTAAAAATGTATAGGATAGTCTATTAAAAAAAACCTAAAGTTGTAGGCTATGCCTTAAAAACAAAACACTCTGTATTGTCGAAAATAAACCGTACAACTTTACTGTTTTTTGTATCTGTAATATTTAATGAGATTTCGAGGAACGCGCGCTGAGTGACTCATTCTGCATATAAATATTCTGAAATTTTGTTCATGTCTTTCTCTTCGAGATATGTAATACTTAATTTGGGTAATATTTCGCACAAAGCATACTAACTGATAAAATGCAATATTTTTGCCTGTATACATCCGAAAAACTAAAAAATAGTATTAATACGATAGACTAGAAAAAAACCTGGTTTAATAAAATGTGAAAGTATAACAAAAACTAAGATTTATAGCTAAATTTCAATGAAAAAATCAAATTTTAACACCAATACGTGAAATGACAATCCCGTCATATAAAGCACATTGCTTATCGGCCCCCTATTCTATCTACTAAACGAAACTAGAATCAAAATGACCCTATTACACGGTCGCTGAGAAAGTAAACAGTAAACAATGTGTAAAATTACGCCGCTTTTACGCTACAACCATTGCGGCATAGGCAGCGCTTGAAACATGAGGAAAGTTCATCGTAATAAATAACTTTGAACATAAATGTGGCTATGACTCAAGGGGTGCAAATGGGGTAGAAGTGCTCCTCTGAACGGACTCACCTGCCTCGTGGGGGTGGTTTTGGTGGGCGACGGCGTGCTAGGCCACTTCATCATCGAGACCGAAGGAGTCCTAACGACCAAAGGCTGCGGAAGGTCGGACTCCGTCATCGCAGGAGATATCGCAGACGACTGCAGCGACGGCAGAGGATCCCCGCCCGCTCCAGTCATAGGACCGCAACGCGGTTCTGCAAACGTATTCCATACGGAACAAAATCAAATAAATGGACCAAAAACGGGGACGGTGCGCACATGCATCACTATTACATTATTAACTAGTGGTTTATTTAATAAAGAGGTTAGTGGACGACCGTGCAAAAAACGACAAATCATGGATTCGAGGGCACGATTACGCGGAATTCCCTTTTTACGGCCTGGGGACGGCGCGGTGGCGTGGAAAAGCGGCGCTGTTACGGTTCAGTGATTAGTTTGGTGCGTGGAGTTGTAGTTTTCCTGGAAAATGGAGCGGATGCGATGCAGTTTCATAGGGTTCAAGGTTGACGTTGACCTGAAAGGTGTGCAAGGGTGGGTTTGGATCTGTTTCCGAGAAGGCGGTTTACGAGGAAAACTACTCCAGTGTTACTCAGAAGAAAGCTCGGAATCAAATACTTGGAATTCTAAAGTATGGATCACATTTTGCTACACAGTGGATTCCCTTCGGTTTTCTTTTTAAAGTAATTCCCGCGAGATGCATTTATTAAAGTCGCAGATGTGCTGTTCACACGTGGTACAGGCGTTATCTATTTTCATATCAACATGCTGCCAAAAAAATCGTGATCGATTCTCACACTACGTAAACCACTGTTAACTAAAGGACCAATTCCACGGTACGGCGTATGACACAACAACAAAACCAACTTACCGGTTCGAGGTTTGAGTTCGATCATTCGTACTAAGGAAAGGAGGATTTAGGTGACACATTTTCACAATAAGCAATCACGTACGGTGGAATTCCCTTTTCACAACACCTATTATATTTATAATGATAAATTTTCGCTTGCTGGATTTGTTCCATGATGTGTGTTATGAAATTGATAATAATAACTAACATAACTCACACTAAAACTTGTGTAAATGTAGCAGTCTCATTAAACAGACACATATTTTGTTAACTTTAATACAGAATTATAAACACCAATTTAGAAATCCAACCAAACGGAAATATCGCCTACTCTACTACAATTGTACTGTGCCACTTGAATTTGGGTTTCCATTTCGCATTGTTGGGAATATTTTCTGTGTTGTGTGTGTAAAATGTCACGTGAACTCTCAGCCTAGAATTAAAAAAGTAATATATTTCGAACATTAAACTCCTGTAATTAATATATGAGTATATAATTGTTACGTGTGGTATTTTATGTTGTATTGCCTTTAAATTTTCGTTAGAATTTTGTAATTGAAATACTCGATAATGTCGATTTAGTATTTTGTTGGTTTTCCATTTTGTACTTGATAATCATTTTAGTTAGATTCTTGCAACAAAAATCCGTGTTTGTTCACCATCAGACTATACAGTATGTTAATTTAATTTTGCACTGGCTTTCTATGGCGGCATCTATTTCTTCAGGACATGTCTACTTTTTTTTTTTTAAAGAACACAGTTTTTTGGTTTTTGGTTTTTGAACACATTTAAACAGTTACAAGTTGGTAAAAAATCGTAACAAACGATTTGTTTTGTTGCTTTAGACCTAGAGTAGTTATTTTCACTTTTGTTAATTGTTATTATGCGCATATGTAAAAAGCGCAAATATTTTAATAAAACTGCTAAAGATAAGGCTACTCACTTAAGTTTATAGGAGAAGTTCTTAAAACTAATATTTAAGTATAAAAATGCGGTGCTGCGTAATTTTAATGGCGAATTATATGGCAAAAAATTAGTAAAAACTACTAGTAAAACTATGATCATTTCTCAAAAATAGATAAGCTATAGAATTTTTACATTTACGACGTTAACAAAACTACTTTCCACCATCGTTAATTTTTTTTAACAAAAAAAAAAGATGGTTGAGTATCTTACAACCGCATATTTTTTTATTGTTGCAACCGAGTCTTGGAAATGTTCTTAAACAGAAGGTAAATAAATCATTAATCAAAATTTATCCGTTTATTTCCTCCTAAAAGATCGATAAGTTATAGAGGTTATCACAAAAAAAATCGCAAAATTGAATTTTAGAATTTTTCGAAGAATCTGTATTTGTTTGCCTGTGCTTCAGGGGCGAGGGCAGTTCTATCTACATAACTTTAAACCAATTTTCAATTCCCTAAGGAAAGTACTACATATAATGGAATTATTATTATATTCAAATTTTTGCGGTTTTACCTTCCTTTTGATAGTATTACTAACCAAATAATCTTTAGAACGACGAATTACTTTAAATTTTAGGTAACATTAAGATTATCATACAGATGATAAAACGATAATGAAGTTTGTATGTTCATCCTCTGTATAAAATAATGACGTCATGTCAAAATATTTTTCACAGGTCACTTATAAAATCCAAATTCTAGGAGGATTTTCTTATCTGCTATTGCAAACCTGATTGAAAAACTTGGCGCCATGTCACTTTTAAGCGGTCAAGAAAGTTTGGTTATGACATTTTCATAACAATCAAAATAGTAAATTTTGACGCAAATTAAATGTCACTGTCAACCATGTCAGGTGGAATGACAGGTCTACTAATTTCAAGCAAAATTCGTTAATACCGACTGAAACAGTACTTGTTGGTCACGCTGTATATGTAATGCATCTATGGACGTCATAATGCGCTCCATTAGTATACTTAAAATACACATGTATTTTTAACTTCACACATAAACGTAAAAAAAAATGTAAAAACATCTAACTCGAAGGATAACTACGACAAATCTCTGAAAATAAACTAGAAGTCCTTCAATCAGATACCACAATAGGTTTTTCTTATGTCAATATATCAGTAACGCTTGTTCAGACAGATTTTTAAAATATTATACAATTCTTCCCAAAGTGCCTGTTGTATTCTTTCAATCAGTGGAATTCTTTCTGAAAATTAACAGTTAAGGATAGTATTGGAAAGATCGTTTGACTTATTACTTCCCGAGCATAAGCTAAGGAAATATAGTAATCACTTTCATATTTTCTCGACGTGTCATAACCTCTAGACTATGAAAAAAGTAGTCTCCCGTTTCCGTCCGTCTGTCTGTCTGTCTGTCTGTCTGGTGTCTGTATCCATTTTATTGGACAAGCAATCTCCGATTGTTGTCAAATTTTGTATCTATATTACGGACACGATATGGATGAGTAAATGCTAACTAAAATTTGGCTAATCGTCTCTACCACCAATGGGATGACGTAATTTCCAAAATTTGTAATAAGAAGTTATTTGAAATATTATAAAATAAGATACTCCTGCACTTGTGGTGTGTGAATCCGTGTCGAATTTTCACCCCAGACAACTAGAATTTTTGGAAAAAATTCAAAACTGAATAACAGTGTTTTGTAATGTAACTTTGTAACTGCAAAACCGAATACTCTGAAATATTGTAAATATTTTGAGGTTATCGTAATCATGGTAAATCGTTAAGCAAAATTTATTCATTTATCCCCTCTCAAAATTTTGCCGAGTAAATGCTGTCCAACATGTGCAAAATAACCTTTGACCAATTTTCCACACAAAATTTTTTCAATGACGTCATCGTCACTGTAGCAATAACGGTACAGTAAGTTTTCAAGAAAATGGAGTGAGCCGTTCTTGACTTGATCAATATAAAATAAATTGCCTAAAAAATCTATTCTAAAAAATATGAATGTGCAACTTGTTCATAAGTAAACGTGTTATTTAAAGAAAACTATAAGTATGTACATATTACGTAAAAAAGAAAACCAGAGATTGAGCCCCATCTATATCCACCCCAATCTCAATTGTCATGAATTTTTCATTCGTTGTTAGACCAAAGGGCGGCGCGTAACTGCAAAATCTATACTTCCCTACAAAAATTTATCATTTTAAACATATTTTAAGTTTCTTGTTGTGAAAAGATGAGTGATATATTAAGCCAAAAAAGGCAAAATATAAGCCCCGCCCACCCGCCCTATCTTCATTGTGATGATTTTTTTCATTCGTCGTGAGCCAAGAGGCGGAGCTTAATTCCAAAATTCTTATTTTTCTACAAAAAATTACCATGTACAACATGTTCTTAAGTAATCCTGTTCACAGAAAATTATATGTATTAAGTAAAAACGAAAGTCGAAGATTGCATATTTTAAAAAAATTTAAATTTTGAGATGACGTCATCAGTGTGCAAACCTTAAAACATTTGGAAGTTTTCAAAGCATTCAGTTTCAAAGTTATTTTGTAAAATGTTGTTACACTTTTTGAATTTTTTTCCAACAATCTGGATGACTCAAGACGGATTCATAAACTAGACGTGTATGTAGTACTATGGTATTTTATAAAATTTCAATAACACTATGCACAATTTTGAGGTGTCGTCATAAAAAAAAAACAAATTTTAGTTAGTATTTGGCATCTACATGATATTCCTAAAGTGCAAAAATAGGTCCAGACTTTCGGAGATTATCTGCCTAATAAAAATCGACAGACGGTGGACTGAGAAATGAAAACGGGAGATCCATTATTTCATCCTGTAAGGGTCATGAAACGTCGAGAAAATATGGAATTACCTGTTCACCGGATGGACCCTGTTACACATAACCGGTGTTCAGTTGAAAAAGTCTTGATTAAATTTTGGTGTATTGTAGACAATATTCACAATATTTGCAAGAAGTCAAAGCCAACTTGATGGCTTTCTCAATTGAACTCGAAAAGTAAAAATCGAAAAACGTCTTCAGAATTTTGTAGTAAGAGATAATTATTTTAAAGTTTAGAATTTTTTTTTAAATTCTTTAGAAATGAAACATTTAACCTTGTTACATTTAGGTAAAAAAAAATTATTAATTTATGTTTTTCTGATTTAAACTATTGTTAGATTTAAAAATGAAAGTCGTAGACGGAGACAACTGTGAATGTGTTCAGAATTTTGTATTTGTATCACGTTATTTTCTACGGAACAAAAATAAAAAAAATCCGGAAGCTTGGGATTCGAAATTACCAACTTTAATAGTTCGTCGTAATTGGGCCTCAGTTTCCTCTAAAACGTTCCTAATAGCGTTCAAACTTCCTAAAACTTGTAAGTTTCGTCTATCGAGAATTTGGTCAACCAACTCTACTTTTCGAATGCCAAACTTTTACAATAAGGATGTTCAATGTTTAATTAAAATCACTAATTGCAGCTACCTTCAGATCAGTGTAACATTTTTAAATAGGAATCGACACAAAGGAAAAATGACAAATCTTTACAGATATTTCTACGGACTTAATTTTATAAAAGTGTAAAAGTGACGAAATAAGTATCTTCTATTTAAACATTTGATGTGATATGATTTTTGTTGTTATTAAAATGGCATAGATACAGATAAATTTAGCTTAGAGAGTTACCTTGTATTATGCCTACAGATTTTGTTTTCTAAATGTAATAGTCTGATTAATTTTGAAAGGGAAGGTAATTTCGGATAAAATTATATTTAAATAAGTAATTTACATAAAAACGGGGAAACAGCTGAATTTTGAAACATATTTATTTAATTTAACAAAACAGAGGAATGTAGCTCTTTTAATACAAATTTAACTATTGCAGTGGTGGATTAACGGACAGTACATTTGTCCAACGGAGCTAAAACTCCCACGAGTCCCTTACGTTCGAGATAACTTTATTTTATAGTGTTAAAAACATATGTGCGACATTACAAAAAGCTAAACAAAGTAGGTAATAAAAATAAATTACGGATTCCTGGCGCAAAATTGTCGATTAGACCCTGGAGCTTAGATCCGCCACCGTGTATCTCAGTCTTTAACTTTTATTATCTCGGAAACAATGTCTACCTAGGGAATTTATTACCATATCGTATTTCTACGACTATGAATTGAATTAATGCTAATAGCGATTTCCAACAATCTAAATTGTTTTTGGCTAGAAAGAATAACAGTCCAATTACTTACATCCATGCTTTTTCTATAAAAAAAAGAAGGAATTCATTGCAATTTCTAGAAACCAGGACAACAACGCAATAAAAAGCAACATCAGAACAACCTTTTGCGACACATCGATGTTATTCATTTATGACATTCGTCACGACCTAAAATCACTTATTTAATAAACTTTGCGCCATGCTGTTACGAATACATTTTCTTTATGTGCGATTACCCTTTGCAAATCCTCCGCATTCCGCAATGCTGCCACTATAAAAAATAACGAGAAACACAAATCGTGCAACTAACAAAGGGTACGGAAAATATTGCCTCGACCATAAATACCGCAACTCCCCTCGAACCATTTAAAAATACCATTAAACAGATAATTTTCCGGCTTTTCGCACCTCCGACATCACTAATTAACTAAACCTTCGAGAAATTTCAACCTCTTCTCGATGTCGCCAATAACCTCTCAAGCCTAAATTTAAATGAAGCTTCCCGAAGATATTTTCGTCCCACCGTTCAGTTTTTATTTTTGCGACATCTCTGATCATATTTTCGTAAACGAGAAGAAAAATGGTCGACGTCGAGACGATTTATTATTATACACCTCAAACACTACGTGTGGGATTTGGTATTGTGTGGGGGAATTTTGTATTAAACTTACTGTTAGATTCTCGAT